CCGATAGTAATACTTTGCGTTCTATAATACTGGAAATAAAAAAACCGTAACAATACATAATATTATTTTTAAGTACAATATTATAGATAACGTTATTGGCAAATACATAGTATTAGTGTCACTCGATGAAAAGATAATAACGTCATGTTTAAAATTTAAATTTACATTTATAAGAATCTTTAATATTATACTTGTACAGTGAACTACTTTATAGTTTAACTAGTTCAAACTGTAAATTAGTAGTAATAGTGTGTGAACTCGTGTGTAGTATTATTTTTTTTTCTCATGTGCAATTTAGATAAAAGATATTTACAAAATAACTGCTCTCAATTTAAAAAAAAAAAGGCTTAACTATATTAACACAGTTAACTAAATTATACATACTAGTTATGCAAAAACTGACATTTTTTTTTTTTATAAATTTAAAGTAAGTACTATAACGTAACATCGGGATTGCGGCAAGTCTCAAAAAACCGGAAATAATAGTTGAGAAATAATTGAAAATATAATTTACCATGAATCTATTACTTTATTTATTTTCAAATTTTAATTTTATGAAAGATCGCGGGTATTTTAGCAAAGGGTGGTGTAAAAATATTTTACTTATATATATAATATATAAGCACTGATGGTTTTACTATTATACAACTAATATTATTTGGATGTTATCCACGTCTAGATCCCCTCAACCATAATTAAAAAAAAATTAGAAAAGTCCCCATATTTTGAAAAGTTGTTGTTGAGATATTTAACATACACAATTAAAATGAGAAAAAAAATTATTGGCAAGCTCATTAAAGACCACGGTTGTCATTAAACTTTTGGAAAACAGACATAAAATTCACCAATAACTTTATGTCAACTTTAAATTCATTGTAAATAAATTGTATAAATAATTTAAATTTATCGTATGGAAATCAATAATTTCGTATAAATTATATAGCAATGAATTATGGCTAAGAATAAATTAAAAATAATTTAAATTGCTTAATTTGTGTATTGGTTATAATAACTTTTTATGTTATATTACACACCTGAGTTCGTGGTTTCGGAGTGGAAATTCACAACAGATGTCAGTATATTGTTTAATTAGCATTTCCAGTATAGTTGGCACACGACTTAATTGATTAATTTGAACATTAAATTTCGGTTGCGAGCAGCAAAAATGTACTTAGTACTTAGCACAACATTCACCGACAACATGACTGAGTAACGTTTGAATACACTACTATAGACTGTGTCGACCACGAATAGTATAGCTTAGCGGTAGCGTTTCCTTTTACTCTTGTTGTAAGCGACTTCCCCCCGTCTCTCCGGTGTTCCATTAATATTGGTAACTCGCGTTATAACTCAAAATAATTGTTCACGTTTTTAACTTTGCGCCAAACGTGCATCGTAAACACGGTCTAATCAATTTTTTTAAATAGGTAATAAAGAAAAAAAAAGACAGCAACCTGTAGTACAGATTTTTATATGACACGACCGCCGGGAGGTTTAGGACTATCAATGCTCCCCGCAAGATAATACAGATTTTCTTTACAAACAGGAACGATATACAGTTGTTCTTAAAACACTTTAGACACTTCCAATCCCCATTTTCTCTGTCTCAACTACCCATCCGCCGTCTACACATGAGAAAAATGTATCAGTCAACGTTTATTAAACGGAACAATATTAATCTCGGTTAGTTCGATTATTTTGTATAATCATCAATGTCCAGTATTATCCAACACAATTTACGAGTTAACCTAATTTAATAATTTGTCTTCGGCGTACGCGTAATAGAAAAACAAAACTAGTTTACGAATCATATAATATTAATTTTGTCTCTCAACTCATATAGTGAAATTTGTATTTATATATGCCATCAGCCATGTATTATGTATACTACAATACGGTTTTCACTGTATTGTCAAATTTTTAGCGGCGTGTAATAAAATTATAATTTTGTATATAGGTTTAAAATACGAAACGTCACAAGTTGAATGTCGTGAAACTTTCACGACATGACTATATTGACATTAGCTGATATAGGAATTTCATAAAGCGCAGGTCTAAAACAAACGATGCGTGGGCTTCTGACACAAGCCACAATTATTAGGGCTTACGACAATCGGACAATCACATCAATGTCTATCGAGTATGATTATTAAATTATATTGATAAAACAACAACGATGAACATATAACTACTATTATAGTACTTATCGGAAAATAGAAAGACTAGCTGTATATTTTGTGTTAATGTGATAATTTACAACTTTTCATTTATGTTATTATTACTAGTCATAACTCATAAGCACAATTATTAGTTATTACCAATAGGAAATCTATATATGTTGTTGTCCATGAAATATTACATAATGTTTATTGTTGACACTGTTTTACATTGATGCCTTAGAGTAACAATACTCTATTATTACGTTATTTGAAAATTTACTCGTTACTATATGATCGCGTTTAAGGCTTTTCACTTTTGAACGTTATCTACTTTTAATATATTTCTTATATTTAATTATTCATTTTATGTCAGTAAAGAAAAACAATTTCAAGTCTAATGATATACATCTATGATGTTTTCATTTGTATTGCAATATAAAATGTAGTATTGCTTGACTATTTGCTTGAGTATTTTACTTCAGAATATTACAACTGAAAATATTAATGCCCTGACAAATCTAATTTTTATTAATCGAAATAAAGGCAAATTTTCCTTAGGGCCGGAGAACTTTGGATTCTAGTAGAAAAGAAATTATAATTATTTTGACTTTACAATGTTTCCTTTTGCCAAATACACCTAAATTTTTCTTGTTTATTAAAATGTATTTTGTATTATAAAAATTAATAATTACATTTCCCTTTTAGATAAATAACGATAAAACGCTATTCATGATAAAATCGCGAATGTTCACTACCAGGATTTAAATGAGTACCAAAAATTATGAACAAAGTATCGAGATAGCAATGAACTTATTAGTTGCTTATAACCTATAAGCAAGGATTTATTCAAATAAATGATAATTTTTAGTTCTTTTTTAATAGCTGAAGCAGCGTGGAACAATAAAAAAATGTATAAAATAAAATATGATCTGTGTATATAATCATAATACGTCTATAATAATATATTAGAAAAGGTCATGGATATTGGATACAAATTGTTTACAACCCTACATTTTTATGACATAAGCTTAAGATATTTGAAGGTAGATTTTCCAGTAGCTACGTTTATCGTTAATAATTTTGTCCCAAGTACACGTACACTCAATCATTCGAAAAAAAATAACCAGCTAAATAACACTATTTTTGATTTTGTTTTATTCAGGTGACTAACGATAAATTGCCTTATTAATACTTTCTCCTTGATTTGTCATGCTTATTATTTTCAAATTGCTCGACGCTCATAGTTTGGTATACATTAGGTTCATAGGAAATGAATTGATGGATCGTTACAAAATGTTATAAACAGTTACCAATGCGTATATACTTAGACATTATACCAACCCCATGTGTTTGTTTGCGCCGAGTCGTATTTGCGCAACTTTTTTGTGATCGTTGTTTATCCTTAAACCGTGTTTTTTTTGTTTTTACTTTATCAATTATTCCAAGCTTTAAATGGCACTACACGAAGAGCCGAGTAGCTGCTGCCGTTCGTTTAATAATAATAATTATATACCAAATAGACGTGTCAGGGTCATTTTGGGTCGCTCGCTGGACCAACTAGTGACTGTGACTGGCAGCCGCAGCCCGCAAGTAGCGCGATCGGTAACCCATTACTACAACCATCGGTCAGGTTTAATATAAATGCAGATCACGAAAATGTTTTACCTTAATAAATAACAATAACGATAGTGTTGCAAAAATGATGAAAACTAACAATGAACCTTAACTGGAGCATACGCACACCGAGTTGTACAGACGCTGAGTCGTCCCAAAGAGCAAGTACCATATATATTTTATGTACAGTGTACATAAACAAATGATTGAACTATATAAATATAATATGTAGCGTGCGGTGAGTCTGTGTGTGTATAATAGTATAATATGCATATGAAACGGTGTATTATTTATTGTATAAAACCGGTTATTTTTCATGGGAAATAGTATATGAGTAGTGTACGCGTTAAGCGTTTTGTCGCGAACAAAACGTCGGTTTGTGAAAGATATTCTTGACGTCTCGTCTGTGCGTTTAACAATACAACACAAATAAGTGCAATAATATGCGAATATAGAAATGGAGAACGAGAACAGTAGGTAACGTTAAGAGGCTGTCACAGTAAAACGTATTGTCTGTTACACGCGTTTTATATGAAAAACCCTGTACCGCACTTCTATTAGTATGGTTTAAAGCGAAATCACCTCATGTTACAAATTAAATTTAAACAAAATTCTATCTACGTGTCTATAGAGAAATATTTTATAATGTCTCATTTTTAAGGTAGTTAAAAAAAAAATATATTAACATTTTTTTATTTTAATATTTTAATTTTGATACCCATTATGACAACATATTCTAATGTGAAGGCCTCTTAAAACGCTGAGCTGGGAGATTTTGTAACGGAGGCCAGCAGTAGTAGATTCGCTCGAGTAATACAGGCTGCAGAAGAAAAAAAACAACGATAATATTCATATTTTATACTTGTATTGGAGCAACTCGAAATGTATTATTTTTTGTCGTGGCTTGGGCGATGTCTTCTTGATATTTCTTAGTCATTTTTCACGTGTTTGGTTTGATTTTGCTTGAACATTATGATTTTGTATCTTTAGATGTGTATATTTTAGTATAAATATATATATATATATATATATATATATATATAGGTAAATTTGCGTGACGTTAATATACCGCCCGGTAGCGAAGCCAAAAAAACTAGTGCGTGCATGATTTCACTCGAGGCGTCGCCAAGAATCGTGATCTGCTGTATATTATACGGTTGCGTAACAGTAACAATAGTAATAGAAACAAAAGTCGGACAAAAAAAATAAATGATATATTACGTTTTCTTTTTATTCACAACATACATAATATTCAAAACGTGAAACTATCAGACCGCACGGCGACATCGCCGTAATTGTGTTAGTTCCTTAAATTTACTTTCAAAAATGATTGCACTCGCAAACATTTTTTTGAGTAGTTATTTTGTATGTTACTGGGATTTTCGAAGCTGATGCTGCTCTTCATCATTGTCGACGGCGGTTGCCACCGTTCCCGGAGTCCTGGTCGCTCTGGGATTCAACACTCTACTCCTGTAATCTCTGTTCCTGTACAACGACTGAAAATCCCGGTCGGTGTCCGGATCCATTGTAGTGCCTATCGCCGAAGTAGAATACACAAGAGACATGCCGCGATCCGCGTAATCCGACGGCAAGTAAGTGTTCTTTGATATCGGGGTCATATTGATCCTGGTCCTTCTAGGCACCAAATGACTGTTTCGGTACCGGTTTGATGCCCTGTGGATGTAATACAGTCATATTACAATACATTACAACGTGACCAAGACTTGGGCTAAAAAGACTAGGAGGGTAAAATTTCGAATTCTTGAATTTTAGTTAGTAGTTTATGTTAGTATTAATTATTTGTACAGTCGATCAATCTAATTTGAGATTTAAGACTTATTTATACTTTGATACTTGTTGCCCTTCTCGGAGTAACATTTATGGCTAAATTTGTTTTATAATAAAAATATGTTTAATGGCAATAGTCACTATCAGATGCTATTAAATTATTGAATAATAATTCCTGACGATAAATATGACTGAAAACACAGTAGTTGATGAATGTTAAAAAAGAATATTAACGACAAGATTGGATTATACATAAATAATCGAGCATAACATTATTTGACGATTTTCTATGAAAAAGTTACCCGTCCTTGTTTGGTTTTCAGATTCGAATTAAAAACAACGACTACACAGTTTCTAATTGATTAGATAAGGGTACAAATTACGTCTGTGATGAAGCGAAACGCATAAATTTAATATGTAAGCATTGAAAGTATTACTATATAATATGTATACACGAGTTGTAAACTAGAGGCGTCTTCATATACACCCATCCGAGTATAATTAATTATATTTATACCTGGTACCTACTTAAGTTCGGTCTTTAGGTTTTACTTGATAGCGAAGTTTACATATACCTATGAATATTTAATATATTATATTATAAAGATATGTGTATACTGTATATATCTATATAAATACAAAGGGTGTTTCATTAATGATAAGACACTCGGTTTCTCTTAAAAATAATTACAGTTTTGTAGTTTTTTTTTTTGGAGACACAATAGTTTATGATATTTTACAATATTCAAACTTTTATCCTTTCTATTTCTCCAAACTTAAATGGTAACGTACTTATTTAATAACCTATTAAGAATAATTTGCTGAAAAATTTTACTGGCCGATAACCAGTTTTGAATAATTACTTTTAAAGTTGTTAACTTTTTTATAAATTTAAGACTGGAGGTGGAGTGCGGTTGAGTAGCGCGCGCAGGTAAAAATAATGCTATAGTATTAATGTTTGTTAAAATATATAGTTAGATTTATTATGTTGGCTTTGACTCGATTTTAGTCACGCCAATATACAGCGATTTCTAACTTTTTTTTTTATCTTTTATTGCGCATATTAAATGACAGAATTTAATTTAAATGAAATAATTGATACATACAATATACTCGTAGATCACGCTATATAATATAAGTCGCATTAATTGTTTTACCTGTTGGTACTGTCAACGTAGTCGTAGGTGTGGTCTAGGTATTCCAGCGGATCGACGTCGTAGGCGTTGTTTAATTTGTTGTCGAGTATCCTGCCCCGAGCATACGAACTCCTGTAGCCGCCGTCTCTGCTCCTGTAACCTGGGGACCTGTACCGGGAACCACCGTAGTTGTCGCCTAACCCGTACGACCTCAATATTTGACCAACCACCTCTCCGCCAGGATAATATTCGCTGTTGGCGTCCATTTCCAGCCAAGCAGGATTTATGTAGCGATTGATCTGCCCGTCGATTACCGTCACGGTCATCATTAACCACGCCGATGCGATGATCTAAGACAAAAAAAAAAAATAATACACAAATGAAATCATGTAAGTAATTAACTGCGACTTTATGTAAAACCGTATATCCTATACTTAACAATCGGTGTTTATTAATGTAATAATTACCGTTCGTGTTGTAGGCGAGACCATTATTTATGACGACTATTATCGATTATGATTATTTTTAGCAAACCTGTTCGACTGATACGCCCCGCAAGGGTTCATCACCGTTTTATACATCGACATGGCGTATAATTACGTACGCACATCTTGTTACTGTGATCATTTACCTGTGACAAAACGTGACATATCATAATATGTGGTACATAGTTCGATTAAGGCCAGAATGTGGTAGGCTTATTGATCGTCTTTACAAGGATAACGATTTAAAATTGCCCTATATACCTATATATTTGATTGGCTGTAAGCGATATAAGTATTGCAGACAATCATTTTCAAATTGTTTAATACAAACCCAATAAAAATTGATTTATCCAAAAGAAAAAGAAAACAATATCAAAACCACCGAAAGACCTTATATCGAGGCCAAAATACATGTTGGCCAATAAAAACGAAATGCCATACAAATAACGCTGATGACCAGAATGATTACTGTAATCAGTATGACCGATATATACCCATTTAAAAATATCATCCTAGAAACATTGATTAGGAAAAAATTACATCACCTTTCTCGATTTTGTTTTTCCTACGGATTTGAATATTATGTTTAAAAAAATATATAATTTTAATAGTTAACATATTAGTTTGAAAACTTAAATAATAATCAATATATTACCAAAAAAAAAGGACTCCTCACATGTAGTTTTCTAGGAAAAACCAAACAATATAGCATTCTGTACACTGCGCATTAAAAATTTAATTATGAATACGTTTTTTTGAGTTTAGAAATATTATAACTGACTCATAACTTTTACAATGACCTCCCCCTCCCCAAAAAAGGAGTGTTTTAGTTTTACAATTCTTTATTGGTTAGGTTTTTAGTACTAACAATAAGTAAAAAAAACAAAATTATTTATCAAAAAAATTAATAGAATATTTATAAAGTAGAATAATTGTGTTAAAATATTTTTTTTTTTTGGGATGCATTTCTAAACTAAAAAAAATCTCTTTCCACAAGACACAGTCTAAGTTTCTCTTTCTAAAAAACATTTTTTTTATAGGAATTTTCAATAAAACTTTAAATTACACATCAGAAGTAGGAGCTTTAAAAAAACGTCTCGAGTGGAAATTGGTATTGTATTATAAAATAATTCAATGTCAATAAAGAATCTTTAGTACCAAGAAAATTTAATAAGGAAAATTGCCTATACGCAACCCCTTAAAGAGTGGTATGTGTAGCCGGTAGGGTGCTTATAACTTAAATGTCGAATCTATTAGAATTTGGGATCATGTTGATTATCTGTATGTTTTTTTACTTCTTTATTGAATATTAATGCAAATATTAATTAGGTATTTCCTTTATATTATATTCATGCAAATTAAACAATATACTACCCACTGTAGATAAGTATCAAAACATTACAACCTATCCAACGTCGTCCTTGGTATACAGTAAAATAAAAATTGACTCGATACATAACATAACCAACACTAAATTTAATTTAATAACAATATACAAATTACAATGCGATACCCGTTTTCTGAATACAAGTTGTGTTAATATAAGTTTTGATAATTATAGTCATAATGTTTTACTAGCGAATCAATTCATGTAATTAGTCTCCAATGCTGCATTTATAGTTATTTACACGTATAAACATATTCCATAGGATTAGTATATAATCGTCAATTATTATTCATTTTTTACATATAAACCTCGAACAGTCGACTGACAAATTAAAATGGAAATAAAAAGGTAATATTTCATATTTTAGGTAAGAAATGTCGATTGGAAATCGTAAAAACGTAATTAAAAAAAAATCATTTATTTGCCGTATACATAATAAAATAATTGTTTATAAATTATTACTTTCTGATCGTTTAACCCACCCAGTTCATCTCGAGACCGTTCACCTATTAATTTTACACAAAAACGTAATTTATGAACTGGCTAAGATGTACTGAATGGGTCATCATAATTGTTGTAATTATAGATTTAGTTTCATAATACTACAATATATGTCTTACTAAAAATAATATCACAATAAAAGTATAAATTGTATTAACCCTCAACACAGTATATAATATGATAAGTTACGACACTCGCGAGAAACATGTAAGCTCTAAATTAACGCTTAAGTTGTGGTATTTTCAATAGAAATCCTACAGAATTTAAATCCGGATTCTACATAAAAAAATATTGCGCTAGCGAATTAGTTATTGCTGTCAATATTGTATAAACGGGTCCCATATTTTTGTATGTCTTCGGAGTCACAAAAGAGCTGGAATGAACATTTCAGTTTAGCGTCTACGTTTTCCCCTTTAATCGGAACGATCAGATTGAATTTCACCATTGGGTTGTTTATAGAATCTGCAGTGTTTAGCAATCCGGTAGCGACAACTGGTGAGTCTTTGCCACTGACCAAGTGCACGTTTACAAATAAACCATGCTGTAAAATAAAAAAACACTTATCATACATCCGATAAATGGCAAAATGCGTTACCTTGGTGACAAAGTGTAAGAGTTCTGCACTGTTAGTGCTGCGATAAAAACAACTGCAATTGAAGTCGGTTGCCCAAGCCAGTCTGCTAGGTGAATAGGCAACGTCTTCTTGATCTTTAAAACCCCACGTTAGAAATACATTTGGTTCAAGATGAATTGACCTAGAAGGCAGAATGTACGTGAATATGTTGTACTCGGTTAAAAAATTAGAAAATTTATCAATAATTACATACTTCAAATGTTGAAGACTTTCAACGGTAAAACTCAAACTGTCAATATGAATTTCTAGTTGTGCCGTATTGTTTGGAGTCGGATCAGTCGTGCAGCTCTGTAACATTTATAAATTAAAATATATATATATATATATACATTACATATTGTACTCAATAAACAAATTAGACAGGATAAAATTCACAAACAAAACCAAAATCTGGACGAATCAATTAATTTTAATCCCAAATCGTTCCAGAAATCATATCTGCTCACTTTTCAATTTAACGCACTGTATAATTATCTGAAAATGTATTTTTAAATTAATAATTTAAACTAATGAGAAATTTTACATGAACTTTGTATTAAAAAATTCGAAATTTTAAAAAGAATTAATAGCTTTTATAATAATTATACTAGCAAAAATTGTTAGTAATACTATTGAATCGGAGCTCTCGTATAATTAATAGAATGATGTGAATACTTCAGCCAAAATGTAGGGGGTTTGATACAAAAACACCTTAAAACTTGAAGTTTTAAAAGTACTGTTCAAAATACCTACATTATTAGACTAGTTGCATTGTAAATAAAATATAATAATTAAGGTACTAATATTTAATTGTATAACACTTACAGACTCACTAGACGGAAAGCTTACAATATTGACCGTGGGTTTTATTGTCCGTTGTGCTTGATGAAACGAAGTTTGTGTCTTAAACATTTGATCTCTGAAGCCAATCAGAACCTCTAACATTCTTTTTATCACTTCTTCAAAATCTTTGTTTTCTATGTTGACGTCGAAATGTTTTTTCATTAAACTCACGGACTTTTCGATCATTTCTATGGTAGTTATGAGAGGCTCAGAAATATTCAACGACGATATGTTGATAAACAAATTTAAGAGAATCTTCATTATTTGTGTAGCTACCTTTAGATCACACTCCGACTGTTCAACCTGCAAATCGCTTTATAAAAAACTATTTAAAAAACGTTAAAATAAAAAAGGTATTACTTTTTCTTTTAATATAGTATTTAAGTAAGACTGAGAATTTAGGGCTTGGTTAATTTTCGTTTGTTCTTGATGAAGATCTTGGATTTGACTTTTCAATCTATGATAAGAGAAATTAAAAATGTATCAAAGCTATAAAGTAAAATACAACGATACATTAAAATACAACTGGGTATTTACTTTTTATCTTCAGTGTCCGAACCGTTTTGAACTGAACACACTTTAACGTCATTTGGTATCAATACATTAAGACTAGCCTACAAAATACATTGTTTAAATATTAATTTGACAATTAACAGTTGTATTGGCAAATTTCAGCGTACTTCCAATTTTTCTTTTAATTTCAAACTTTCTTTCCTCATTTCCTCAATTTCATTTTTCTTTTCGATTATTTTCTTTTCTTTTATCTCCAGTTCTCTTGTTGTTTCTAATTTCTGATTCTAAAATTAAATTAATAATTAAATTTAAAAAAAAAATTATATTGCATAGACTCACTTTTAACTGTTCATTTTCATCAAGGTAGTTACTAATTCTACTTTCCATGACATTTATGGTACCCTTTAATTCGGCTATATATTTGCTATTCTCTTCCATTTGCTTCAAAAGGCTAATTCGGGAGTCCGAAAAGTTGTCTTCTAATTCTTTTAGCTAAATAAAAAATTTAAACGCATATTTTCTTAATTCCAAGCTCAAAGTGACATAGTGTCTATTTCAACTTACCTTTATTCCATTATTATTTGATTGTGGTTTTGAAGATAGCTGAAGAAGTTTTTGATTATGTTCTCGTAGTGATATTTTCTCTTTCTTAATATTATAATAATAGACTTATCAACGTAGAAATAATATTATCTCGAGGAAAAGTAATTTAAAACATATTTATTATTTACTTGCAAATCCAGAATTTGTTCCTCCAGTGCTTTGTTCGTCTCTTTATATGCATTAAGCTTAGGTTTCAATTCACTAAACTTTTGACTCTCCTTGATATATTCTTCTTTTAATTTTTCTATAGGTATTAAACGCAAATAGAAAATTATTACTTGACACTATTCGTAGTAAATTAGACTTTTATAATATTTGTAAAAATATGTAGTACCGTGAACGACTTTTTCCTTTTGAAACAATTCGTTGACGTCTATAAGATTTTGTTCATAAGCTTTACACTGGGCCTGTAACATCTCTATTTTTATTTCCATGCTCTTTATAACTCTGTGAGAATGAATAAGCTCAATGTTTTCTCTAAGTTTACTTTTGTTTTCTACCAGACTATTTTCGCTATCAAACGATTCTGTACTTTCGAATTTCTAAAACATTATTTATTTATAAATGTTTTATTATCGAAATCACCTTGTAAATATAATTATTTTTATTAATTGTTATAACTAACTCTGTCTGGAAGTGTAGAAATTTTAGGTTCATCTTCAAAATCTACTCTAGATAATCTAGATATTTTCTGCATCTTGACTGGCGTTGACCTGTTGTTAAGCAATTTATTTTTCAACTACATATTTTGCTAATAAAAAAAAAACATTTTTTGCAAACCTTTGAGAATGTCTAGTTAATGGTTTCTCGGGTCTCTGGTGAATATTAGTATACAAGACAGACGCCGTTTTTAGTTGGTATTTTAAGACTTTAACCTATTTATTTTTAACAAAATTATAATTATTTTATATTCTTATTGGTTTTTAATAAAATTATTTTATAATTATTTATCATAGTAATTTTTATGTACTATTAACGTATTAAATTAGCGGTAATTTACCTTTGAAATTAGACGAATATTTTGCCTTTCGAGCTCTTCCATTTTATCATGACATTGTCCAATAGTCTTGTACGATGTAAATCTTGAGTGCACGGGACACGATTTATCATGCATTAAGCTTTTGTTGGAACAACTGTTTGGGCGGTCAATTATAGAACCTTTACTCGGATGTGATAAAGTTCCATTTGACCTACTCGACGACACTTGAGATGTCATGTCTAATGTACTTTTATGACGTTACGGTAGTTTAATTAGAATTGATCACATCAAACGATTTCAAAAAAATTACAAACAACCGTAGTAATACAAACGCAATAGTTTGCGCACATTTTACCAACGATAAATTAAGAAAATATTATGTAACAAACATTACTGTTAAATTTCGTAGAAATAACAAGTTCAAAGAGTGTACGTTTTACTATAATAAAATACATATTATACATTATTTCACTCCCCAATCTACACGGCTAATACATTACAACGAAGAACTGTAATCGTCAAACAAAAAATATAAATGTATAGTACGTTGGTTAAAACATCATTGAGTATATTGTTGTACTGTTTGTTGCCATGGAGTCTAATACTGCTATACGCACAGGCACCTTTCCCGGTGAGAATACATACATTATAGAAATTATTAAACGTTCAATTTTGATTGATGAACGGTTTTTTCTCAAAGTCTTATTGTTAGGGTTACGGCTTACATAAAAGACTTTTTGCGGTACATATGTCCTGTATGCGAACAAGAAACCAAATAAATTGTGTCTACCAAACTCATTAAATATGTGTTATTAATGTGGAGATTTTAATTGTGGCCACCAACACTGTAATAATACCCACAGTTGCCAAGTGGTCAAATAACGGCAAATGTATTGGATTACTCACGTTAATATTTAATTGAATAAACTACTAAAGAGCCATATCCGCAACGTGTTCACTCTTAAGACTATTTCAAATATTATAACGACTTATGTGCAAAATGTTGACTGATTTTGCCATTTTGGGATGAGATTTTCCGTGTAGTTTTTATGTTACATCGATTATTAATTATAAATTATAGCACTAAATATTGCCCGGGTCAAGAATAATAAATTATATCCTTTGTATGTCTTAAAAGAGATATTCAATAGTAATTGTTTTGTTAAAAGGGAATGCCAAGAAAACATGTACAATCAATTAATATTTTTAGCCTTCATTATGACGGCTAAATTATATAAATATAAACAGATACATAAAATGAACATTCCTATATAATAACAAATATTTTTTGACGATGTCCAGTTGAAATTATATCTGATGGATAAATGTATAAAATATGCATTGACGATTTAGGTGTAATACATGTCCTCTATATCCAATTCATAGATGATTTGGCAATCAAAATACATGTTTTTTTATGCTCACTAAAAAAAATTTTCTTTTTACATTTAATTGGTTAGTTGTTAATTTTTTTAAAAATATGGATCAAAATATTTGGTTAAAATACTATTATCGTTATTATTAAAAACAATTAATACTACAGTTCTAATCAGGGGTCCGGACTCAGGTTCAAGATTTTTTAGTTTTTCCGACAAAGGTTTAATACACTAAAAAAAAGCAGTACAATGGCATTGGGGGGTATATGTCTTGAAGATTTATTATTTTTCTGCATTTAAGTAATTTAGAAACCTCTTTGAGAAAGCAGTTCTAAGCATAAACGGCTAACCTGTTTTTTTAATGGTTTGTAATTATTTGAGTCGAAGTTTGTTGTAGGTACCAATATTAACTAAAAATAGAAATAGAAAGCACAACTTGTATAGTAATAATGATAATAATTTTTCACTGCGACAAAAATAAAGTAATAATTAAATACTTGTAGAAAGATACAGTATAGTGTGAGCAAATAAATTTACTTAATAACAGTTAGCATACGTAAACCTAAGTGAGTAACAATCCCTAATGTAAACATCTATTTATGCCTTCAATTATAGAACATTGCCAAATGATGACTTTTGACATCACGTGGTTTACTTAAACATTATTTAGATAGGTTACATATAAATCACGCCACTATTATTAATATACTTACTAGTTACTATATTAATATACACGATTATTTGTTTTGTTGTCTTACAGTAAATAATATGTTTACTACCTACTTATTTAATATTCTAAGTACAATGAAATGATTGAACTACTTTAACTTTAACTGTAACAGACAACAGTAGAAGGTTAAAATTATAAAATTTGGCTAAATGAGCTTTAAATGACCTCGCTTATCAATTAAATAACAATTAAAACTAGTTTAACATAATAAAAAAAGACAAATTTACAAATAAATGAACAAACAATGACAAATTCTGAAAAAACTAAGTACAAAATCATATACCATTTTAATAAGATTAAAAATTAGCTCTTAGGATTTAGGAGCTATCAGTTATTAAAAACATCAGATGCTTGAATTTACAAATAAAAATCTAAGCTTAAATTAATTATTAGCAAAAAATTTAGAAATAACCCGGGAAAACCAAACTTTTGGGTTTATAATTTTAAAAATACCAATCACTACAAAAAATTCTATTAATATTACAAACATTTTTTTAGGGAACCGAGTTGATTGATTACATTTGGTGTGCCACCAGCTGCTGTTCATAAATTTTTTAAATGTTTTAATAACTAAAAAATTATTTTTTGTAAGCATCACTAGGGTTAAAAACTGTATTAAATCATTGTGTTACATTTATATAACACTTTAAAAATTGTATTATAATATATATTATATTAGTAGTAATATCCCCGTGGAAGGCATCAGTATACTCCCGCGGTATCTTTATCCGGGACAAATGAGAGCTTGTTACTTGTGTCAGATCGACATCCGGTGTAAAATCCGTCAAAAAGCAGGAGCTGTTACACCAGTCACGCGTATGCAGGTCAACCCAACCCTTGTAGTGTCAACAATGTAAACATCACCGTTGCGCCTATAAGTTAAACTTGCGTTTAGATACAAGTGATCAGTATAAAGTAAAAATAGGCTGTTGGAAGTAGAGAATTAGTAGAAGAAGTGAGAGGTGGAAGTCAATATGGGTATTTATTATTTTGTTGTTTTTCAGGAAAGCAAAATAAATACGAAAAGGGTTATACTTATAGAGTAATAATGTCCTCTGGTAGGGATTAATACAAGGATTGGTGTGCCGGTGTGCGGAAATAGCAGCGGATGAAGGTATGAATTAAGTAATAGACATTCTGAGAAAAATTGATAGAATAATTAGAGGGGGAAATTTTAGAGAAGGAATATTGAATATAGTAATCACTTTTTTTTAAAGAAATCCCCAAAAAAATGGGAACACATTGATCGTACAGAATGTAGAGGTCTCACTACGGCTATAGATAGGTTTATCAGCACTGATAAAACGATCGTTATGATAAACGCGACTAAATACAACAAGGATCATCAGCACGGCTTTAAATAAACTGGTTGCATATCAAGCTATAGCATATAAAAAAGCGGCCACAAGAGTTCTTTTCTAAAAATTTAAAAAAGTGAGTGACTGCTAGCGCTTCTTATGGATAAATCGTAGAACTTAATATCTTTTTCTAAATATCCTGTGAGTAAATCGTAAAGCTTTCACTAATAAACCGGCTGTTATAATAAATGCGACTGAATAATATAACAAGGATCATCAGTGAAAAATAATAATTATTAAATAATAATTTTAAAAAATAATATTATAATTATGGATTTATTTAATTATGGATTAGGACCATACCATGAACAACAATCTAAGTCCATAACCCCTTCTCTATTCATCTGAATCTTTATTTTATCTATTTCTTTAAAATATAATATATACTTATACAACTTTTTTACTTTCAGTTCAATTTATTAGTTTTATTTGGTTAATATAATGAGTACTTAGCTTCGATGTGTAGCTAAGAAGGTATTGTTTTTATAATGATGTTTTATTTTTTTTTCGTCTGGATCCCTGATTTCTCCTAAACCACTGAGCCAATTTCTCCATGTAGTAAATTTACAGATCATAAACTGTACCTAAAAGGTACTTTAATAGTCTAAACATTTTTAGTTTAATAAATGATAATTCTCTTATTTTTAGATATATATATATTTTGTACTAAAAAATAAAAAGCTGATTGGCACTTATCATCTTGCACTCTTTCCGTTTTGCTTTTAACAAATGTCTAATTATCTTGCTGGTTATTTAGGCACAAATGTTTTTACTTGAAATGTCTTCTATCTCATTGAAATTGTCAAAAATTACCTTCAGTCAACTTTGACACGATAAACAAGACCTCTGAATTCATTGTAATTTAAGCTCCTACATACTGCAAAACAGACTTATGTACTCCAACTTTTACCAACAAAAGGTTTGCCTACTAGAAGGACATTAAAAATTGAATTATTTTAAATTATGTTCCCAAAAATGAAAATAATTGCTTTTTTAAAATTTTTTATGAGTTGGTCAAATTATTCTAGAAGATAGTATTGTGTTAATTCACTATATTACTCATTTTGAAAATATTATTGAACCATTAGATGTGACATATATACATGGCAAACAACCCCACCATAATACATTAGGCTCGTGTCAACTTCTGCTAGGATTAGAAATTGCCATTAAAACAATGAGAAAGGGTGAACATGCTAGATTTTTAATTCATCCAAACTTAGCCTTCAGAGAATTAGGTTGCCCACCACGTGTACCAGCAAACGCAACAATTTATTTTGAAATTGATCTTGTAAACTATTATTCTCAAGAATACAGTTTGTTGTTTGATGAAGACGTTCGAGATCCAAACCGATATCAAAAAATCTTAAACAAGGCGATGAAATTCCATACAGAAGGAAACGACTTATTTAAATTAAAAATATAGAAAAAGCTACTGTGAAATATAGTAAAGCTAAAAAACTATTACATGTCATAACGACCAATACAGAATATGAAGAAACAAAAGTAATGAAATATTTATGTAAGCTGTATACAAATTATGTAAATGTTATTTAAAAAAATATGCATTTAGTAAAGTATGCTGTACGGCCAAAGAAACAAGACAATATGCAGATCGTTATTCTAAACATAATGCCAAATTGTATCATTCTTGGGGTAAAGCTTTACGTTTACTTAAAAGTTTCACCAAAGCAAAACAAAAACTTTCATATGCTCAAAAAATGAAACCAAACGATATTCCAACGACTTCCAAGTTCAAATAAATAATAATGGAGATGAAAAGAAAAAATACGTAATAATTCAAAAATCCTAAATAATATTCTGCTTTATACATTGATATTAAAGTTTATAAATTATTAAGTTACAGTACACACTGATAATTTTCATTTTCATAATTCTGAATTTACAAAGTAGTTTAAAATGTAATTTAATTATTTATTCTGTACTAGTTGATGGATTTGCAGGTTGTGATATATAAACTGGTGTTGGTCCATTAGCTTGTGATGCCACCTAATAAGAACATTAGTTCATTAATAATTACCTAAAAAAAAAACACAAATTTCTTACTTGTATAATTTGTGGTTGTGCTGCTTGGACCACTTGAACTTGTTGAGATTGAGGCGAATTTTGTACTTGCATACGAAGCATTTGCATCTGATTTGAGTTCAGTTGTATCTGATTTTTAAAAAATAATGATATTGTAAAAATTAAATTTTCCATATTATATTTATATGCATAAACTAATTAATATATATTTGTAGAACCATATCTAAAGCAGGTCCCATACGACTCGCATATTTGGCAAATAATCGTCAATCGCTATACTTTACGAGTCGTGTAGGAGATATTTAATCGTAAAGTATGACGATTATTTTTACTCGGTGTTTCCTGATGATTGTCGACAAATGTGACACGAATCAAAGGGATAACAAATGTTCTTATTAACTATTGCTGAGATTTTCTCACCACCGGAGTTCATCGTCTACAATTGTCTATATTCGCCACACGAAAGACGATAACTCTGCGAGCATCCACGATGATGATGATCGTCAAGTACACTAGTCGTGTGGGACTCGCTTAAGGAATATCATATTAAAACTGGGAAGTAAATAGGCTTGTGTTCCAAAAATAATACTTTAAAGTTAAAAAGGTACTAAATTTTCATTACTTTATTAAAACATGTTTTTTTTTTAAATTAATTATACCATTGTCTTATAGCTATATTTTACACCTGGCTTTTGTTCGGCTAAGGATTAATTAATTGTAACTATGCTAAAAGTAATTTAACTTTGGCAATTATACAATAGTTTATAGCAAGGAATTAATAATGTTTAACTTGGTACAACTTTTTTTTGTTTGCAAAAAAAAAAAAGGTAGTATTGAAGAAAGTAGTGAATTAATGCATAGCCTAAAACCCAATTCAGATGTTCATATGTAGATAAATCAGTTAATAAATATAAGTTTTTGGATAGGTCATAGATAGCCAATACCTACGTTTTATTACAAAGTAATCTTAACTTTGCAATCATTATTTAATATCACCCTTCTACATAACAAAAGTTGATAAATGATACAACTTACAGGTATATGTTGAATTTCTCCTGAAGGCGTGATTACTTGTTGAACTAACTGAAGTACTCCACCTCCATTTGAATTAAGAGTTTGAGAGCTTCCTTGCAACTGTATTACTTGTGGCTGACTGCCAGAAACAGTTGTCGAAGTGTTTGTACTTATATTTGAAGTATTATTTACAATCTTTAAAAAAAAAAAGTTTTGTAAAGTAATTAAAATATTTAAAATTTATAATTAATTAATTTTTAAGTATAAAGCAAACTTATTTATTATTAAGTTCCTGAAATATAATATAAAATAAGTTATTATATTATATTATATGTTATTTTTCATTATATGTTATAACTTCTTCCATGACTGGGGCAAATGCGCAGATACAAAAATTTCATCATTTAGCAATCATGCCTGTTTATTTAGTCATGGTGATGTCATAAATTAATTTATTAATAAACCAAAATATGTGACTAAGAAATTTAGTATCACAACTATGAAATTTAAAAATCTACTTGCATTCTCTATATTAACTTGTTCCTGTGAACCACCGCTTAATGTTACTACTTGTTGATTGGATACTGGCTGCAATATTTGAATGGTTTGTGCAGCGTTTGACGTAGATTGATTACTGGCTTGCTGTTGCTGAGCTAATTGAAAATAATACTGAACCTATAACAAACCATTATTAAATAAAATATAATTAAAATAAAAAGAACAACAATATTTTATGTAATAGCCATAATACCTGCTCAGGGTTCAACGTGGTCTTGTTATCCGATACAGTTCTGGTCACAATTTTTGCTTCTTCCCTAGGCACTATATCTATGAGGAAATCAAACTGATCATACTTCGTAATAGCCATTGCAATATCATTTCGTTGCAATGTTCGTCGTCTATTATCTTCCGTGTGAATCCATGCACGTAATGTCAATTCGTTAATGAATATCTCTGCAGCTTTCGAAAATAACATTGGTGCTTCGGCACTAATCATTTTAACATTTTCATCCAACTTCATTACTTTTTTTATCCTAGCCAGTGGTAAAGCTTGTGTTTTTAAATCTAACTACATAAATATAATAAAACAAAATTGTTTAATACTATATAATTATTTTATTGTCTGCACTTAAAGTTATTCTTACCGTTCCAATCTTTCTTATATCTTCGATTACTTTGGGCCAAAATTGATTCAGAGCAGCTACGTTACATGTTGGATTATCTTCCACAGATATAGTAATAGCATTTGAACCCTCTTCAGTCGGGTTGTCTTCTTCTTCTTCTTCAGTGCTTCTGCAATGGGTAGTCGAATTATGTAATGTTTAAACATATTATATTAACCCAAAAAACACTTACGGGTTGACTAAAAATACAGACATCGTTGAAGACTGCACTATAGTCAAATTATGTCTATTTGCCGCTAAAATAGTCACGTCCAACCAAAATTGTCGGATGGACAAATTTCATCAGAACAAAAGCAGATGTCCAATAGCCGTTCAACTAATAAAACGACGCCCAATCATTTCCCCCCTTGCACAACTATTGATATGAAACGCGTACACACTCCACAGAATGCCACAAACAACAAACTAAAAATTATTTCTTATCATGATAGAAAACAGGTATGTCAGTAATTTGTGATAACCATGAAATGGCTCGAGCGCATGGATATTTTAAATGGACCGCACATTAAAACCTAATAATGTTACCAAGGTATGTGCGAGAGAAACAGAGCCAAACTGGGCATGTGGGTGGGCATATTTCAGTCATAGGTTCCTATAGTCATAGGTTCTCAAATGATAAAAAGTTACCACTTTGGTTATGGCGAATAATGATGACGTCCAACATCACCTTTCGTGGTCCTTTTTGTTTTTGGTTAGGTTATAACTAAGTCCAATACCATTTGAAAAATTATACCATTGAATATTAAATATAATTTATAAACACGAACTAAGATACTAAGGACTGGAAACGGCCGCTTATAATGCGGTCATGAAATACAATAATAAATCCTAATTAAGCGATTGTGGTGCGATCTATCTGAGATGCAAAATATTCCGTCGATGCCCGAAAAAATTGAAAAGCATAATGCTTGGTGATGATTTATAAAACAACGTTTATGTAATTTTCTTTTAATTTATTAAATATTTCTGAAAAAAACAGTGTTTATATGAATATTTGTTTTATTTACACTAATTTAATTACTTGTATAAAAAAAATAGTTAAATGTGCTGTATAATTAAATGTAAAGTAATAAATCCGAGGAAAAAATCACTTCAAAAATTATTTTAATTTAAAATTAGTTAAGAGGTCGCTACATCGGCCATTCCTAAGGAGTAGAGTATAGGCAATTTTTCGAAAAATCTTAATTTAAAGTTTGAACTATAATGTATACTTACTAATACAGTAATGAGGATACTTTGTTGATTGCCATTTTTTTGTCAGACTATCACAGTCATTTCTATAGGATAAATTACATTTTTTCCCCATCAAAACTGCTTTGCGTGGCTTAAATTTTCTCAGGCTGCATATATAGTTAAGAAAAGAAATTCATACATATACATGACAAAATTATCTGTGCTTCAGTACCCGTATTTATTCGATATACCTAATACAACCGACGCTATATCATTTTTAAAAAAGTTTTTTCTTAATTAATTATTCATTAACTGGTTGAAATATTTAAAAAAGGCCATTATAGAGCACAGATAATGTTGTTGTCTATATTATATGAAATTTTGGTTTCTTAGGTTTGATTATAAAATTACGCCGCGCAAGGCGGGTTTTTTGAAGAAAATAACGGGTGGGTGAACGGCCTCTTAAGAAAACACTACGGCTATTATTCGAAAATAAATGACCAGAAGGTATGTTACAGTTGTTACATAAATACCTATGTTAAATAATTTAAAAGTTAAATCTATGAAATCTTTTATTACTATTTGCTAATAAAAATATTAAATGTGACCATTAATTTTTGTTGAATAGTACTGATATTTTCGCCATATTTATTAAACAAATATCTACTCTTACTATTAGGAACGTTACCTATAATTAACTTATGTAATTATCAATTTAATATCTTGAATGCCAATTAATATTACTATCTACAGACATTTTTGAATTATCACAGTGTGTTCAACATTATAATCATTCATGTGGTTTTGAAACTTATTATTTTTAAAAACGTCAAGTTGTTTATATAATCCTAGCCCACACGATACCTCGAAAACTCTTTTTAGAGTGCCTCAGAATGAAACTATATAAAACGATATTGTGAGTAGAAGCATTAGAAATGAAACTTTAAAAAAGTCACCGGATACGTACATAACATTTTAAAGAAAATGCGACATAATTAGTAATTGGAAGTCGGGTTAAGGATATTGTAAATATGCTGTAGCCTGTAAGTCAACATTTAGTTTTTTTTCAAATAGTTATAAATTTGAATTTAATCACTATTAAGTTATGTCTAATTTGAAAGGTTGCTTTAAAAAGATTACAAAAAGATATTGTCCCTAAAGATTTACTAGCTGTTACACGTTATAACAATTATTACAACGAGCACCGTCTAATTCCTATGAGACATTTGTTTTCGATCATAATTACGCTGCAGTTGGTGGTTGTTAAATTAGGGCGGGCACGCACGTGAGACTTTTTGTTGCACAACTTTTTTGTCTTTGTTGCGCTCCATTAGGTTAGGTTAGGACAGTTTCGTCGCCCTTCAGACGGCGGCCAGAGCAACTGAAAAGCTGTGTCGCTCCGTGTGGCCACCTACATATGACTGTACAGACTTTGTGAAAAAGATGAAATAGTGGCGCGACAAAAAGTCTACCGTGTGCGCCTGCCTTTAGATACTAGCAGTACTAGCAATTAGCAACATATTTCTATCAGAAAAAAGAAAAGTTCAGTACCTAACTACAAAAACTACTCATTATTTATTTAATAATTAATTCTTATTGTAGTGTTATTTTTTTAAATATTTAGATCGATTCTGATTTAGAAAAGTCATCATTATACTAATAACTCTTGGACAGTATAAAAATGTTGGATTGGTCAACTAATATATAATATATATATATTGTAATACAAATAATAATAGTAATAATAATAAGCAAATAATTTTTTTTTAAAAGTAATTTCAGTAAATATATTGAAAAACAACTCATTATTACAAAAGGTATATAATAATTAATGTAATTATAAAAAAATGGCATTTAATTAATTAAATATATTTATCATTTTTATGCATAAGGAAATGAACTGCTTTCTATTTACAAGATACTAGCTTTTTTTATTTGACGGTGACCAAAATATAACAATGACAATTATTCTATTTAATTTTTTTACAGATATTCCTTATTAGAAATAATTAGTCATTAATTATAAGAATCTATTCCAGTCATAAAATTAATTTCTGTATTTAACTCGCCGTTAGTACTGTTACTGTCCATGTCGTGGTACCTGATTGGGTACGTCAACAAATTTCCCTGATCCCAAGTAAATAATTCTCTCGTCAGTGAATTGTATTGTACCAATGACGTGTGTGCAAACGGATTGGTGAACGACAAATCGACATCGTTTAAACGGACGTTTTTGTATAAATCCAACGCAAACCTATACTCAAATACAGGTATGTTTTAATTGATGTTTTAAAATGTTTGCGCAGATATACATATTATATCTCTTTGTGTATTATACAAAAAAAAATATTATAATAATTATATTTCACCTGATAGTTGTGTTTCTCTCGGTAACACTGTGCACTACATAAAGTACACCACAAACGATAAACATGTCTCCCGCTCGTTCATGCTTGATGCTAACATTCCAGCCATATTCAATTGCCAAGTTGTCAGGATTGAGCCGCAGCACTGCAGTGTTATTGGAATCTTCTAAACCGTAAATAGCCCACAATCCGTTTTCATCTACTGCCATGTCTAAATAATTTATTCTAAAAGCATAAAAAATGAAATGTTCTTATTATCCTATAGCTATTTGTGTTATAGTACATTACTTGGTTGTATACAAAAGGTTGTTGGGATTAGTAGCATTTAAATACGGCACCTTCATCATTTCTGTAGTGTTCTCTTCACGCAGATCATATTTTCGAATATTAGCAGTGTTTCTTTCGTGGAAATAAAATGAACCTCGGTATATGACATGACCATTACCCTAGAAGTGTGTGTATATCAAAATATAGATGAACTATGGTTTATATAAAGTTATGGTCTATAAAGATTTTCATAATATTTACAATAACGAATTTGTAATGTAACAGTCACATAAAGAGTGTGGCTTAAGGGAATTTAAAGTGGTTTGTTTTTAGACCAAAAAGCCTGACAACATTTTGAGTACTTATGATAGCCTGATTTTAATTTTGTAAAGATGTACGAGTTCTTTAGCTACTTAACTAAGTTATATTTAAAGGATTTTTTTATAAAAAAAATTGCTAAAAATCAATTCGAGTTGGTCAAATTAACATGTGATCAGCGATCAGTAATCGTCAATCACGTCAAATCATTTATATGGGTTTTGAACTATATTAAAATATGTGTACTTACGTAGAACTCTACATTCAAATCGTATTGTTTCGTTGGACCGTTGGTTTTAAATGCTGCTTTATTCGTAAACTCAAAAAGTGTTCTCCGCTGTTCAATGGCCGTTATCCAAATGGTATCATTTGATGTGCGCGGTGACGGATCTTTCATCCAACTTCCCAACGTAAAGTTTGAATACTTATTGAAAACCGGTTTGCCAACAGCATACACTTGACAGTCTACAATAAATAAGCATTGTCGATTATAATTCATTGCAGATATTCATATTTACAGCTGTTAGTTTTCACAGCTTTTGTCGTGCTCAGTAGATACCCAAAGTGCGGTTTGCGAGGCCTTTGATGGAACCTTTAAACAACTGATACACAGCGAGCGGTTGATGACCAAGCAAATCGTCTACAGTCAACTCTTCTTTGCACTCTTTGGTTTCTTTTGTTTTCGGGCAGGTCGGACAAATAATAACTGGCGGGCAAATGTCGTCCACTCCCACGAGTTCCGGTGGTATTTTCCCGAATTTGACCTTGTTATTAGGGTCTATGTACGGCGGAGGTGTTACAAGTGTCGGATCGATTACTGCAAAATGATTTTAATTAAATAATTAAATTTCTATTTGTATAATATAGGTAAATTTACAACTGCAGTGCTTACTGTACAGTGTTATGTTGCCAGCTGTGGTGCCTTCGTCATTTTTGCTCACGCAGTAATACGTACCGTTGTCGGTTGCACTTACCGAAGTTATGTTCAACTGCGTTATGAATTTGTAACTGTAGTTGGATATGTCAATTCGGGTAATCATATACTTATCGTCGTTTTCCAGTATTTCGCCATCACGTTCCCAGTAATGTACGGCGTAGGGGAAAGCTTCGACTTCGCACTCGAAGAAAGTAGTACGGTTCAGTGCAGCCGCCACGTGTTGGTTCTGCACGGAAATCAACGGGGGAACTAAAGCGGATAGTTATTTCATTTATTTATCATCGGTCAAAATATTATAATCGTCATAATATGTCAATCGTTTAAAATCTTATAAGACAATACGATAATATAATATATAGGTGATCCAACAGAATTTAATATATAATGTAACATAACATGAACATTTTACATTAGACATATCATGATGATACGAGTACTTCCTTGAATACAATCAATAATCATAGTACTCCATTTTCAACCACAAATCTTCCGCTTGCATAATACTCACAATGTGTTTCAATCAAAAAATTCTGTATCGCGGCTGGACCTATGCCATTTTCTGCTACGCACCTATACCGTCCCATATGGAGTCGATTGATTTTGGTGATGTTAATAGAATGTCCGGTAACGGATTCCTCTATGCAATGAATAAATAAAATGTCACCATTTATCACTGAATCATACAGTATAAAGGTTTATACTGTATACCTTTCCAAGATCCCATAGGAATCGTAGACGTGTCGAGCTTATGCCATTTGACTTGCGGTGTGGGTTTTCCCGTGACCACGCAACGCAATCGTAAATTATCGCCTTCGTTGACAGTAATGTTCTTCAAGTCCGACTGCCCAACAATAGTTGGTGCTACGAGGAAGTCTGAAGTAGGTACTCCATTTAACGAGTAATTGTAAGCACTAAGACCCGGTTTTCCCGGCAAACCATCCAATCCAGGTTTTCCAGGACGGCCTTTGGGACCAGTTAACCCTTAAAATTAAATAAAATAGATAATACGAGCTCGATATGCATTCTTATTACTATAAGATTTCGAAAAAAACACTTAAAATTGTTCATAAAATAATTTATTTTAAGTTTAGATACCTTTAGGGCCAATTGGCCCAGGAGGTCCCATCGGTCCCATGTCGCCAGGTTTCCCATCCGTACCGTTTAAGCAAGTTGCATCCAATCCTGGCGACCCGTCTTTGCCCGGTATGCCTTAAAACAGAATAATTAATTTATAATATTATAATTGATCCTCGATCCATACTTAAATACATAGGAATCTGTCACTAGGGGAAAAAGCAAGCAAAAAAATGAAATGACAAAAAAAGCAAGAACGGTGTGCATCATGGTGACGTTTCGAAACAGTGAAACTCGTTATTTGGTAATGGCATCCAATCTGCTATAAGCCATACGCTAAATAAATAAAATAGGATCCTATAGGATCGTTTACTATTCTTTAAGCACAACGATAATTTTTAAAATACAATATTTTTATTTTATGTTTTTCCATTATTTATCATTTGATGTTATCTAAATATTGTCGTCATATTATTTTGAAATATTAAAAAACAATTAAAAATTGCAGTAAAAAAAAAGTACAGCAAAATCAAGTACAAGAAAAAATTGTAAAAATACATAAAATAGTATAAACATAAGAGTAAAGTAAGAAAGTAAAATCTAGTACACAGGCTAAGGTTTAAATTAATACAGATAAAACTAGCTCCTGACATCCTAACAATCTGAGCATTATCTAATAAAAATAAGCCAGTACAGGTGGATCGAAACATAGTTAGATAGGTAGGTCTATAAGAATGATATTAAATGAAAGTGATAAAATAACTTTTAAATAAAAGCTTCCAGGCCAGGATTGAACCTGCGAGCTACCGAGAAAATCATGGGTGTGAGCTGAAATAGGTGAAAATTGCATTTGTCTAGCTCTAAACTTTCTTGTTAATAACAAAGTCAACCAAAAGCCTAACCAAAATCAAATTAGATGTTTTATAGATACATTTTGCGTTTTTTAATATTTATATTTGATATTTTTTTTTTACGCATAGTAAAGATAAGTGAAAAAAATTGCCTTTGCTAAAGTATACTAGGTAACTTAAGCCAATGTGTTGGATAATTTGTAAATGTTCTAAAAAGAAACAATTATAAATTAATGCACTCCTACTAAAAGAGTGATAATAAAAAAAATCAATACATATCACATGAATAATTTTCGGATATATTCGCGTCAATGGTTGTTAACCAACGTTTCGGACCCTTTGCAGGGTCCATCTAGTCCATCGTTGGTTAACAACCATTGACGCGGATATATCCGAAAATTATTCATGTGATACATCAATCCGCGAAAGCTTAAACACATTCAAATCAATACATACTTTCTTTGCTTAGAGTGTAAATCAAATTATAGATAAAGTACATTTTTTTGCTTGGTTTGAAGAACAGATTCACCTCGAAGCGTTTTTTTAAAGTAATTTTATCAATTTCAGTTATAATTTCTGTAGACCTGTCTACCACTCCTATTATATGCTCTGTTCCTACTATGCCCCGACCCTATTGTACTGGCTTTTAAATATACTTACCGTCGAGCCCATTTTTTCCTGGTACTCCATCCAATCCTGGTTCTCCTGGTATACCATCACGCCCGTCCAAACCTTAAAAAATATAAATGTATTTTAATGAAGAGGAAAAGTTATAGCCAAAGTATTTTTATTTTTGGTAGAAAAGTTAAGAGAGTAATGCGTTGTTCAAACAACCACATTCTCTTTATGTTTTAAAAGAATTAAAAGTACCTTATATATATGTAGCTTACTTATAAGAGTTGAGGGGGCCTAAAAATTAAAATACTGGAAAACTTTTATTTTTATTAATAACTAACATTTCAATTTTATTAATAAAGAAAAGACTAAAATATTTACTAGTAGTCTTAACTTCTCAAGCCTTTTAGTTAACACTATGGTTACAAAAGTTATTGATTAGAGACTTTTGTCGACTTAACGTCAGCTAAGTGGGGAACGGTAAATAGCTAATTTCTTTTCGAGAAGAAGCCTCGCATCATGGCTAATGACAAATTATACATACCCGAATTCCCTGTTTTTCCACTGTCTCCTTTCTGACCTTTAGGACCCACCTAGAAATGTATAAAAAAATGTATACTTCATAATAAAAAAAAAAAATTATTTTATAAATATATACAACGCCGAGTTTTTTCTCGACACCTACGAACCGGTCCTGGTAATCCTGTTGGACCACGTGGACCTTCAACGCCGATCGGTCCTCTTTGGCCTTGATCACCTTACACAATAATAAAATTACATTTTTTCATTAAAATCTAAAATATATATATTTTTTTCAAATAGAAAATGTATAAATACAAATCGGATTCTATCGTACTCTCTATAACAATATTTACAATTAATTATCGAATACAACAGATTATTATTTGGTAATAATGTAATATGTGGTATCAGATATTGTATACATAACTATTGAAGCTTTCGAAGGAATCCTACTCTATTTCAATATTATAATATTTACCTTTTGAACCTGGTAGGCCTTTAGGGCCAGGTTCCCCACGAGGACCTGTAGGACCTTCTTTACCTGGTGGACAATAATCTCTTGTAGAAGCACAGAATCCTTGTAAAGCAGCTACCTGCGAATACAATTATTCCAATGGTATTTTTCAATAAGAGCATGAGTTTATTAATTGGTGCAAAAATGATCTCTATTCGCTGTGTTGCAGTTTATGACAAGTAGCAACCAATAAACGATAATAGCTATAAAATCATAATATGTATATTCCAGATGTTCTGTCATAACCGTAGGGTTATATAATACATCATACATGAGCCCTACATTTGAAATGTGTTAGAACCTAACTGTAATAGTACTAATTAAATTTAAAAATCTGATCGTTTTTCGCTAAGTTATAAAATATCAAAGTTGAAGGTTGAAACCCAGGTTAATTTGTTTTTCAGTTTTTCTCGGTTTTGTGGATGAATGAATTGACTTTTTCAACTTTTGACCTACTAAAGTACCAACCGCATAGGATTTTGTATCTATAGAGGTGCTACACGAATAATTCGGTCCACGGGAAAAAGTGCGTTATCATGTTATCACACACCAAACAAAAAATGAAGCTAAAATGTATTAATGTATAATATATTATGAAATGTATTGTAATTTGTTTTTAAAGAACTTGAGGTGAGTTTTGAATGGTTCGTAACTTATGATTGTAGCCTAGTGCCTACTATAAGCCTTTAGTTTAGGTTTTAGGCCTTTTATTTAATAATGTCAATGACCTCGATATTACATTTATCTTCTTTTATTTTATTTTCCTCGAATTTCCAGCCTTGAATTGATTAATGTGTAATGCCGAGCACGCGCTACTTAAATAATTTTTATTGGATTTAAACTTTTTGCGTCATTAAAGACCTTATATTTCCAATTGCTTCCCTGGTGGTAATTTTAAGATATCCATTACCCGTAAGCTAGCCTACATAATATATTTTCTTCATTTATCTACAAAAATATCTTACTATACTCGATTTAGTATTTACTATTCGACTTTATTGATGCTTTAATTTTAAGCATACACAATGGCGTACATCTGGTAATTTCCAAGGGAGAATCGTGTAATAAAATTATTAGAAATCAAACTGTTGTCAGAACCAGTATAAAATAGTTAAGTAGAGATTATTGTCATGTATCATTTTATTTTTCCAACGAGGTTAAATTCCCCCTCGACTCCCTGATGGACACCGATGTACGTACATTATTATACTTACGGGTATTCTGGAGTAAGCGTTCAGCCAATACCATTCTTCACGTGTACCGTTGAAAGAGGAATCAGCGTTGTGGTCGTTGGTTTCTTTCTCAACAATAGGCCTTAAATTAGGATTGATGAACTCAACGTTTTCGCCTTCTCTTTCGGTTTTCGCTCCCAACAATGACGACGGCGAGGATGACGAAGATACGAAATTTTCGTCTATGTTGACTTCCCTGCGGGATCTATGACCAACCGTCACTGCTGCCGTACATCTGTTGTCTACTTCGCGTACATAATTGTACAGACCGTACAGCAGAACGTACTGGACTATAATGACCGTGGCCCAACATACGTTCGGCAAGTACTGCATGATAGAACACTATAGGTATTTTCGCGCGACCAGCAATATGATATTGTTATGACAATGTTGATTAAACAAAAGGGGTCCCCGGCGTAGTCGAACTGTCTGAACTCTCTGCTCAGCAATTCAACGATAGCTCGATTAAGCAGATCGCTATTCCCCTTTTGTACAGTCTCTGTTAACGATCTTCTTTCAATCAAGTACAATTAATGGTACACTCAACTGATTGGCATTAATTATCACGACCATCGTTATTGAAGTATACACATAGCAATACAACAGAGTAAAATATTATTTTAATGAAGTGTGTACAAAATATTAAGTAAGCTGTATTCTATGTATACAGTACACGTACACCGTACCGACTGATCTGTTTGCTCGGTGCTGCTAGAAATGATGCCATGATTACTGTTGAAATTATAAACGACAGCTTACTGTTTCTCGCCCGGGGATGTTAGTAAAAATATATAAAATTATACGACGTTGGACGTGTATCAACATTTACCTACTCCTGTGAATGGTTCATGGAAAATTATTATGAGTAGAGTATATTTATTCTGATATTTATCCTGCTATAATTATAATTACCTAATGTATGAATTTATAACCACAATATATAATATGAACGGGAGAGAATGAGTATTTAGAGTTAAGCAATATAACTATACTACTGTCTACTGGGTACTGCTTGTATGATTATGCAGTAACAACATGCCAAATGACTACTGTCAGTGTCATGGTCATTGTTCAGCAATCTTACTTTGTAATTCCTGCGTGTTAGGACTTAAGTTACACGATAAGTTTATAGTATAGACTCTATACTTGTTTATATAGAAAAATTAACACTGATCAACCACAGAATATCATGTATCAGCACTGTCCATTTCTCAATCATATTCAAGATGTCGGACATGATTTTATCTCGTCCCATAAGAGTCCATGTAAAAATTGAATAGTTTCCTTTCTGTATGTTCTGTGGATCAACTGGCGTATGCACTCGCCACTCTGATAACTGATTAGTTAGAGACTATAATATAGATATTGTATACTAAAGTGGCGACCCGCATAAAGTTGTCATAAAACCAATAATTTACCACTCTGTTTATATAGGTCCCTAGTTGTACCTACCCGCAAGCCACAGTCCATTGGACATTTTGTAATAAATAATAATATGTAGCGACCGTCAGTCGTAAAGTGTGCTGTGTGTCCGATAAACGGTTATATCTCAGTAGTCGGTAGATAACTGTGGCCCGATACAAGTATAGGTATTCCCCCTTATTACTATATAATTTGGAGAATTTTCAAGTAACAAAATATGTCTAGTTCGAATGAAAACCATTCGCCAATCATAGTCGATCTTGTGACTTGTGACAGTATCAGTTAGTGGTGGATAATAATTGATAGTCTTTACTTTGGATAGTTTTCAATAATTTTTAATTTTAACTATTGACAAATATCGATAGTGTTTAATCCATTTAGTCCTTATAGGAGGAGCAAATACATTTAAAACGTTATTCGTTATAACGTTCTCGGAACAAATAAACTAAAATCGTTATTCGGTATAACGTTCTTGGGGTAAAAAAAGTTATAATGTTTTTTGTTATAACGTTCTCGGACCAAATAAATTTAAAACGTTATTCCGTATAACGTTCTTGGAGTAAAAAAAGTTATAACGTTATTCCTAGTTAATGTTCATGAACATTATTTTGAACTGAACGAATAAATATCGGTTAACGGAACCCTGTTATTTACCACTGGTATTTTGATGTAATAAATAATTTATAATTGTTGTTAATGAAGTATGAACCACATAGACCTATAAAGAAAATCTTTATAGGGCTATGATGAACCACTCCAAAATTATGTTAATAATTTTGCGCAGAATAACCAGAAGGGAAACTTTAAAAAGATTACATGGGTGCTTTTATATAGCCAGCAGGCTCTCAGAGTAATGATAATAGCTATACTTTGTTCAGAATAAGAACAGAGTAATGAGTATAGACCACAGAATAATTTTCTGTGGCTAGACTATAATAGATGGGTTATAGAATTCCAAGAAAAAGCATGATCAATTTACGTAATCACTAAAAACAAAATATCGACGCTTATCAGTCCCGGCGTAGGTTTCCCTTCTGGTTATTTTGTGATAAGGTAGGTAGCTAATCATTTTATCATTGATCAATGGACAATAAATAATAAGTAAGGATAGTAAGTAATTGTATCAACTTTTTTTAATTAAAAGTAACGTTTATTACATATTATATGTCTTTTGTTATTATAACTTTGTACTTTTTTTTTGTCGAATGTGAAATTAACCATATTTATGAAATTTCATAATATTGTTTTTATGTCTATTAAAATACCTAATAGCATGGCACCAAAAAAAGTTACCAAAAAATCTCAAGAAAAACTAGAGACTGCTATTACTGGACCAATAACAAAAGATAAATCTGGTAACCTCCTTATAAAAATTAATGCCAAACCTGGAGCGAAAAACAATAATATTACTGGTATATAATATAACAACATATTTTAATTTAAAATAGTAATAAGTAATATTAATATTTAAATTAAAAAAATATCTTATAACAACATATTATAGATGTAAGTTCTGATGGAATAGGAGTTCAAATAAATGCTCCCCCCACAGACGGAGAAGCCAATGCAGAACTAATCAAGTACCTTTCAAAGATATTAGGCCTCAGAAAAAGTGATTTATTGTTAGATCGAGTAAGTTTAAAATTTTAAATTCATTATAAAGTAGACTTATTATTTATTTCTTACAGTAACAAATACAAATCAAATTCCTTAATAAGATACATTATACATGTAATATTACCATAAATAAAAACAAACAAATTATTAAGATTACTATAATTATCTATTTTAAATATTAGTTTATGTATTGTACTTTATTTGCCTAGAAACTCATGTTATGAGCAGTTCACTTAACATACTTTTTTTAAAAAAAATAGTTTCTGTAAAATAAAAAAAAAGATTACATAAGAGGATGTAACATTTAAATATTTTAAATACTAAAGCCTGCTTCAGATTTCCAATTCTACTCTGAAATTATTAATCGTAGAATATATGAAATTGTTTACTTAAGAATTTTTACTTTTTTTAAAAGTTCATAGAACAAATGCCAATTAAGTTATAGAAAAAACATTTTATAGACTCGTAGACGAAGTTCTGATCTTTCATTTGGTACTATAGACAATTTTCTATGAAAAATAGCGTTAGAGTACTATTCAAAAAACAAAGTTATAAAAAAAAATTGTAATGACGGTCAAAGATGTTGTGATAGTCAGAAAAATAAATTAATTACCAAAAAAATATCTTAATTACTGAACTAATAATTATACATCACAGTTAACCTGATTTTGCAAAAAATTGCTTAAACCTAACTCCTTTATAAATGGGGGTATGCCGTATGACGTCCTCTTAACGAAAAAATACGAATTAGTCAAAGATTGCCCAAAAAATAAAAAAAAGTATATAAATAATAGATTATATATATATATCTGGTCCCTGGTAAAAAGGGCTTATGTCAATTTTACCAATTAAACCAAAAAATCAGCAACTCAAGCTTTAAATCTACGGTAAAAAAAAATGTTGTGAAAAATTGACTTGAGTCCTTTCTGCCTGGGACCAAAGTAAGTAGTTATTATGACATTCTACACCAACCTAATAGTAAAAATCATGTTTATTTTTATTTAGGGCTCGCGATCTCGAAATAAAATTATTGTTGTAAGTGGAACTATAGAGAATGTAGAAAGTCTGACTGAAAAATTTAGAAAAGAAATTGAAGAAAATGTATAAGTGTAAGTAAAATGTCTAGCAAATAAGTTAAATTAAAATTTAATATTTATTTATTGTATATACTATATGATATTATATCTATTTTTTATAATTAAAATAAAATAATATTCATGTTTTCTTTCTAATTTATCCATATAAAAATATGTATTGTTATATTATTGTCTTCAGTATATTATTTTTGAATGAATATATTTTGATTTTGTTACAATTACTCACACATAAGATTGTCCTAAATTCATTAATATGATATGATATAGGGGTACATTTTTTTGAAATTTGATAATACTCGGTAGACAATATTTTTGTGAATTATATCCAAGTATGATCTCTATTTACTACAACTCTAGAGGTCTATATGGATGGTTCATTTTAGTCAGTTAAATATAACGATCTGAATTAAGTCAAAATTATTAACATTTATTGTTATTGTTCTAATTGTGATAAAAGTGTAGTTTTTTTATTGGTTATATTAGAGTAAAACGCACTTTATAATTTCAGTTATATCTGAAAATTATATCAGTATTAATCAAATTTGAATAGGCAGTAATAAATTAAAAGGGTTCGTAGACGTATAATATGCCTTAATTTGCAGTTGTATGTATGTCTATATGGTCTAAGAACTGTCTATACAACACTTGATAAATTGTAGCATGGTCTTAGAAGATCGTGATGTATAAGGATTAACTGTGTTATTTGTCATAAATAAATTTTATATTAAAAACATTACTATTATATATGTATATGAGGGTGGTCCAAAATGTAATTTGTTTTATATTTTTTAACATCTACGAATATATTTAAGATACATTTATATTAGATCTATGTAAATTGTAGATCTAATAGCATAAATGTGGAAAGGTATTTATATAAATAAATATTGAAATGAATTATTTTTTATTTAAATATAATCCATAAACTTATAATACAAATGTAAATTCCCCCATTCGTATCTAAAACAATATTGATATTCCACCCAAATTATTGTACTTGCTTCGGCAATAAGTATACTATATTAGGAACGACACAAAGAAAATAGCATGACCCTGCATTTATTAAGGCTGACATGCAAAAAAAAATGAAACTAATTATTCAACTATTTTTAAAAACATATAGCGCGCCGTAATTTTAAACATGGACATTTTTTGCGTGTTTTCTCGATTTTGATAGTGAAGGGATAAACGTTTTAATTTTTGGCCTACTTTTAGGTATAATTTCTGATCTACATACTTGTTAATTGAAGGAATCGGCTCAGCTGTTTAAAAAATGTCGGGGTTCCAGACACGAAAAGAAAAATACATAATTTATCATTGTAAAAACAATACCTTCTCGGATCCGCATCGAAACTAAAAATATCCCTGTTTTTCATTACCTACTACACTAAAATCCGAATTTCAATTATGCTGCCCTTACCAATTCGGTTTGATTAAAAAAAACCAAAATGTTTACTAGTTGAGCCGATCCTAATCATTTGCTGTAACGAGGAAAAGTTTTCTGTTTATAATTCTCCTAATTTTCCCATTTTATTATAAATTTTCTACTGCTAGGCTAATTATTGACGAAGAAATTAATTTGACATGTAATTTCCGGGGATCAGTGTCTTTTTAAGTGAAAAATCCTAACCTTACTATTTACAAATACATAATTTTCATTTTACAATAGGTACCTACTACATAATTTTTCAACATCGCAAAAATATTTGTTTTTACATCACGTCATTTTTCTCAACATTGCAAACGACGCTTTAGAATATACTCGATGTGGATCAGACACAAAGACAGAAAATTAACGTGAAATCTATACCTTCTCTGTTCCGAAACGAAGTTACAATATTAAATATAATAATTTGCTAAATAAATTTAATAAATAACTTAATTTATTAGTTATTAAATAAATACACGATAATAAGTATCTTCAACAAATTCTTCGTCGTATAAACGCACGACTTATAATTGTACATTCGAGAATGTTCCAAATGTGTTGTTGTTATTATTTTAATACTATGAAATATTTTGGCAAAAATACCGAGTATAAAATAAGGACGTTTTGGACATGAGTAATAACAAACAAAATTAAGGCAACGCGTTATTTTTAGGATTTAGAGTAATCTTCCCACGCGATGCTACCGCTAACGACTAAGGTCAAACACCAATTGTAGTAAAAGTAAAAATAAAATCAAAGGGATAGTTGAGTAATATTAGTGAGAAAACTGATACCTATAAATAACAGAGACCGCGTATGTTATCCAACAGTGTTGGAACATCACGAGGACTAGGTAGTTACTAATAGTTACTTACATCAATTTCCTTAACTTTTCTTACCATCTATAACGACAAACTAGAAGTAAGTAAAATACATGTATTATATACATGTTCACACAATTTAATAATAATGTTGTTAATGTTTTTCAGAAGCAATGTCGTCTTCTTTGGTACCATTGTTTTTCCGCGATTGGTGGGAAGATTTTGAAAGAGAGCGATTGCCCAGACGTTTAATGGACCAGCATTTTGGATTGGGATTGCACAGGGACGATCTCTCTAGTTTGTCTTCTGCCTTGACTACTCCATTGAGGTCGGGTACATATTATAGACCATGGCAGAGCATAGTGAGTCGTCAAAACAGTGGTATGTCAAACATCTCGTTAGACGATAAACAAGTGCAAGTCATTTTGGATGTGCAACAATTCACTCCGAATGAAATCACTGTCAAAACATCTGAAGGGGCTGTTATTGTCGAAGGAAAGCACGAAGAAAAACCAGACGAACATGGCTTTATATCTAGACATTTCAAGAGACGGTACTTACTCCCCAACGATGTAGACATTGAAAAAATTGTATCAAGCTTATCTTCAGATGGTGTACTAACAGTCAGCGCACCAAAAAAGGTAAGAATAACAGTTATTTATTTTTTCCAACAAATATAGTTTTTTCTTTTTTTAATATGATAACTTAATAAAATAAGTATAAATTTATATATAATATTTATTTAAAATCATAGCGATAGAAATTTAAGTCAACAAATTAGTTTTTGAATACCGCAGGTGTATAATAATAATAATAATTTGTACTATAGACTAATGAAGCTGCAAGTGAAAGGAGTGTACCGATTATTCAAACTGGTGTGCCAGCAATAAAATCAAAAGAAACTGAAAAGATACACACTGAACCAGCCAAAGTTACTGAAATTAAAGTCGAACATCAGTAAATAAATGTATAAAAAATTTGTATTTTATAACATCTACCTACAATGAATTGAATATTATATTGTAAGTCATATGATTATTTTTTTTTTTATTAAATAATATAAATACAGTTAACAAGTTATTTCATTAATTATTTATAATACTATTCAATACTTAATATAACCGTAAATAAATATCTCAACAATTTTAGGTAGGTTGGTTAGGTTAGGTTATATAAATAAGAAATATGAAAATGAATGTATGTAATTAATTAGTTTTTATTCCATCACTTATTTTTAATTTAAAATATTACACTTAAGTCTTACATCTCAAAATAAACCATTAAAAAAAACATTATGAACAAATTAAAACTTAATTTAGAATATTTTCAAGAAATGGACATTTAATCAAATAATAATTTTTATTGTTCAGATTTTTTATAATAGTACAATCAACTTCAGTGTTTTCATACCGTTTCAAAAGTTTTGATTTTTCCAAATCTATTTCATCAATATTTTCTATAATAATAAAAAAAAGTATGATTACAAAAAACATGTATTATTTAAATAAAACTATACAATTGAAATTTCAATAAAGTAGAACTTTTAGTTTCAGTAACATAATTGATTCTTTGGTTTTGATGTAAACATAATGTAAATAGCAAAAATAACTAACTAATTAATACTAAAAAAAAATTCATCATTACAATAAATAACATACCTAAAAAACAGCAATATACATGAATTGGATGACATATAACTTCTTCTGGTATTTTCTTTGTATTTCGCGTATGTAAATAAGCAACATTTCCCAAATCAACAGAATATGTTTTAGCTGGTTCACCCGGTCTAGTTTTTTCACATACTACTCTATACCAAGATCCATCTAGAATATAATATGATTATATAATGCTATGCTTGTAACTTATTTTTAGCTTAACCAATTTTCACAGAAAAGAATACTAGTATGTAAACTTGTATATATAGTTATAAATATATTTGTTTAAAAGCATTTACCTGGAAATTGACCTAAACATACTTCATCAATTCGAGGAAAATATGGACTTGAGTTTAAACTGCAATATTCTTTAATCATATTACTCAAGGTGGAAAATGATTTTCCAAACATCCTATCTCTCATATAAAATACTCCATCATGGAACAACACAAACGTTAAACTTACTATTGATTTCTCAAACAATTCATTTTCAATTAAATGATCATACTTGCAAATATTTGTTACTTCATCAACTGAAATGTTAAATTTTGTATACAGTAGGAAATGATGAGTGTAAATCACAAGGAACAATATTTAAATATTTTTTTTAATTAAGTTGAATGACATAGTATTTAAAAAAATCCTAGTGTTAACTTACTTGGATTAATCTGTATTTGTTTTAACCATGTTGGCAAAACAAGTCCACGCAAAATAATATTGATATTTTCTTTTAAAACAGATAAGTGTAATTCAACTGATTGCCAACTATTATTTTCTTCGTCGAAATACTAAAAAATTATACAGAAATATAGATTAAATAATGAATAAAGTAAGACTGAATACTTGCCACAGTTAAATTATGACCAATAATGTGATTAATAAAGTCTCTTCCATAACCATTTACTGGATATGATAGCGCGTCTAACATTCCAACTTTTAAATAACATACAGGGGTCTAAAGCGCATACCAAATGTTTCATTGTTAACAATATATTATATTATTATAAATAAAAATATAGTGTAACAAAAAATGCATACAAATTTATGTTCAAACTTTAATTCTATCATTTCAGATAAATTAATTATTTCTTTTAAAGGATTATCCATGTGTCTTACAATGTACACATTACTTCCTAGGTGTGTACAAATTCTGCCTCTGACAAAATTATCATTGCATAATCTAGATTTAAAAGCAACAATTTCTCCATAAAATGGTTCTCTGTCTAAAGATTTTCCTAAATAATAGAAACATATTTAACTTATATTACAGCTTTATTCAGGAGTTAAAGCAGCTTAGTAAAATAATTAAACAATCCTTTATTACATGCAATACTATAGAATATTTACCATTTTTATAGCAATAAGCTGCCAAGTTGTTCCAGGTCATAAAAAAAAAGTTAAAATGGCTTTTTTCTTTAGACCTAATGTAAAGGGTATTCATATCTTTTAATTTTAATAACTCTACTTTGCTTCCACTTTTTATATTCACACAAGGGACACCATACTCTTCAACAGTTGGTCGCCATGTTTTCAACTGTATTTTAACTTCCTGACTTTCGACAAATAGAAGCAGCACAATTCTGTCAGCATTAACACTTTTTATTTTAAAAGTATGCGATTTCTAAAAAAAAAAAAGGTTATAGAATGAATGTGAATACAGATGTAGTATAATAGAAGTAATAATATAGATTTTGTGTTAATACTTTCAGTAGTGGTACGTGATCGCCTCTTGTAAATGCTTTGAATGAATATATTGGTACTGAAGAATAACAGTTTGGAAGTGTTCGTAAATTTGCAGTATTGATTGCTCTCCCATAGTCGCATAACACTACATTAGCACTATTACCAGCCACAAATACTACATAACCACGAGCAAATGAATTTGTAACAATATCGAATGCACCAACCAACATTTCTGCTTGAACATCACTCCTTAAAAATATTATAATATTTTATTTAATATATATAATGAATGTAAAATTGTCTTATCAATATCTTACAAGTTCAGGACATTTGATTTTTCTATATCTATACTGATACTTTTCAATGAGTCTAGTACATTTTCACTATTATTAAAATTTGATACCCAGCCAGTAAACATGTTCCGACTTAATTTTTTTCCAATTTGAATTTCACCACCATCACAATTTTCAAAACGCTTATGGAAGTCCAATGAATGAATTTGGAATACAGGCCTAAAAATAATTAAAAGTTTGTTGATTTTTATACTCTAATAATAAATACAAGATAAAGATAGTGTACACAAAAATATATTTACTTTTCTACTTTTTCCCAATTTCTGTTGAGAGGTTTTCCAAAGATGTCATCATTTTCAAGATTAAACAATTTTGTTTTATTCATACATTTTTCTTTGTATGCTTTATCAATTAATGTTTGACCATAAACATCAGGTCCAAAATAAACTGACTGGCTATATAATTTTAATTAATTATATTACAAAATTAGAAAAAAATACAGTTGCAATTGGCTTTAGATTATTATAATATTTATGCAGTTATGAGAAATGTAATAACTTTTTTTTTAAGTATTTGGTTAGGGTGGCAAGGCATCATTTTTACAAAGATTTGTCTATTTTTATGAATATCCTAGCTTGTGCGGACTCTTAAAAAAAATGTAAACGTCCTCTTATTTACTGTAAATAAGAAAAAACACTATATGTGTAAATAATTTATACATATTGTATTTTTTTATACAAATTTTGATGTTGTTTTTCTGAAAAATTATCTATAGTAGCAGGTGGTAATGATTATAAAGTCTATGGTTCATACAAACATCATAGTTATTCTGTAAAATAGATTTAGTTTAAATTTTAAATTTCTCCTAAATGCTATAACTTCTTTGACAAACTGTAGTTTTTTCTATTGCTCTTTATATTAATAATAATCTAAACAGACAAAAAAAAAAGGATTTTGGATTCAGTGTTGTACATGAATAGGGTCTTTATAAAGGGATCTATAAAATGTTTTTTGAGTATTAACATCAAATTTACTAACCTGTTCGTAGCAATTAGTTCAGTTACATCATTAGAATTGTCATGACTGGTTTTGAAACATTCATTAGCTAAATTTTGCACTTCAGTATTTTCAATCACAATGTCATCAAATGACGACTTGATTTCATTTCGAGCATGGCTTGTAAGATCAACAGTTATGCATGGTGGAAATATTGATTTATCTTTTAAAATGTTATCAACAGAGCTGCAATATTAATTTCATATAAATTTAGTTTAATTTTTTTTTGTATTAAATGTTTTTAAACTTAACTTAATGAGTTTTACATACAATACAAGGACAAGTGGCTGAGTGGGAAAAAGGGCAGTGTGCAGCAGTCACATTTGCTGGTTCTACATGCAATCATAGGTAACTCCGTCATAAGCATGATTCCCCCTAATTGCCTGGCTTGGGTGGGCTAAGCCCATCCAGTTTTTAAACGTAATGTAATTTCAGGATCTGGTATGTATTTGACCAAAAGTATTGTGCTTTTGTATACATAGGCACAATTAGGGAGGGCAGACTTAGGGGTGCTAAGACCCCCTAAGTCTGCCAATTTTAAAATAAGCACTCTAATATTTTTCTTATTTATGTATTAATACCTCTGCTTATAAAAATGTTATATATAAAAAAAACTAAAAGCTTTTTGCAGAGTTGATAACATTATTTATTATTCAGTATTATTTATCATTCAGGTGGCTATCACACTTCCTATTAATTTTGCATCTTATGAACGTTTGTTTTCTGCTTAAAGAAAAATTAATATTCGGCTTAGGGTTTCAATGAGACAGGAAAGACTTACAATTGCCAGTACTATACATAGAAAAATATATGACAAATTTAATTAACATAAACAAAGTTATTGACACATTTGCAGAACAAGCAAAGTGTATAACTCTTGTATAAAATACCTGTTAATTGTAATATTGCATACAATTTTATAATTTGTTGTTATAAATATAAAATGTTAATAAACTAAAGTGTCAAGGGAATGCGGTCGGTCTGTTTTTATTGACGTTTTAGACCAAAAAGCCTGACAAAATTTCGACTACTTAGAATAGTCCCATTTCAATTCTATAAAGATAGACGAGTTCTTTGGAAACTTAACTAATTTATGTAGAAAACAAATTTTTTGCTTTTGTTATGTAACAAAATAGGTTTTAATATTGAAAAAAATTCAAACTTAATTTATTTAATTACAAGAAACTGAAATTTAAAATGAAAATCGACTTCCTACATAACATAGTAAAGTAGCCAAAGAACTTGAATCTATATACAGAATTGAAATTGGATCAACTTTTATAGTTGAAATGTTGTTTGTATTTTCAGTCTAAAATAGACCAAAATAGCCTTTACTCACAGTAAAAATTATTTAAATTATTTAAATTAAAAATAATACTTTGAAGCTTTTACAAAGTAACCTATAAATTAAATAACATTGTCAAAATGTATTAAAACTTATTTTTCCCCTTAAATGTTAAATTAATATAGGTACAAGATTCTTGCTCAAAAAAACATTAACCTGATTAATTCAAATTCAAACTTAAATACATAGAAAATGCTTAAGCAACCTCAAATTTTTATTGAAATTGCGCCTATGTTTTATAATTTTTCAAAAAATGTGTATAAGTACTTATAGTACAGTTATCATAATATCATCACAAAATAGTATAAAAATCCTAAACTAGCCTTTCCTAGAAAAAAAACTCTGTTTGCTGGCCAAGAAGACACTGATTTCTTCCAGCAATACTAACAACCCATTCTAGGTAGCGAATATCATTTAAAATATTACCCCTTCCCCTTAGTGGAGCCTATAAATGCTAAAAAATAAGCCACTAAAGCCATTATAAAATATTATAGTATAAATGGAAATGTTAACATTTCCTGTAAATAATAATATTCTAAGTTATTCTAGTTATATTAGTTAGAAGACTTTATTGTAATGTTAATAATATTGATTAAGCTGTTAAATAATTAATATTTTTTACTTCTATTATTTACTTACTCTTTTGCTTCAAATTCTATAAATGCGACGGTTTCATTTCGATTATTATTATGAATAGAGATATTTTTTACTGAACCAAACTGCTGACATAGATTCATGAATCCACTCTGAAACATTGTACATTTAAAGACATAATTAAATATAATTTTATACTCTATTTTATAGATCTATAAAGTTGTATAATTTATAAATTACTAATCCATATTTGAAGCTTAGTACAATCTATTCAAAATAGTGTATAGTAAATGGTGACAGGTTTTGTTCAGAGGCACTCTTTTACTACCAAATGTCCATCTCAATAAGTGTACTCTCACCAAAAGAATAATTTTAATTAAATGATGAAATCTTTAACTTAAACATCCCAGGTCAAATCTACTACTCAAAAGGAAATTTAAGTATCAATGTTTCTAAAAATATATAAGGTGTCCTATAGAGGACACCGGTTTTAAAAATGTAATCTCATACATTTTTTTACGAAAAATATCATATTTTATTTATTACATTCAGTATGTGTTCCAAATTAATAATAAAATACTACATCTGCAATATGTCCACCTCCGTTTAGTCTACACAAATTAATTTTGTCGGTGAAGTTAGCGATCGCTTGTAGAAACATTTCTTCATCGATTTCATCAATTACACGCCGAATTTCTTGTTTAAGTACCTGAACAGATCGAGGTTTGTTGTGAAGAAATTTCACATACCCCCGAAAAAATATTGACATGGTGTGAGTCGCATGATCTTGCCTGGCAATGGCTGGTCACCACAAATTGAAATGACATGCTCCGGGAATTTTTCGCGGAGCGCGAAGCTCTTGAGTGTCCCAAACTAACCTTACCGACCAGCCATATTTAAAAAACATTTCATTTCTAAGATAAAATTATTCCTATTTTCAAATACTAATAGATTTTTCTCGAAAAATACTAATCCATTAAAAAGTTGTTCATTTGACACTTTCAGAATTCAAAGCGGGATGTTAAAAAAAAAATATGGTCCCAAATTAAAAATGGCCACTTACGAAATTTTTTTTTCGATAAAATCCATTATTTGTGAAATAGTCTCTTAATCTATTTTTAGTTTTGTTATTTTATTTTCATGCCTATGATAACCGTGGTATTGGTGGTAACAGTGAAATTTTGAGTAACCTTGGTATGTTTGGTAGCCATGATATATGTGGTCTTTATCTTTATCATTAATGTTACCATCACGGCTGTAGATAGACTGGTTGCGTATCAGCCTATACCTCGTAATGTTCTATCTGCGGCTACAAGAGTTCATTCCACTGAACTCAATACATGGAACACGTATTCAGATTGAAAAATGTCCACACCTGGAAGGCAGCCATTTTGTGTACAATTTCATAGAAAGTAAAAATGCTACATCACTTTTCTATGATATGTATTAAAATGTTAGGTTAGGTGATGATAACACAGTCACATATATATGATAAATCATAGAAAAATCAATAAATATCATGGACAAAACAATAACGGTACACAAAATGGCAGCCTCCTTCTAGGGGACATTTTTATATGCAGCCGACTATTGAAAATGCACGTTCCATTTATTGAGTTGAGTGCCGCAGAGACCGGATCTTATCAATGCCACACCATTTATTATTTATTCCATTGATTAAGTAAACATATATAGCTCATGCATAGACCTATAAAGAAATGGACTGATAGGTGAGAGAGAGGTCCGAATATCGACATCGTTAAAAAGGGACAAAGAGAGTTGTTAGGTATGGCATGGGCAAGGTCAAACACAGAGTACCTAAAATATAAAAATTTCGTTATCAGGTATTATCATATTACTATTTCTCCATTATATAATATTTTTTATAATATTCTCCCATGCCATACCTAACAACTCTCTCTGTCTCTTTTAAACGATGTCGATATTCGGACCTCTCTCTCTGCTATCAGTCCATTTCTTTATAGGTCTATGGTAAAAATAACTAAGAGACTTAACTCACAATTATGGATTTTATCGAAAACATTTTTCTACAAAGTTGTTAGTTTTGATAAAACAATTTAACATAAAATAAACGGTTTCCATTAAAAAAAAAAACATGTTTTTGACGTAAGGTATTTTGAATTTTGGACTTAATTTTTTCGAACGTCCCCCTTTGAACTAGAATTTCCTAATAAACAACTTTTTGATTGGACTAGTTATTTTTCGCAATAAATTGATTAGTATTTTGAAATACGGTTTATCGGTCAGCGTTTTTGAGTAATGGACACATGCATTTTGTGTTAAATATAAATAAATATAAAATAAATTAAATCTTACTTTTGTCAGTTGCTTTGACGAATCTGTCATACAAATTTGTGCAGAACTATTTCTAAATTTATAAACAATTATAAACACAATTTCAATAAAAGTAAAACTATAATATACAAATTTATTAAAAACTATGTTAAAACAAATAAATTAATTTTAATAAACAGTGATGTTTTAAAAATAAATAGCATAACATAGACAACAAGTTAGAGAACGACTCTGCTGAACATATACACCATACCCCAAAAATTTAAACCATTAAAAACTCAAAACTGCTGCCAAAAATATGAAAATTTAACAGAAAATAGGTATTTTCAGTATTTTTATTTTTAATATTTGAATAAAGGAAAAACACAAAAATATCTGATTATTTTTACTTTTTATAATAAAAATTGTATAATTCAAGTTTATTACATCATTCATAACTTATTTTTAAAAATTGTTTATTACCCTAGTTGAGTCTATACACTGGGCAACGAGAAAATGTACCTGCGCAGAAAGAAGACGCATTACTCCTAGATGCACATGCGCATTCTGGAGTAACAGTTATTTGTTTCTACGCAGGTGCGCTCTCTTGTGGTACAGAGTATATAAAATGTTACCAAAATGTATGATATTTGAACTCAGTGTATTCAAATATTAGGTTCTTGGTCAAATCGACATTCCTCATGTAAGCTAAGTACTTAGTTATCAGAAAAAATTATGGAAAAACACTTATTTTCCATTAAATTTTCATATTTTGGCAGCAGTTTTGACAGGTATGAATTTTTGGATATGGTGTACGTGTTCAGCAAACTCTAAGCTATACATGCAGCAAAGTTTATCTTAAACTACTAACTAAGAAAATGTTATCATTGATTTTAACATAAGTGTAGATATCCTACATTAAATCCCAATTAGACTACAACCTTTATGAGGCATGGGTTAAAATTAATATTTTTAAAATCTTATTTTTTATTATATTTATAAACTTGTGTATATATTATATGTGTGTATCTGTTAGTTTCTCTTTGATGGAGGTAGAAATGAACCATAATGACCCAAGAGGTATACTAAAAAAAGCGCAAGGAGGATTCAAACCCCCAAAAACCCTTCCTGAATATGCCACCTGTACCTAGTGGCATGTTAAATAAAAATGTAAGTAAAAAATACATTGAAGCAGCATTTCTTGGGTTTTTTGTTATACTTACAATATTTATTTAAATCTATAGAAAATAAAATATAACTTTTGAAATCAACTACACCACTCAAAGCAAATTCTTGAATAGTTAATGTAATAATTATATATTATTGAAATTTTTATTTTAATCACAAGATCGACAGTAATTTCTTGCTTTCAAACTCATCTGGGCAGGTCTGTTAGATCAGTCAGTCAGACTAGACAGTATATCACCATGGTAAAAACCTAATTCAAACAAAATTTCTACCACTTTGGCAAGTGAAATAAGCAGGAGGGTCTACATCTAGTCATAAGTTCATACGAGTATTTTTTTATTATGTAAAAATGTAATAATAATAAAACTAAATATTTTATTTGAAAAGAACCAATCGGTAATTGCCATCTTTAAAATTAGCAATCAGAGATGAGTAGGTACACTTTTCATATGCTAATATGTGTATTTATAAATCACATACGCTTGTAAACAACAGTCAGTAGCAAAAAATGGTTTTACCACTTTGCGGCATGGCGGTTTACTACGTTACCTACCAATTTTTTTCATTTAATACATGGTAGTCAATAGTGTTCACCACCCGGAATTTTATTTTTCTTTTTTTTGGCGTTTAGTAAGAGTAACCACTTTTAATATATAATTTGTATATGATTCAATGGGTTATACAAATAGATTAGGAAAATCGTGAGTCCTGAAAAAAGTCTGAAATGAAGGGGTGAGTTTCACGAGTCGCCCCTGTGACCACACTTAACTTACTTTCAAAACTTGATGGGCAATAAAAATATAAATAACATACAATAAGAAAAAATCAAAACACGTAGTTACATAGATCGTATAAATTGAAAATTGGATTAGTGTGGCTAGGTTTTCTAATTTAATTATTATTACAACGACATAATTTTAACATTAATCAAATCTGTAGGTCCAAATTGGTTTCAGTATAATATAATGACACCCTGATACTGTTTATCCATATTTTGCATAGTTAAATAGTATATAAAAAACATTGACAAATTAACATTGCTACTCTGGTAAGTATAATTAGAAGTAGGGTTGATTTTAGTTAGGATAACTACATAGTTTAAATAATCAGATTTCAGTACTTAAATACTTTAAAAATTTTTGATTTATTGAGAATAATATTTAAATAACATAACTAGTTATTTAAATAATTCTCAATTTCTATTACTAAAATATGGAAAAAAATAAACTTACCGTTCACTTTTCATAATTAAGACAAATAATATTGCGAGATAATAATAATTATAATATTTGTGTACAAACTTATGATTCAATATTTATTAAATTGGGTGAAATTCTTAGGAAGTAAGAATTATAAACTTTAAAGTTTGTTAGCGGCTTGAGCCATGAATTCACAAATGACAGTTGAGTGTTGACATCTGAATTCTGAACTCTGATGATAGCTGCTAGCTAAGGCTTAAAAAAATCAGGTTGTTGCATTGCATATCCCCACTTTATTATATTCTCTTAAATTCGCAAAATAGCAGCGTAAGGGTTTATCATTGTTTTTTGATAAATATATATGTATAGCTTTATAAAATTAATTAATTTGATTGGCCAACCCTTATGCTGCCATTTTATTTATTTTATCGAAACATTCGATGAAGAGGGAGTAGAAATGGGTTTTTTAATTTTTAGATAAGAACTCCATAGTAGCCACTAGCCACCGATCGAACATTGCAAGAGGGAAAGACTAATAATTAACCTTTTACTAGTATAAGGTCTATGAATTGAATCGACGAGTTTCCACAGTGCTGTCAGCCGAAAAATAATATCGGTTATCACGAAATAGAATTATACTATCACCATGGTTATAGGTAAACAGGTTACGCATCGCAGCCGACAAGCGCGGTCACGCCGCGTTATGCTGTCTATAGAGCGCGCCACCGGGATGCAGGCCATCAAAAGTTATATTTCCTATCTAACGTGTAATAAAAAGCTGTTTTTTAAACCAATAAAGATAGTATTATACAAGTCTACAAGAACAATATATTGTATGAATTTGATGTATGTTTTTGTCCTTAAAACGATGGTGTAGTCACTGCTGTTACGCTTAGTTTTTTCATTATAACGGTTAAGAAAATACCGATTAAAAAAAAATGTATATGGCTAAAACCATGATAATAAATACCACATTATTCATAAACCTTTCATAATATATTATCTTTTTTTTAAATAATTTTTGTAAATATCCCATCTGAAAAAAGAATTCGGATTAATTAAAATAAAATGTATTTCATAAAATTACTCGTAATGCCTCATTCTCATTACAATATAGTCGGTTACAATTCGAATTATGATTTCATTTTTGTGGTCTTCACATGGAAAGGACAGATACTAAGAACACAATATTTAGTATTAACTATATATAATTAATATTTAGAAATATAATAATGTTGAAAAACATTTAACTAGATAGTTTATCAATAATCGTAATTATAAAAAAACAAAGTTTACTTGCAAATATAAAAAAATGTAATGGTTACCAAAAGCTGTAAAGGGGTTAACTTGAGTATTTATACTATTATATCATATATTTTATTATTCCATTTTATAAATTTTATAATCATAATATCGTTTTTAGGACAAAAAAAATTCATGTATTATATTGTTCTTATAGACTTGTATAATACTATCTTTATTGGTTTAAAAAACAGCTTTTTAGTACACGTTAGAAGGTAAATATAACTTTTGATGGCCTGCATCCCGGTGGTGCACTCCATAGACAGCGTAACGCGGCGTGACCGCTATAAGCCAGTCGAAAACACACCGTCGAGTAACCTGTTTATCTATAACCGTGACTATCACAGAATTGTTGAGTGTACTATCACTTTGTTGATTATTCACATTTTGTCAACAATTAAATTAAAAACATTTAAATTGTAAGGCGTAAGCAGTTGCTGATTTTACAAGCTTTCTTAACCTCTTTATGCATAACTTTTTATTTTTTTCCCAAAAAAATTGTACTGATTCTATAAATATATTAGGATTATGGGAAAAATATTTAAAAAATGATTTCAGTACCCCAAATCGTCGGCCTATTTAGCAATAGGCGTAGCTCCAAAATACAATATTTCACACTAAAAGGAAAAAGAACGTTTAAGTTATTCTTAATTCTATTTTCTTCAATAACAATTTCTTGCAGTTTACCACACATTTCATGGAAAAAAACACTGACATGTAATCATTATTATTCCAACCGACGCACTGTTTTTTTTCTTTTAAATAGTGTAATTTATCGAAAATTGATTTTTTTGGAGATATACGTCCTTTGCTAAATAGTCTGACGATATGCTATTCATAATATATTATATATATATATATAACATTATTTATATAATATATTATTATATATTATAAAATACATGTAAATCAGTAAATGTGATTTTCTAATTAGTTAGTTTTAAATAATCTTAACATAAAATATATTTATGATGTTTGATCACGTATTTTTTATATAAATGAGTACCTATTAAGCTAATATTATAATTAGTCAGAATTAATCTTTTTCATCCTTAAATAATATATATTTTTTTAATTTGTGTTTTTTACCTATTCTCATATCAATAAAGATAATAATATTGTTAATTTTCGATATCTCGCAACATATTCCATAAATTTTAAAATTTGATGGGAAGTGAAATGTAGAAGAGTAATGTGTGCAGATAAAAATAATACTACACTCCACCCTTCCTCCTGTCCTAAATTTTAAAATTTAAAAGTATTTAATCAAAACTGGTTATCGACCAGTCAAAATGTTCAAAAAAAAAACAATTAAATATTTACGTAACCATGTAAGTTTCAAAAATTGAGAGCTCTGGAAAATACTAAAAAATGTAAATATTTAGTAATTTTATATTATTTTACAATAACATAAATAAAAAATATTCAAAAAAAAAAATTACAAAATTGCAATTATTTTCCGAGAGTCTTAAGTTAAATTGATCACCTGTATTACATATAATTTGTTTCTTCCATTAAGCCATTTGTCTTATTTAACCATAATTTATAAGTACTTAATTATATATTTGTGTGACCAATAAATTGTACATACAAAATCTAAAAAAGTTAATGTTGAAAATACTTAAATAACTTATACTAATCATAAAAATACTCAATAACAATAAATTAGTGTAGTTATATCAATATATTTTCGAAATGAGTTAAAGCATATTTTACTTCTATTAAATAGCTATTGAGTATGTAACATAGAAATATACTGAAATTATTTACTTATTTTAACAAGTAACTCAAATACATACTAATATATTAGAATAGAAAAACTGAGATAAAAAAAAAGTATCAAAGCAACATTTAATTATTCATTTTTTTCTCTTGTAAACATATGTGTATCAGCAACTATGAAAAATAATTTATTTCATTGATATATTATATATATATATTTTTTTTTGCATTACACTTTATACTTAACCCAAGCAGTCTATAATTAAGTTAGGAACAAAATACAAAAATATCAAAGGCCCCTTAATTATTTTTATCAGAAGGCTGAAATTAACAATAAAAAAATACCAAATTTCAAAAAAATCACAATAAAAAATGCAATTTTGGTGCATATGGACCCAAGGAAAAAATTTAATGGGTACCAATTATTTCTTTGTCAACATCTTTAGCTTCTCCAAGAATATGTAACAGCACTTCATGCACAGGCTCGAAAATTTTTCGGTAACATGATTCAGTAGGATGTAAATAATCAAGCATGTCTTGGGCACTTAACGTATCATCAGATTGCAATAACCCTGTGTTGACCGTAATTACTTCTAGTCGGGAAATAGGTTTAACTTTTTCATGTACAATTTCATTTACTTTGGAATTTCGAACTCGTAATTGGTTTGGTTTGGCACCTCTTGGCAGTAAGTCCTAAACAATTAAAATAATTTTTTTTTAAATAATATTATTTAAGAAATTTTATATAAACATTTTGATTTATAAGATATTAATGAGTTTACCAATAAAACAATGTAGCAATCAGGAAGTCTTGTTTTTATTTCATTAACGATCATTAAAATGCCTTCTGATATTTCTTCTGGAGTATTGCCAAAATTATTAGTTCCAACATGTATAACACAAGCCTAAATTTAACAAAACAAAAAAAAAATGTTTAACCATTTTTATGGATATAAATATGTAATTGTTTTAATGTTAAACAATATACTACTTTTACTTTTAGCTTTGATGCAAAGCTAAAATATATTGTTAATACAATGTGTTTTTATATTTTTGCAGGACCACAATATCTTCTAACAAGCGCTAACAGTGGCGTGGCAAGTATATATTTCCAATGCCCAAATACCTCTTTTATCAATAACAATATACATATTTGATAGTGTGTTTTTTTCCTACATTCATAATTATAAAACTAAATTATTACCCATTAGCTACCCATCCACCCACCCACCACATCTTAAAAAAAATCAGAGGCAGAGGCCGCCTCTCGATTACCCTCTTCGCCACGCCACTGAGCAGTAGTAGTTTCTGGTCATACATTTATGTGTAGATATTAAATTGTGTCTTTTTATCATTTTTTAATTATCGGAATAGAAGAAATGTTACACATTTTTTAAAAGGTGGAGGAATTCATGATAAGTATTGTCTACCTGGTGTTCTTCAGAGTACTACAAAAACAACCCCGAAAAATAACACAGTTTTAGAGGCCATAGGAGAAAATTAATTTGAGTGTACATGTTTTTTGTCTAAAGCCCATAAAAAATTATAAATAACAGATTCCCAACAAGATTATTTCACTTTTTCAAAACTTTGTAGACAACTTAAGAAATAAACTCATTAGATTTATGCACATTATACCATAAAAATTGAAAATAATTATAATGTTAATTTTAACTCATTTTAGAAAAGTATCAATTAAAAATTAAAAATCAACTAAAATAAACATTCCTGTTACCTTTTATGCTGATTATAATATAAACGATTCTAAAAAGTTTTTTGAAAATTAGATAAAAAAGATGTAACCCCTCTTTTAAAGTGAGCAAATGCACTGGATAACAGAGAATTTTCTCTCTTGAATCATTCATTTTTGGACTTAAATATTGAACCTTTCAATTTGAGTTATTCAAAAAAGTAAAACTGGTGCTTATTTGGAGATGCCTTGGATATATAATCGCCTAATACTTACTTTTTGTATTGGAAAACCCTGTATGAAGATTATAGGTAATTTCAATAATGTGGTTTTTATCAAATATATTATCACAATCTAATCGTCATCCAAAAACTGACTATGTGCAACAAGTGACCAAGTGAAATAACATAATAAAATGCGTTATTTGAACTATATTATTGTACAGAAAAAATATCACGAAAACTATAAATATACCCTTGGTCAGTTTTTGCATGACGACGACAATATATGTGGAAACTGAAATTAAAACTCACATTTTATAGAAAATACAAAAAAAAAGAACATTCATATTTATTTTCATCCTAACCAAAGTTTCAAGGAATAACGCCACTCGATAACAATCATTATCCAATCTGAGTAAATAACCGTAGCACACAAAACAAGAATATCAAAGCTAAAATAAAAGCACATTGTAAAAACAATTGCTTTTTTTTGTTCATTACAAAAACATTTTTTTTCAATTATAGATTTTGACTAAATACAGATAGTGCTACTGTGGATAGTTTAATACTGAAATAGTCATTTTGAGAAATATTGGGTAAAATAACCATGTCAACAAGTAGGCTAATTTTAAATTCTTAAACTCAACATTGTCACTTAATATTATGTAAATATATACATAGATTATTCAAACTAAAACAAAATACTTGCTTTTGGTTTGATATTATCAAGAATACCATTTTGGATTCTCCACAACACTCCTTGTGTTAAATCTCCCCCAATGCCGAAATTCAAACAATGCAAAGGTTCGAATAAATCATTCCATATGGGACGTAATTGTAATTGCTGTATAATTGAATCGCCTATTAGAATAACATCTGGTTCACGCTCTTTTGCTTCAGAAACATGCCGTTCGTGCTAAAACAATCATACAACAGTTATTGATAACCTAAGTAAAGCGTAAACTACTATACTTACTTGACTCATCCATCTATTGTCACCTTGTAGATCTTCAGGAACAGCAGGAATAGTGCAAGAGTTCATTTTGCACAGAAGAATGGTGATAAAAAATAATAATAATTATTGGTTATTTTTATAATAATGATGATTAGATAAATAGTAAATACAAATGAATACAGAGAAACTTATGTAGATGGTATTGAGTAATTAATAAATATATCGAACACGATTTTGTGTACAATGCGAATAAGAATAATAAATAACAATTTTGATAAAGATGGTCATAAAACTCAGGAAAATTAAACTTAGGAAAATAACTTAATACACAGCAGCTGATTTTATCCATTTATCAAATAAATTGATAGTAAGTTATCAATATTGTACACCAGTCTCCACAGTTTATTTTATATCAGTATTAGGTATTGTACTTACTTATTATTATTCAGTAATCAGTATAATTGAAACTTGTAGTAGGAATTATAATTTGTATCTAATAGTTTGCAGCTCGTATGTTATTATATTTTTGCGTTTATTTTATTGTATCTATTTATAATAAATACTCAACTAATTTGTCCATCCTTATGTTCACTACACAAGAATAACATTTATAAAAATAAGATCATGTCAAAGAACCAACTACCTTGTGTTTACATTTATAGTTGTTGCGACGACGATCCTTTGAAAACCATAAAATGTAAGTATTTAGATACTTGTATTTCAGTAATTCATTACTTTCTGGTATGCATACATTTTTAATGTTCATAAAAAAATATAAAATGTTAACATAGTCACAGTGGTGGACTTAACAGAGGTTAGTAAGTAGATTTAAAGGAAGGCCTACACAATTATAAATCACAACAGTGGCCTTTTATATAGTTTACACATTAACAGTTACACCCTTTAATTTAGACTAGTTATGCCACTTAATCACTATTTTTTTTACTTAGAACTAGCCAACGAGTATAATATAAGGCAGCACTGTAGCCTATATACAGGAGTTGCACAGTGAGCATTTCCCTACTGCCCAAGTTTACCCCTAGACTTGAGGAATAAAAGAAGAGTAACTGTATTTAATGTAGATTTGCCAGGAAGGAGAAATGCGAATAGCACACATATTTTGGACTGGGTAGTTAATATCAAGAAAGAAAAATCTTAGATGTTTAAAGACTTACTTTGGAATTTTTTTAGAGAAATAAAAGAATAGTAAGGATAACAAATATTAATGGATATTTAAGCTGAATTAAAATAATGAATCTTTATAGTTGTCATTGTTGAATATTAAAGCAAATGTAATGGTGAAGCATCATAGAAGACATTGAGACGATCCCACTTTGATTTAATTTAAATAATACATTTTAAGTACAAAATTGTTTTTAATCGTCTTCTCAACTTACAGTAGATATTATTAAAGTATCCTGTCCTGTTTTTCATAAGACAAATAAAATATATTATTTATCACAATAGTGAGGGGGAGGAGGAGATAAATATTTATTTTTATTTTTAGTTGTTATTGACATTTTCTGTTTTTCTAACAAGAACATAAAAGTTCGGTCTTCAGTCCAAACTTTGTTTTATTGTTTTCAAATGAGATTTGTTCCTAAATTTAATTAGTTAAATAATTGTTACAGCAATAAGAAATGAAGAAAATCTTGAAATTGATAATTATGAAAATGAAGATATCTTATGCAACCGTTGGGAAATAAATTGCAAGTATTACACTGCTGAAGTACAATTTTGCACATCAAAGAGTTTGGAAAAATTATCTGACGACTTCATAAAAAATATAAATGCTATCATACTTCTATTTGATGCAAAAAAAGTAAGTATTTATTATAAAAACTATTGTTTAGATTTAGTTATATAATAGAAACAAAATAATTATTGTTCTAGGAAAATGTAATTGATTCATTAAATAGATGCATGCCATTAGTTAATCAAAGCCAAGCAGAAGTATTAATTGTATTAAGTGAAAAATTAGTAGAATACGATTCATCAAATAATCCAAATCAAAACTCCAAATTGAGTAAATATTACTATTATTTATACAATATAAATAGTCTGTTTTTAGCGCTGAAGATGACAACATCGTTGTCGTAACACGTGTATAATTTTTATGGTTTAGGGTTCAAGTAGATTTTATATCTTTACAATATAAATACAATTAACTAAATGACATACTTACACAAATAATAGCATTTAGTTATGTTAATATTTATTAATTATTATCATAGTATTTGATTGGTGTCAAAAGTACCATTTTGAATTGGTTATGTTAGAGGAAGAAGCAGATGAGATGGATACAGTGGGAATTGAACGCGTAAGGCATGCTCTTTTCGCACACTACTGGCCAAATCTTAAACCTAAATGTAGGTTGAGTACAGTAATTATGACAGAATAAATTGTAATACTTATATTTAATTATATTTGATGTAATATTATTCATTATTAAATGAGAACTTGTAAATAATTATAATTTTATATTAATTAGGTGAAATCACACACCCTAGTACTAAAGCTATTATTGAAGATAGTGTGGTAGATAGTCAATTAAGTGGAGGGATGTCTGATTTAAAAATGGACATCGAGGATGGAGCTGAACTTGATAGTAATTTATTTAGTAAGTTTAAATAAAAAAATATGTACTCCGGTTAACTTAGGAAGATACCCAGCCGGCTGACCAAAACTCGTTTGCCACTGCGCAGGTTGAATCTGTATGCACGTAAGGCGATATCAAACTATAATGATGTTGCGAGGTGAAAACTGGTCGCCACCGACACATCAAGGTACTTCTTAAAGTGACCGGATTATTACAGGACAATAGGTTAACAAGCATAAAATAGTTACCCATACCATATTACTTAATTATTATATACGATTCATTCTATTTAATCTTCTAATTTAATTTAAATCCTTAATACTGGCATTATTTTTTTAGGTGAAATGTTTGAAGGTGATGTCAATTTTTTTAATACTTTTGATAAAGTTCAAAAATTAAAACAACAAATTTCTTCCATGCCCGATGAAGAAAGAAAAGTAGCTGCGGAAAATGCTTTGACAGAATGCTGGAAAACATTTTTTGGCGATGACATAGATTTGTAATTATATAGTTTCTTTTTCATCTATTTAAACATTTTCATTTATTAAATAAAAATAGTTTATTATCTGTAGATTTTATTTAAAATTTAATAATTTATATAATCTTATAATTTAGTATATTAATGCTATATTGCATATTTTTAGTAAGAAATATACTTCATTTATCTAATCTACAAATTGGATTATTTTGAACCATTTGCAAGTTAACTTTAGGTCCCACGAGATCCCTAATATTATTAATACCATATTTTATCATTGTAGGTCTTTCAAGTGATAATCCCCATGCAATGACGTTAACTTTATCCGGCAAACCCATTGGTAAAAGCATCTCTGGTCGGAACATGCCAGAATTTCCAATTTCTATCCACTTTTCTAATCCTTGGTGGTAACAAAATATTTCCATACTAGGTTCTGTGTACGGGTTATATGCTGGTTTAAACTTCAATTCTGTCATTCCTAATCTTTCAAAAAACATATATAATACACCGATTAGATCTCCTAATGTTAGGTTGTAGTCTGCTATAACTCCTTCAACTTGATGAAATTCAGCTAAATGTGTGGCATCCAATGTTTCATTTCTAAATACCCTGTCGATACTAAAGTATTTAGTTGGTTTGAAATTTTTGGCTAAACCATACAACATTCGAGCACTAACCGCAGTAGTATGAGTTCTTAGTACATTTTTTTTAGCTTCATCTTTGGACCAATCATATCCATATCCTTGAGAACCATAACCGCCTTTAGAATGTACTTCTTTTACTTTATCCAAATATTCTTGAGGAAAGTTTTCGCTAGTTTTGGGATCATCTAGGAAAAATGTATCATGCGAGTCTCTGGCAGGATGTTGTTGAGGTTGGAATAATGAATCGAAATTCCAGAACGAGCTCTCGACAAAATTGTTAGTGGGCATTTCTGTAAAACCCATTTCAAGAAATATCTGGCGTATATCTGCGCGCACTTTCAATAAAGGATGTAAACAACCTGCAGCTGGCATTTGACCTAAAGCTTCAAAATTATAAGTTTTAAATTCAGTAGTTTTCCATGAACCAGACAATATCATATCAGGTGTAAGTTCTGTTTCAAGTTTCATAATAGATGTTGTAAACTCTGGACCTTTACCTGTAAATACAATGAAGTTATGAAATATAGTATGCAAGTCTGAAATTTATATTTTCTTACTTAAATTAAAACTTTTTATGACTACTTCTCGAATAAGCTTTCTTTTTTTATAATCTTGTTTAATTGAGTTGTCTATTTCATCACAGTTCAATTTCAATTTAGTCAAATCTTCTTTAACTTGATCTAAAACGGAATCGATTTTCCTAATAATTTTATTTGCTGAACGATCAATAGCTATCCACCCCTTGGACATTGCTTGACTAAACCCGATTTTAGCATTTGACAATTGCATCAACTCTTTTTGAGCTATACCATCAGATGGAATTGCATTAAAAACATTAACTTCATAGCTGCCATGTAATATAACTGATTCTCCTTCACTAGTCAGTTCCCAACATTTGCTTGTTATAGGTTCAGCAAAAATAATGTTGTTGTTTAGTGCTAGTATACTATTTACAGCACCAATCACTTTTTGATGATCAATGTTGTTTTCTTTTGCCAAATCGAATGTATTTGCTACATTTTTAGCATTTAGTTGATTCAACAGTTGTTTCGTATCCATTTTAAAGATATAACCTAAGTAATAATAAAAGTATGAAATATTAAAAATAATTTTTATCATAAGAAGAAAAGAACTTAAAGCATACCTCACGTAACGACTTCCGACGGTCGTTGTAGTCTATATTATGGCCAAAAGGCAAAAACCACACCACAGTCTTCACCGTTCACGGTTCATGAAAGTGATACGCATACGTCGACGTTTTAGCCACAAATATATATTACTATTAATATATATATATCTGTGGTTTTAGCACAGAACAGGCCGGATTACAGATAACAGCAGCTTATTATCACCAAAATGATAAATTAATGAATAGCACGATTATAAAGAACCGTTTTTATGGCTTTCGGCCATAGGTTCCCATGGTCATAAGTTCCAAAATGATAACACGATGTAGAGAAGATAATAATATTACCCGTATAGGTGTATGGTTTGTCGAGTAGCAGCTGTGTGTCGTGCTCACGATTTATAAGATAATAAAATGGTTGCCCAACGACTTGTGATAAGATGACCGACAAAGTTAATCCAATACAAATAATTACAAACTCTCGAGTAGCGACTAGCGCTCCAAGCGGACAACAATTTCACTTTTACATAAATTGTGGTTATAGCCCCAATTAAAAATAATAACGCATTACGATTGGTTGTTCTCGTGAAAGTTATCTTGAATCACAGATAGAAGCGCTAGTAGTAACTCGAAACAGATGTTTTTTGGTTAACTTCGGCGCCGTGAAATGAGAATATTTGTCATAGGCCTTAGTAATATAGTATAATACTTGTCTATGCAAAGGCCGTTGGGCAACCATTTTATCTAAATCGTGGTCGTGCTTGAGAATTAACGGACCTTATCTTCTTAGGCCGTGGCTACCATCATGGTTGAAATATACAGGTTATTGCATATCGTCTCGAATTGTTATCTTCAGAAATAAAATGACAGCGAAACGGGATATCAATTTTACTATATACTTCACTACTACTATATATATATTACCGTGTACTAATGTACTTGATTTTGATTGAGTGCCGTTACGCTGACATATTTGATTTTTTCATCGAAAATTTGATGATGAAGGGGTATATGTGCAATAACCTTGTTTATTCAATCATGGTTACCATCACGATGTGGTAATTGTAGCAGCTAGTGATGGGCGCAACTGAATTCTTTTGACTATCGAATATTATTCAATAGTTTATGCGAACTATCGAATAATCATTCGAATGAAAACTGCATGACTGAATACATTTAAACTATTCGATAGTTTGTATTCGGTTGCGCCCCTTGTTTAAAAGCACTGGATAGTTTTTCGAATGGAAATAGCATAACTGAATACATTTAACAATCGAAACAATCGAATAACTATTCGATAGTTTTGAAGTCGGTTGCGCCCATCATCTTGATTAAAAGCATTCGATAGTTTTCGAAAATAATCGACTAACTAGATAGTTTCGAACTATCGACTAGTTCGATAGTTTGTAGTCGATTGTGCCCATCACTAGTAGGCAGTAGCATTGATAGCAACCCGTTTTAACGTGGTTTATGATTTTAGCGGGAATGGTGATAGCATTAATCATAATATTATAATTGTAATAATACAATAGTTATTAGTATGAATATGAACGGCAGAAATGGTGCATAACCCACGAAAATGAAATTATATTTTGTTTTTTCTTAGCTATTTATTTATTTTCAATAATAAGTTGATGAATTCGAAATGTTAATCAAGTACAGCGTTCTCCGTTATAACATTTGTGTATTATACAGTGTTAAATAAATGATAGCTGCATAATTTATGATTATTATAAATATAATATTTTAAAGAACGTATAATCCGATAACTGTGTAAAGCGACCAACTTATTCTTTCTAAAATATTAATTTGTGCCAATTACTATTTAAAATTCTAAAATGGAAGCAACAATTAACTATCTTATACGATCTATATTTCTTTTAAATGAAAAAACAGTACCCCCAGCATTAGAAAAACATCTTACACAAGTATGTTAATTAAATATAATTACTTTTATTTTAATATCTAACACTGTTTATGTTTTTAGAAAATATTTAACAAACCCAACAAAGAAGCAATGGAACAAGTAATATACTTATTGTTCTCGGTACTCGACCCTAAGCTTATAAAAACCATTATGTGGCCTATTAGATCTCCTAAAGAAGCAGCAGAATTTCGAAATGCAGCTACATTAATCATAAACGTAAGTTAATCATGAGGATAATTATTCTAAGTATAGTTTATTTATATATATATATATATATATATGTATATATTTATTTATTTACGTGTGTGTGTTATAAACTTATGACAATTGGTATGAATATGGAATGAGTGACGTCGCACACAATTCTAAAGATTTAGTGTTCGATTACCACACTACTACGAAACTTATTAAGCTTGGGCTCCAAGTCTATATCATAAAAATCTCAATTATCCTTAAATATTACATAGTATTATTAATAAAATTGCTTAGGCTAAATGACATTTAACTTTTGTATACAATTTTAAGAGGTAGGTAATTATTTTTTAATAATTAATATATTATAATGGAATTTTATTTTCAGGGATTGGAAGGATTTACCTATCAAAAATCTTTGAATCATGTTGGAAAAGTAAACTCTTCTCTATTAGCCAATCCGGGAGGTCCAACATTTGTATATTTTTTATATCAATTTTGTATTTATGTATTAAGATGCGACTTGAAAAAAAAAGGTAATGAATAGCATTCATATATTTGTTCATAGTAGTTTTTTTTATTATTACATTTATAAAATATAATAATTTTTACTGTTAAAGTCTTAAACTAAGTAACATAATTTCTAATTATTATTTATGTTAAATATTACGAATATTATATTTGGGTTTTAAATAACAATTGTGAGTTTGTCGATCATAGAGGAGGAAAGGCTGAAGAGGATTCTGGATTAACTGTTAGAAAGGCACATTTGTATAGTTGAATTTTAGAACTAAAAAGTTCAAATTAAAAAATTATTAAAACTTGAATGGGGTACCTATTATATTTACACGCCTTGCAGTTACTCCCATTTGGATATCTTGTCTAGAAACGTTGGTGAACCAGTCCAGATGTCCAAATGGACGTAACCGCAAGGCGTGTAAATAGTGTAAGTTAAATTAGTCTAACTTTAAATAAATTTAATATTTTTCACTCCCAATAGAATTAAAAATAAAATTATTATCTCAATTGTGTAATTATATTCAGAGTTAGAAATTATGTTATTTAGCTTAAGATTTTAAAGTAAAAATTATATATATATATAATACCGTTTGTCTTTTCTAAATCTAATGCAATTTAATTTAATATATAATCGCTCTGGATCATTGCTTGATCTTGTTTTGTCTAACATGTTTAATATCAATGTAATTAATGAAAATCACATGGTACTACCATTAGATCTATGTACCACCCAGCCCTGACAATTGAATTGCCTATTTTATCATTTAAGTACTCATACTATAATAAACAAATGTAGGATTTTGTAAACTGTGATTATAATAGTATTAGATTTAATCTTCCTTTGTTAGACTGGAATGGCATATTTAATGGTCTAGATATCAATGATGCAGTATATGCATTCTATAAAAACGTTTTTAAAATAATTAATACCTATTGCCCGGTTAAAACTATATTTTCCAAAGCACCCTCATTGGTTCAGCCACTCATTAAAGAAGTTAATTTTTGATAAAAAAATTGCTCATAAAATGTATTAACAATCACCTACTTCACATAATTATAACATATTTTCTAATTTACGTGCGCGCTGTAAAGCTAAAAATAAAATAGATTACAATATTTTTATCTGAAAAACTCAAAACTCCATTACTACAAATCCTAAATTTTTTTGGCATTACGTAAATGGCAAACGATCTACTCAATCTCTTCCAAATTCTATGTATTACAATAATAACAATATTTCCGGTGGTGATTATATTATACTCTGCGCCATGAGAGAAGTAACTCGTTTCGCGCATCACGACTGACGGCTACGACTGTTCCGAGGCCCTGTTTCCCCCACTTTGTGCCATTCAGTGTCGCACTGAGGCATGCGAAACAGGCTATATACAGAGTGATTGTATATAGAGTATATTATTTATTATAATTGTGAATGATTATATTATATTGTCATTTATAAATTGTATATATAATTATTTATTTATTTAAAACACATACGATAGTATAACATAATTAATTAATTATATTAATAAGTTATTAATATTAATTTATATATTAATAATACAATATTAATATTTATATTTATATTATTATAAAACAAAAATAACGACAATTATGAAAACTGTTATACTAACTGTTTCGCACAATATTTTTCCAATGTTTTAAATATACCGTCAGATTTGCAAACTATTTTGGATTCCTACAATAATAGTTTCCCTTCTGTTGATTTTAATTCGTGCACGCTGACTCTCAGCAATGTCTATAATGCGCTCAATGAAATAACTTATAAAAATTGTCCTAGTCCTGATAAAATTTCCAATATATTTTTTATGCAATGTAAATTTGTTTTGTCAACACCCTTACTAATACTATTCAATGGATCTCTTTCCATTGGAGTCTTTCCAGATAAATGGAAAATATCATACGTCTCCCCTGTTTTTAAAAGCGGAGATATTAACCATGTAATTAACTACCGACCTGTCTCTATAATATCTATAATTCCAAAAATATTCAAGGGTATTGTTTTTGTAGGAAAATTAGTCCCCTCTTTAAAAATGTGATAATTGACGAGCAGCATGGCTTTATGTTTAGTAGATCTACTACATTTAATCTTTTGGTTTTGCAACATTTTATTTTAAATGCATTTAAATTGAACTGTCAGGTGGACGTAATATTCAGCGACTTCGCTAAAGCCTTTGACAAGGTTGATCATAGTATACTCGCCAAAAAGTTGTTCCAATCAGGTCTCCGAGATCCTTTCTTTTCTTGGCTAGTATCTTTTTTATCAGGTCGGAAGCAGTACGTAAAATTTAAAAATTATAACTCATATATGTATAATATTACCTCTAGGGTTCCTCAAGGTTCCCATCTGGCCCCTCTTCTTTTTAATTATTTTTTTTTTATTTGCTTTACACGCCTTGAAGGCGTTTTGCAGCTTCTACTAAGACTCTCCAACGATCCCTGTCATCGGCCTCCTCCATTACTACTGTTTGATCCGTTCTTTTTAGGTCATTCTTTACACGGTCCATCCACCGCTGGCGCGGTCTCTTCCCAGATGGATTATTGGTTAAAACTTTATTGATCAGATTCTACTTCGCCCTCCAAACATGCCCAGCCCATTCTAATCTTTTGGATAATAGAAAACTTTGAATGTTGGTTTGTTGAATAGTCTTTCTATGTCTGTGTTTTTCCTCCGCTCATACTCCCCATTATACGGGTTTCGTATAGGTCCATATATTCTTCTCAGAATCTTTCTCTCGAACTTATCAATGACTATGTGGTCAATTTGGGTTTTCGTTTTCCCATCTGGTGAGGTCCAAGTTTGCTTATGAATATTTTTTCTGGGGAAGTATGTGGTACTGATTATAAGATTTTTGGCCATCGAGAAGTCTATTAGTTTCATGCCATTGTTATTTGATGTGTTGTGTAAGCTTTCATGACCGATAGTTGGCCGAAAGGTTGCTTCTTTACCTATTTGAGCATTAAAATCCCCCACAATTACTTTTATACAGTTCTTTGGTAGTGAGTCAAAAGTTCTTTCTAAATCTTCATAAAATATGTTCTTCTCCTCTTCCTCTTTCTCCTCAGTTGGTGCATAACAGTTAATTACAATTATATCAGATTTGCGTCCTCTTATACGAATAAAAGAGATGTGTTCATTAATTGCTACAAAAGACTTAACGCAAGGCATAATCCCCTCATTTACAACAAAACCTACCCCTTTTTCATGTCTATTATTCTTTGTGCCACTATAAAATATGGTGCTATTGTTAGACCTTATATTTCCTTCACCAGTCCAGCGGATTTCTTGGACGGCTACCAGAGGTATTCTGTACTTTTCTACTTCTTCAGTTACAATTTTGAGTGCACCAGGCTTATACAGAGTTCTGATGTTCCATGTTCCTATCCTTATCTCCATGTTGTTTCCGTTCCTGATTCCAGTAGTTTTACCATTTATATCATCGTAGTTCCGAGGCTTAGTTAGAAGATTCACAACAAAGAAAATTTTTAAGAGGCCGGGTTGTTAGCCCGACGCTCAACCCTCAAACTGTGAGGGACAGTCTGAAACAACTAATTAAAGTCATTTCAACTCTTCTTTTTAATATAAATATTAATTATATTAAGGATATCAATTCCAATATATTACTCTTTGTTGATGATGTTAAACTATTCCGTATTATTAAAACTTCACTTCATACTAAATTGCTTCAGAATGATCTTGATAACGTGAGTAATTGGTGTGTTACAAACAAATTGTACTTGAATGTTTCTAAATGTATTGTCTTAATAAACAAGCATTTTTTAAATGGTGTTGAATTAGATCGAGTCAATTTCTAAAAGATTTGGGTGTATTTCTAGACTCTTCTCTTTCATTCATTGCCCATTATATCCATATTCAAAATAGAGCGTCGTCAATGCTAGGATTTATAATGCGAAGCTGTAATAATTTTGATAGTCCTATAACCCTCAAATCACTATACTGCGCCTTTGTTAGATCAATTGTGGATTATAATTCAATAATTTGGTCTCCTTACACATCTGGTCCAATTCATTCACTAGAGGCGATTCAGAATCGCTTTTTGAGAATTATAAGTATCAAATGTAATATTCAACGTTTGCCTCACACTTCATATGAACCATTATTATCATATTTAAACATTGATACTCTTCAGGTCAGAAGGGTCAAACATGACATTTGTTTTATATATAAACTTTTAAATGGTTATGTTAACTGTCCAGATCTTTTGTCAAATATTTCTTTTTTAGTTTCTGGTCATACAACTACACAAACTAATACCTTTTATGTGCCGCTCCAGCGTACTTCATATGGTAAGAACACCCCTACAGTTAGATCCATGCAACATGTGAATAATTTCAATATTGACATGGTTATTTGTAATTCTATTGTTACTTTTAATTTATATCTTAGTAATTTAATCACTTAACTTATTGTACCTACACAACAACCTTTATCTACCTTTATCTGTATTTAAATATTTTATGTTCCACATTTAAATTGTAATTGGGCTCGCCCGTTTAATCATAATAAATAAAGAAAGAAAGAAAGAACGAAAAAAGTAATAGAAATATTGTATTTAGATTTTAAATCACATTTGTGAGTTAACACTGAAAGAATTATAACTAAAGCTCGAGTGGTTATGACTGCATATTTTTTTTGTGAAATCAGAATAATACCCAAATACGATATAAAATTGATTCACAAAAACTAGATTAAAATCAGCAAACTTATATTGCATATATTTGCCTATAATGATTATTTTTAGATTTTATAGCATATTTGTAAGTATAATTTTTAAAAATGTTCCAGTTTATTATCATCTTCAATCATGTTTATGGAGTATTAGCTAATGAAAATTATACACAGTATATGAGAAAAGTATTAAACAAATATTCTCGTTATAAAATATTGTCCAAAATTTTTAATAATTGTTATTGTTCTGTAAAATTTGAAAACATCAAAATATTTGTAGTTCAATTTGTTATCCTGATAGTCTAATAACTTTTTCAACAATTAACATATGTAAAATTTTATTTATTTTATGTTAAAATTGGCTAAAAATTGTTAGCCGTTTTTAGTAAAGGCATTTTTTGATATTTTGAAATATATATTTTTTAACATCTGTTATCATTAAAATCCGAGCTCTGGTTAAACATACCAAGATTTTTAAAACTTGTTTTATATTCAGTTTTTTTTTTTAATTAACAATAAATTTATTATTCAGGAATTTCTGGTATTGATGAACCATTCTACATTGAGGATCAATATATTAACAATAAATTGGGATTTTTTCGTAAATTGACGGATGATAATTTTACTGAAGTTACTGATATAATTAATCAAGTAGAATTAGAACAACAAAATACCTCAGACAGAATTATGCAAGTTGCTAATTATTATGATTTCCATTGGAAAATCTGATTAATGTATTTTAACCTTTATTTAATTTATATTTTAGAAAATACAAAGAAATTATTCAAGACAGTAAACAAAAAATAAAAGATATTAAAACTGAACTACAGACAATTGTGCATAATGAAAATACTGGTAATTTTTTTTAATTTGTAGTAAATTAATTATTAGCATGGAACATGCTTTAGCCATGTTCTCCCAGCTCGAAAATGACACAAAAAAAGGTCACGATAGTAGCGCGTCTACTTAAAACATATAATATAACGAGTTGTCGTCATGCAAACGTTTTGGCCAGAACATATAATTAAGACTATACTATCGTCATAAATCGCAAAGAGATTATTGAACAGAAAAAATCACTAATCAGGAGCCATCAGGATGTTCCATGTTTTATAATTTTAGCCATTGGGCTTTAAGTAGACTGTAACTTTTTTCATAAAATTGTGTTGCCATGTTTAATTTGGATCATTTTTTTGTTATAGAAAAAGAAGTTCTAGTGCTACATCAACAATGTGCTGAGCTAAATGCCCTGTTTAAGCAAAATGAATCAATTGCTGTAGAATGCATCAAATTAGCTGATATCATTTTAAAATGTCCGGAAATTTGTGATGCAGAAGTATTAAGTTTTTTCACAGATGTATGTCTATAAATATTATGTAATATAATTATTTTTGAACTATTTTATAAGTACTTATATACTTAACAAAATCATAGAAAAATATTATGTTTCAACTAATTACTATAATTTTATAGCAAAACAGAGAATTTTTAATCGGAAATAATGGGAAAATACACCTTTTTAAATTGCTGACATTTATCAAAAACCGTTTAATTGAAGTCAATAAATGGTGTAAGCAATTAAATAAAGAGCATGAAGAAATGTGTGATATTCTGCTAGAAACTGAACACATGGTTAATAAAATGACAAAACAACTAGAATGTTATAGAATTATTATTAAGAATTTAAGCAAACAAATTGATAAATGGAATACTGAAAACGAAGAACTTGAAAAAGAAGTATACAGCGGTATAGTAGTTTTTTTGTAACATTTAAACAAATTCTATGCCCAATTCATATTAAATTAATAAACTATTTTTTCACTAGTGCGAAAAACATAGAAACATGGATAATTTACACAACTTGCAGTTACTCCCACTAGAATAGTTTGATTAGTCTGTTAACGTATCCGTATACTTATACATTCCACCTTCAGGGCTGTCATTCAATATAGCTCGTACCGTGGATTCCTGTAGACTGACCACAGACAGGAAACCACGGTACAAAAAAGACCCCAAAGAAGGAATGTGCAAGTATTTCGAAACGTTAGCAGACCAGTCAAACTATTCAAGTGGGAATAACCTCAAGTTGTGTAAATACAGTACCCCATTCAAGTTTTAATAATTTTTTATCATGGCTAGTTTTTAGCTGAAAAGTATCACCTTAAATCTATCTGTAATTGATGTTTAATAATGCATGCAAATTCAGTATTGGTTATAACTGAACAGTAATTGGTGGTTTCATGTTTATTCTTTTTCGGTACACACAAATTTCCAACTAACAATTGGGCTAAAAAAATATCATTAACAGTAAAAATACACCAATATGTTGACTGACAAATTTAAATTTTGTACAAATGAATAATATTAAAATAATAGTAACTAATTTTTTCTTTTACAGAGAAATGTCTTGAAGGTGTAGATTCTAGAATACTATCGGTTTACAAAAAAACTCCTTCTATAGTATTGAAGCCAAAAAAAACCGAAAATCCAATTATAATTACTACTGAAGATAGAAAAAAGTCAAGGAGGTCGATTTTACTTGATTGTGGAAAACCATACGTAAAAAAAAATATATCTATTGATGAAATAAAAGACCTTTACAATAGCATCAGATTAGTTGAACAGGATCAGGATGATAACTCATTTTGTGTAATTAATTTTTATTAATATAATACTGAGAATTCAAGAGTATAATATTTCACATTTGAGTATACTCCATTCAGTTACAGTTTGCCCATTCTCGTGCTCCCGCATGCATACTAAGCTATTGGATGGTGAGACCTCTGCCGAAATTCGGATACTATGTGATTTCCTGTAGGTGGTCAGCACCTGCCACTTCTCCTTGTCGCCATATTCATATTGTGGTGCCGCTACAGTCGGCAGTACATATGTACGGATGCGACCAGATATCATCGATCGACTGGGCAAACTTAAACTGAATGACATAACTTAAGAAATAACATATACTTCTGCTTGAATATTAATGATAATAATTACAATGTATTAAAGGTTTAAAGAACTATTAGTATAAACTAGTTTTATTTTTTTTAACTTAGGACATTTTTAAAGATGCTGAAGAACAACTAAAGACAAATGACCAAACTATACTGCCTCCAAAAAATAAAATTGATGAATCACCTGTAAGTATTTTTGATGTATAATAACATTAATATGACTTATAATTATACAATTCCTAATATAAAAACACAATTTTTATTAACTAGGAAAATAAAAATATGGCTGCTAAAAATCAATTAAAGTGTATTCAATCTGATCACTTCAAACCAATTCAGGTGAAAGGAGATGAAGTTAGTTGTGTATCTATTTCTCGTAGATCTATTGAAAATATAAAACAGAAGTTTATTAAGATTAAAAATCAGGCGCAGATGAATACAATTCCACACTCTCCACTATCTCCAAGAAAATAAGGAGTTTACATAATATAGATTAATATTATATTATGCACATAATTGTTACACACATTTTTTGTAAAAATAATTTATTACATATATATTTTCATACATATATTTAATAAAATTAATTATAAAGTTTATTTATTGTATTAATTGAACTTTTTGTTTATTTTATGATTAGAATTTCCTTCTAATTAATAAAATCTAAATAAGTATATATTAAGCCAAAAAACTAAAACAAATTATTAACTAAAAGTTTCCAACGAGTTTGGAATGTGTTATAATCAAAATTTGAATTTTCGCGTTACACTAAAAAAAAAAAGCATGTGATAATAAAAATAATTATGTTTGTCAAATGGATTAACCTTTAAAAAGTCAGTGAAGTTTTTGGATTTTTCATCCTTTACCCTGACAATATAATAAATTATGCTTATAATCTTCTGTTATATTTCTTAAACTTTACCAACACTTGTTGGTGTCTCCATTTATTTACATCACATACATTAAGTTATTAGAATTTAATGTTAACTTATACATTTTTATCATGTTACACCAACAATGAACTTATTCTTTGGGAAATAGTGGCAACCCTTTTATTTTTTCATAAAAGCGTATTGTCATATGTGTAGAATATTTGAAATACATTTTATTGATTAATTTTAATATTTTAATTAGTGTCTAATGTTGTGGACCTACACCTTATGATAAATTTGTAGTATACATACAAGGTGATTAATTTAAGGTAAGACACTCATTTTCTCTTATAATAATTTCAATTTTGTAGTTTTCTTTTTGAAAACATTTTTGTTATGTTTTTTATAATATTTTAAATGACTAAATATTTACCTCTTTTAGGGCTCTATAAATTTTTGAAATGGTAAAGTATACATGTAATTAAATATAAAAATTTAAGAAGGGTGGAGTGTAGTATTCCTTTAATCCGTCCTAAATTTTAAGCTTTATAACTATAATTAATTTTTCAAAACTGATCGACCAGTCAACATTCTTAATTTAATAAGTTAATTAAATATGTACGTCACCATTTAAGTTTTAAAATTTGACGCAGCAATGAAAAAAAATAAAAATAAAAACTACAAAATTGGGATTATTTTAAAAGAAAAGTAGTGTCTTACCCCCTTAATGAATCACCCTGTAGACTGTATTATTTTTTGCTATTTATATACTATAACCAAAAAAGTGGCATTTATGTTAATGCATCTGTTGCTATTACATCATTTATATGTAAACACCACATATAGTGTAACGACCAAAATCACTGACAATATAAAATTATATTAATCAAATCTGTATTAGAAAGTTTAATAAGGAACAAAAACTAAAAAATGTAGATATTTATAAATAGATTAGACTAAAGTACCAAGAATTAATAGAATTGTGTAAAAATTAAATTTTTCCTGCGGTACGTCAACATACTAGAGCACAATTAGAGAAAAGAACTGGCGTCGGCAATAGCAAACGATACAGCTCTAAAAACACATGTTGGCTGGCTATAGCCTACACACAAACCACTAAACAACTTTTATGTTGGCTACAGCCAATGTGTATTAAGGAACAACTTTATATTGGTGCAATCTACATGTATAGATAATACAAATTTTAAGACAAGGCTTTTGGAGCTGTAGTTTTAGATGATATACAAAAACATTAGATCACTTATTAATAATAAAACATTTTAATTTAAAAAAAATTAAACAATTTATAGTCTTTATAAGTAAATACTTAAGAAATCCATTTTATAAATAAATTTAAAATATTCTTAGTTCAGTTCATTATAAATAATAAAATAAAAAATAACATTTTTTTGAAATTAAAAACTGTTCTTTAATTTATTAGCAGAGATTTCTGGAACATAATTATCATTTGTTGGAACAACTTATTTTTTAATAAAATAGAAAAACATTTAACATTTTGTTGCAATAAATACCTAAATAACAGTCACTTATTTACTTTAGTAAACAAAATAACAATAAAAGTAAAACAAAATAAAAACAAAAAATAGTAAAAACATTCATCCTGTATGTTATAAAATGTTTAAATACTGTTTTCTATTAACTTAAATAAAACAATGTTATTACCATTTAAAATTATTACTCGACTGAGATGTACTTGGCAGCGAGTAATTATTTTGGTTTCTGTAACTGGAACCTCTACTTCCTAAACAACAAGCAAACAGTTAACATGCAACTCTTAATAGTATAAAGTTAAATTTAGTAATATTAGTTTATCTTCTTTATGGCATAGTATATAATATCATGTCGATTATATACATAGATGATTTTTTAGCATTTACAATTGGATTTTTTACAATTAATTTTTTGTGTAATATAAAATATTTAGATGAATTAAAAAAGTTCTTAAGGTATTTTAATATTATAGAGATCTTTATTTGTAGTGTATATATTTAATTAAAGTTTAAACAATATTTTTACCATTCATGGTGCAATTGTTTCCACCAGTTAAGTATGAGCTGTTGTCCGGATAACCTGCATATATTTTTAATTAATTAATTATTAAGTAAAATTACATCTGTAGTTGTTCATTAATTATTTTAATTTTCTAACCTTTACCATGAGAATATTGATTTTGAGGTTGAAGCTTACGAAAAGAGGTAAATGAGGAATTGTCGTTATGTCTACCATGACGACCTACATTTAAACAAATTTAATATAAGATGATAAACAAAAAGTACCAAGTATAACAATTATTAATTGTATGTTAATTTTACCTTTGTTACTATTTTCTCTGGGCCTCTTACCAACATCGTCAGGAGCTTCAAGGCCCACAGCTTGATCCTCGGCAGCTAAGATCTTTACTACCGACTGAACAACATTACTATAGGACTGAAAATGAAATCAAGAATCAATTATTATAGTATATACATAGGAGCTATAATTTGTATTGAAAATTTACTTACACTGTTAATAGTTATCATTTTATTTTTCAGGAATTCTCGATATGCTAACGTAAGGCATAAACGAATGTTCAAAATTTTAGTTATATCATCAGGATTCCCTACAAACGTAGTCCAGCCATCCAAGTTTAATACTCCAGACTGTTCTATTGGCAAACTCGTTTCATCATTAGTATCCCAATCACTATCATCTAAATCTGCAAAATAAAGATATAAAAACAATTTTTTTTTAATTGTTTTTACCGTTTTTACAACATTAGTCATTAACCAAACAAAATGTATTGACCTATAAACAATATATGTTACTGACCCCAAATTAAAACAATTTTTTCTCATTTATCATCGAAAAGAAGAAATGTACAAAATGTCAGCCTTCTAGGTCAACCACCACGTGTTCTTCCTATAGTGCCATATTTCCCCATTTTTACACTAGAATGACACTTTTCATAAGAATGTCAATCAACCTAAAACTTAATTATATATTTAGATTTGAGAAAAAAATATCTAAAATCTAACACTTTCACCTTTAAAATGCCTCATGAAATATGTGTATGAAGAAATTCTATCCTTATAAAAAAACTCATTTATTGGGGTTGACTGGAAGATGAATTTTTTACATTTCTTTAATTCAATGAATAAAAACAATTGGGGGTAAGAATAAATTCTTTGTTTTTTCTAATTATATTCATATTATGTATTTATAATTACCTTCAATGTTTTTTACAGAATCATGGGGAATTTTCATTGCATTTGCAAACAAAGCAACAGCCATTGGTGATACTACTGTACAATTTTTTATACATTTTTTTGTGCTGAATGAACACATTTCTTCAAAAATTATCCATTCAGAAGGTAAATCTTTAGAATAATTTTCGCGTAAAATACTAGATCCATGATAAACCACACTCTTTTCCGTTCTAATAATAATAATTTTGATTAAAAACGTGCTTTTTAGCAATATTATACATACATTATGTAATATGTGTAAGTAGTCTAAAAAAACAAATTATTAACTTAGTTTTTAAAATTGGTCTTGGACTAGACTTATCTAGTTTGGCCAAATTTGGATATAATCCGGCTAATAAACAAGCTTTAACTGCTGCCCAATTATTTGAGTTTGAATTAACATCTCGTATATCGTTTGGTCCAGGGCGCATTTGAATAAGTTCTAATGCCCTTAGTTGGCCAAGTAATTGAGTTCTAGTCTGTGTAATTAAACCCATTACAGATTGAGATACAAGATTGTTTAACTCACTGCCAACTTTACTTCTTTCATTAAATGCCTGTAATTTTGTCAATATTTAATTATTTTAAACAAATAAAAACCAAACAAAAATCTACTACATTTAAATAGTAACCAACATCTGTAGTCTTAAATAATTATCATTAATTGCGACTTGATATATTATCAATGTATACATTGGTTATATTTTTTTTATTACTTATTAAAAATCCTATTATGAATAATTTTTACAGGGTTCAATTTTAGGCGGTTTTCACACCAGAGTGTAACTGGCAATATTATCTTTTAGTGCTAATTGCTAGTTGCTCATTGCCTATTGTTCTGGTGTGAGAGCTGCCTTACAGATTCAATTAGACAAGTTATTTTAAAAGCCTGACCCAATTAGTTAGGTACTTTTGGATATACATAATACTTATATATATTATATTATATATATATTTATGTGTGTAAATATTATATATATATATATATATAATAAAAGAAAACCAACAGATTTCCAACTCTAGCATAACAGGATTTATTTAAAACCAAAAAATTACCTGATAAAGGCGTAAGAGAATAATATGATCGCTTAATGTACTACCAGCAAGTTTTTTACGTATTGACCCAAGTGAAGTTTTCATGTTAACGTTAAGAGTCAGGTTAAAAGGTTCTCTGTAAATAAAAAAACAAACATAAAAACTAATTTTTAAATATTTAAGGAATTATTGCATCACCTATTAGCTAAACAGCTAATTATAGTTAATACTGGATCAAGACACTTTAAAAATACTGCAAAAACCAAAGACTTGGCATAATGCGGCTCTATTGACAAATCCAACATGAAAAATCCAAGAGCTGTTAAATCTTCATTAATATCCATTGCTTCAATTGTCTGCAGTAATAATAAGAAATATAAATACTTATAGGAAAAACTAATGTTATTAAATCCTTCAATTACTTTTAAATATTCTAGAGCTGCCACTATAGATAATGTCGGAGGTGGTTGTATAGCTAATGCTAAGAAATCCAATATTCTCATATTACTAGAGATCACTTTAGCCAACATACACAATTCCTGCAGATTGTTCAGAGATATTAATTATTTAATTAAGAAATATTAATGAAAAAAAGTCAAAATTGGAAGTATATTTATTTAATAACTGATTATAAAAAGAGAATATATTAAAATTTGTATTACATTAATTAATTAATTAAATTCCATTCTATCTTACTTATTTTGTTAAAGGTGCAACAAAATTTGCTATTACAAATTATTATTTTTTTTTTTAATAAAATAATTACTGCAAATTTAAAGCATTTATTGTCTAAAAATATTTTCAATTAATTTGTTATACTATGACCATTTTTTTAAAAAATACATTAAAAAAATAATAATTTTAAAGTATTGTGCTACATAAAATATATAGTGTGATAGTAGATCTCTAAAATTTAATTTAAACAGCAGCAATTAAGTTTTAGCCAATTATTTTTATTTATTAAGTGGTAATCAAATTAATTTTGCTAAAACTTAATTGCTTCACTTTATTTAAAATGTAGGGATCTATTAATTAAGGATTTTATTAAGATGTGATAACTTTTAAGTTAAGTCTTTAATTGTACTGATGTGCAATAGTTCTCAACCGTGGCCATTGATTAAGAAACACTAGTAAAACAAGAATATTATATAAAATTACTTGTAAAGGCATCCTAAGAATTTCAGGTACATCATGAGTTCCCATATAACTATAATTTTCTCGAGAATATAGACGGTAGCATTCACCTGGACATAATCTTCCAGCGCGTCCAGCTCTCTGCTTAGCACAACTTTGTGATATCCAATTTACATTCATGCAACTAATTCCATTAAAAGCATTATAACCTTTCTAGAAATGTCAAACAAACTACATTATTACCATAATATTCAATTTTAAAGTGACAATAAGTTCTAAATTATTTTAGTTATACTTGTTTTACTCTGCCTGAATCAATAACAAAAACAATGTCATTAATAGTAACACTAGTTTCAACAATATTTGTAGCCAATATGACTTTTCGATATCCTTTCGGCACTGGTAAAAAAACTCTTTGTTGATCGGATGTCTTAAAAATAAATAAATTATAAGTCATAACTTAATCATTTGACAATTAATGTGCCTAACCTGCATCATAGAGTGTAACATATACATTTTTATTTTAAAATCGTCTTTAGCAATAAGTTCTTCCGTTATAACTTTGTTAACCATCGACATATCTTCAAACCCTGGTAAAAACACTAATATAGAACCTACAAAAAATATATAAAATGTCAATAACGTAGGTAGAAAATGAAAGAAAAAAATGTTTACCTGGTTTTTTTGTTAAAATTATATGTTTAACAAGATGGGCTATTAAATAAGAATCAATGTGGATACTTGGTGGCAAGCTTTTTTTATACAACTCTAATCTTTCCATCATATCTAATTCTTTGTGTGCTTCATTTTGCTCTTTGGGTGAAATAGCTCCTTTATAGTTGAGAATTAAATCCCTAGTTTCGTATTGTTTAAAGTCAGCCGCCCAAGTTGCTGCATCTTTATTAAGTACTCTAGTTTGTATAACCGGACTAGCTCCCATGTTTAAAAGCATAATGACATAATCATTAAGACCATGAACAGCAACTAACATTAACAATGTCACACCCGTATCAGAATGCTAAAAAGAAAATTTAAATTATTTTCTGAAATTTGAAATAAATAACAATAAAACACCATTTAACCATTACTTGATAATCCACAGGTACTCCTTCAGACATTATATAATAAATCATTCTATCAATTTGTTCAATTTCCGCATTGAACCAAATTTGATGCATACAATCATCTAATTCTGGCTTTAACCATTCTTGATCAGATCTCAAAGTAGTTACCTAGTATAACAAATATTCTCATATTTCTATATCATATATATTATAATAGCTAAATAATAATAATTTAATACTTAGAAAATATTATAAAATGCACTAAAACTGTATGAAATTATAGTTATTTGTAGCTTAGATAGATTTGTTATTTTTTTAATGATAACTTTTTTAACTAGTTTATTGATTTCTATGTTACAATCAACTATTTTACAATCTAAAATATATTTTACCATTTTTGTATTTCTTAAAATAGAATAGATTGAAAAAAAATGGAATAGATTTTTGGGTTGTATGCTATATTGACTAGCGAAATAGTAATTAGAACACTATTTAAGAGAACCCCAAGGCAGTATATTAAGAGATAAGTTTTCTGATGTATGTAATTTAAACATATATTAACAAAATTATTTATAAGAATAAATTATGTATTTTTTTAATTATACAAATTCTGTTATAACATTTTAGTTATCATAGTTAGTAGTTTAGTCAAAACGGATATAACTAAATATAAAAAAAAATATAATAATAGTTTAGTTATTACTATTTAAGTTATGTGACAGAACATACCGGTTCTGTAAGGTGCATGTTTTGAATGGCTTCTGTTGTTTCTCTTAGTACTATGTTGTTATCCCAGTAGTCAATTTTTGTTCTATTTTTTATTCTTAACATTGACTGAGATTCGTAGTTCATACTAAAAAAATTAAATGTATATAATTATATAAGCAATATAATGCTTATATATATATAATCATTTTCACGCTGGTCAAATTATTATTATTGATTCCTTTATACATTAAAATCTTTTAGTTGTTAAATGGTTGATAACCCTATATATCATTAATAATATCTACAATAATTCATAATAATGTGCTTAGGTCATAACGTTTTTACAGTGACATTTTTGTAAATATAAAAAGAAACTACTTAAATTAAGTTTCTTAAATACAAATATCAACATGAAAACATCATTATCACAATATCATAAGCTAATTGTAATTAGTAACTTAATTTGTAATATGTAATTAGAACGTAAGAAAACTTGTAATAGCATGTAATATGCCTTAACATTTTAGTTTTAATAAATAAAAAAATACAAGTATAACTATTATCTTACTCATCTAGAATGTCTTCTAAAAAATATTCTGTTACTGGAAACATTTTCCCTTCAACTATATGGAATATAAAAGAAGAATTAATAATAGCAAAATTATCAATGATTTCACTTATTTACCTTTTAAAACAGGGCAGTTGTCGAAGTAAGATGAAAATAAATTTATATCAGCTGTTGCAGACATAAGAATAAGCTTTAAGTGTGGATTTTTGGGCAAAATCATTCGCAAGGCAATAAGTAGAAAGTCTACATGCTTATCACGTTCATGGACTTCATCTACTATTATATGAGAAACATTCAGTAACATTCCTTTGACAGGTTCGTTATCTTTCTGATGTCGATCCATAAGTGTTCTTGTCAAAACACCAGTTGTACAATAAATTATTGTTGCATCGTGGCTAACGCTAAAAAACAAAAAAATTAAAAAAATTGGATATTTTCATAATAGTTTAAGGCATTTATAACTTAATATATCATATCTTTTTACCAGCTTTCAAGTCGAACTTGATAACCGATGCTCATTCCAATATTTTCACCTCGCTCATTAGATACCCTATCTGCCATTGATATTGCAGCAATTCTTCTAGGCTGACAACATACAACACGACAAGGTCTGTTCTTCATGGCATTATTGTCTATAATAAACTGTGGTATCTATAAATAATTTTTAAAAAAAAACTTTTTTAATAAATTTGTAAATTATTATGTATTAGTAATATTAAAATAAGTAATCCTACCTTTAATAACAAAATAATTATGTTTATTTAAAAAAATAATATTGTTGTTGTGGTTTTGTATTAATATTTTGACAGGGTTGTAAATTTGTTTAATACACAAAAAGCATATAGAAACTACTGTCAGTAAATTCAGATAAAGAAGGAAATATTTTTTATTTTGAAATAAAAATAACAGACGTTCAAAAAATAATAAGCTTTTAAAGAATTGATCCCAACGATCCTGCCAACATCTGTATACTAAGATTTCTTCATAAAGTTGTTTGAAAACCACCTCTGAAGATTGGCTGACCTGATTATTAGTGTTAAAATTAGAGCCTCATGGTTAGTTCTTCAGTTCTGGGAACCATGCAAAGTTGCATGACTCCGGACTGTAAGCAAGGTGACACGCACATAAAGCTGCGAACAGACTATTATCACGTCATGTGAGCTTACGTGACTGAAAAAAAGTATGGATCGTCATTTTACATAATATTTTTAAGTACCAGAAACAAACACACTACTACCACATCATGCCCATCAAGTACGTTACTGAACTCACGTCTTTATTTCGCTGTCTGTCTTCGGCAACGCTTGGTCACCAATCTACATGTGTAGAACCAGCATATTCTATCGGCGGACAGAGACAAATATAAAGCCATTTCATTTGATTAAAATTTCGTTTTTAAATTAAAAAATAAAGAAATTTTAATTGAAAAAGTGAGGGTATATGATATTTTATACTTTCCATAATTGAAATATATTTAAACCGACAAACATTCACATAAACGATAAAGAAATAACTGATTATAGTCGTTGCTAGATAACTTGGCACAGCTGCGGCGGCGTGAAAACACAGGGGTTCCGTGTATTTAGTGTTTTTTTTTTTTTTTTATCTATTATGCCTCGTTGATAGTTAATTTTCATAAAATTTATAATAATATAATAATAGTAATAACAACAACAATAATAAACGCTGCCGCTGTGCCAACTTATCTGTCATAGACTGTAAATACTGTGAAATGGTAAATGAAAAAAAGGCATGACAGAAAGTATATGACAGTAGTGTGTTTCTAAACGTGATATCACGGTTTAAATTTGTCATCGTGATGGCACGTGAGTTCACATGACGTGACTATAGTCTGTTTGCAGCTTTAATGTCATATTTCTTAAGGATGTAACATTCACCGAGTAAAAGAGGATATTGTCATGTTACAAATTCCAAGTTATTGAAATGTTTGGATGCTTTTTTTGAAAGTGTTTTTAGAGCTTTTTCAAGGTATCTACATAATAGGCAGCATTTGTCGCAGCATTCAAAGGCACGTTATGTTGATAATACACCATGGGATTCAAAGAATATGATAACTATCATTTTTTCCACTGCAAACCTTTTGCCTTCCTCAGAGATCTGTAAGCGCAATTCTTACTCAATACACATTACCAACACTGCACAGTACAGAACTGGCCATTTCTATGGTTTCTACACATACTCTCTACACAGCCCAGTCAATTTTTCGCTACTACTCATGCAGCCATGTACAAGAAATATGACTGACAATAGTTTCTGAATGCCCTTTGTATTACAGTTGATATAAATAATAAATACATTATTTTATACCTACTATTGTCGTTTATATCATTATTCTACCTGAGTTGTTTTTCCAGATCCTGTTTCTGCTGTAATAATTACTACTGGGTGGTTTTCAATTGCTTGAATTATTTCTCCACGTTTATCCCATATAGGTAGAGATTTTCTTATTAATAGTAAATTTTCATTAGTAGCAAGACGTGGTATAGACATGGATTTATTACACATTAATGGAAGATTTCTTTTACAATTAGCCACTTAAAAAAAAAATATATATATTGTAATAAACAATTTCCAAGCACCCGACAAAAAGAGTTGTAACTCAATATTAAAAAATAAATAAAACATTTTTTTATACTGAACACGAGTTTTCTTTATAACCGACGAAAAAGGTAATAACTCGATTGTGTTCTTCAGAACTTTAGTCAATTTAAGCTGCGACCTTATTTGCTGTTATACAGAAGACGTATGTTATCAGTTAAACAATTTTATTTTAAAGCGAGTTACTACTGTTTTTATTAGGAGTCGATTAGTATGTTGTACTAAAAATTTTAAATGTTTATTCATTTACCAGCCATTCTTTGGAACTGTTTCATTGGGTTTGGCAATAATTCTTCATACATTTGTTTAGTAATAGGAATATTATCACAGGTTTTTGTAATTATTTCTTGAGAAATTGAAGAGATTTCTACACTTGCAGCATTATCAATTATACTCAATTTTTTATTTTTTTTTTTAAATTTATTTTTGGTTTTCTTTTTATAAATAGTTATGTAACGGAGAGGCCCTTGCCTAAACAATAAACATAGATTAACAAACAAAACATTAAAATTCTAAGTTTTTACAAATTCTAGAAAAAAAATTAATCCTCAAAACATTTAACTACACATTATACTATACTCGGATTCTTTTTTTATTACATGTGAGAAATCTGTGTAACATCATAGATACTAACACATTTTAGAATATTTTCTTTACATTTTTGGATTTCCATTTATAATTTATAACCAATCCCACCCCTCCCAAATAAGCAGAGCTTGTGCAAACTCAAATGTACAGAGTTTAACACATGTACCACTAGGCTACACACACACATTTGTTTGTTTGTACTTAACATATGTATATGTGAATTGGCTACGATTTTATTGTCATCAACGTAGCAATACATTAGCACTCACTGTTACTAGTTCGATACTGTCACAGCAGTCTCTCTCTCTAAGAATAAAACTACCATTGGCTGCAGAAGCGACCAAACATAGCTCTTAAGATATACCCCCATCAAAAAAATGCCATAGGAAATATAAACATACCTATTGGACCATAAATGTATAGTATAAAGCAAATAAATATTTGTTTACTACTTCTTCTTACCCATGACTTTTTGATTTTATTCCCAACTCAGCACATTTTAAATGTAAATATTTACGTTCTTCTGATGTTAACGTAGTAGGAAATGAAATTTCTAAAACATCATAAAGTTATCACAAAATTATATACTATGTAAAATAAAATAAATATATTACATTAATACTTTAAATCTTCTATACAACATTTTACTACAGTTGAAACTGAATAAGTCAAAGTTCAAACAGAACAAAAACATTTTTTTAGGTTTGTGCTTAATCATAATTTATATAAAATGTAACATGTTTAGCAAAGTAGAAATTACAGAAATTTTGAATTATCTCACATTTTTTTTTTAAATAACTGAGCATTTATATAGAATGGCATAATGTAAAATAATAAAAAAAAAAAGAGGGTCATGTCCACTAGCACTGCTTAGCAAAATACCAGTATGCATGAAACATTAAGCAAAATGTAGACCATCCTAAAACGTTTTTAAGCAGTTTGATTTTGAAAGTACGTATAAATGTTGGTAGTAACGTTGTAGAAGTAATGCACATACCCTACCTATGTTGCCTCTAGAGCTTCAACTTAAATCCTTATTAGTTATGTCAAATTGCATCAACGTTCATTACATTTTTCAATGAATCAATAGCTATTTAATGGTTCTTTAAAGATAATTTTGACTGCTCCATTAAATTTATTAACCTTGTTAGCAAGACAAATATAGTTCTATTCTAGTCATTTGTGCATAGTGCTATAATTTGAACCCAGTCGCATCTTATGTTTGATAATTTGTTGTTAAGAGAGTTTACTTAGATATAGGATGTAAAAAAGTTATAAAGAATTTTAGATATTTAAACATTTTTTTATATTAGGTAAAAAATAAAGTGATAGTTTCATCTAAAAACTAACAAAGTTTAAAGGATAATAAAAACTTTAAAGCTTATTTACTAAACTTATACTAATATTGACATTAAATTTTTGAATATTGTATCACATTTCCTTGAGATTAACAATAATAATTGTAACCTAAATTATAAAAAAAAATATTAATAAAATTAGCTGTTGCCAAATATGACTTGGCGGATCATTTATCTTAATGGGAAACATAATGATGGCCAGAAGAAACAGTTAATACTTTATATTGTGCATAATGTAATATGACACCTATAATTACCTAGCAATTCGGACGACAGAAATGAATCTAATTCACGTGACAGATAATCAATAGAATCTCGAGACAAATCATTCTTACGCGACCTGAAACATCAAATAAAAATATATAAATACAAAAAATATGAAACTGACAGTCAAATTTAGTTTTCTAAACATAATTAACATAATTGAGTATGGCATACATATTTGGAAGATGTTGGTAAAATATTTAATCAGTATTAAATAAAATGTGACTTAAGAGAATAAGAAAAATACAATCGTATATAATTTTAAAAACGAACATGTTTTAACATAGAACACATTTGATCCGAACCGAATTATCATTTATCAGAATTTAGAAGAACTCAGTAATCAGTGTAGGTGTATATGTCAACTTACTAGTTACCACGGCTGTAGATCTACAGCCGTGCTAGTTACTAGTTACTACCTCTTTCACAGTTTAATATGATCTGATAACGTCAAATAATCAAAACACAAAAACATTTTAGTAAAATGATTATACAAGTTTTTACACGACATGATTATGTTGGTACTGCCATTTGAATTAATGGCGCCAACTTAGATATCATAATTTGTGAATTAAGCCAATAAAGCTTTAAAGCAAAAGTCAATACGTAATCCAAAATCTTAACCAAGCTCTGTTGCTTGTTATCCGAACTTGTAAGCACACGTCTTAAGTATAAATAAATTAAGTTTGTTCTTTTTTTATTATACAAGTCATAAACATTTTTCTTGGACTACAAAGAATGAAAATATTATAAATATTATAGATTGACCGAGACAATTTTCAGTTCAGACATCGACACAGGACGGGCATTGGTAGTATCGTTTTCAAAAAAAACGCCAAATACGAACGAACGTTTGATGCACCACCCCCCTCCCCCATTTTTTTAGAAAAAACAAAAAAAGATGTGAAAATTCATAAAAAAAATCCAAAAAACAGAAAATTATATTATTTTTACACTTAATTATTTGAACCATTTTGATTACTGTGGTCGTTTTTTTTAGGTTAGTTTAGGCACTATAAAAAGTACTTATAATAATATTATGTACATATACTATACAAAATAATATGCTTTGTGGTTGTTTAAACATGATAAAATGATCCGACATTTAAATTTATTAAACATATTAAATAGACAAATAAGATTCAATTCTAAAGTTCTTTGTACATTGTACTATTTCTGTGACCACATAATTTTATTTTTGATAACTTAGAGTTTAGAGGTATTACTTTTTAGTAAAATAGTTTTTTTTTAATAGCCTTTATTGGATAATATGATGGCTCAACAATTACAAATTATTATTTAAACAAAAATTACAAGCACGTTACAATAGGTAATACTATGTACATAGGGAAATCTAACAACAGTGTAATGAGAAAAGACAAAATGTATACATAAGTTAGAAAACAAATAGATAGGAAAGAGAAGAGTTAAATAGTTAAATAAAGAATTATAGCTTAATTATTTAGAAAAAAATATTAGTTTTTAATGTATGAACATTAGTTTTCTTGGAATAAACATGATTAATATTAAAAATGTAGTGTACAAATAGCTAGGAAAATGGGAAATTTTTTTTTAAAAAATATTTTAGTTAATATTTATTATTTTTGGTACTTCTCAGTGCACTACTAACTTTCAAGACTGGATAATTACATTTAGTTTTACAATTTTAAAATAAGGTAGAAGAGAGGTGCAGGAAAGTATTATTATATTTTGTATACGCGTGCCTGTCTCCACCACTTACCCCTTTTGTCTAAATTGTTACACACTCATAAAAATAATTTGTTTTACCCCTTAACTCACTAAACTTAAATAACTAAAATTTCGATAAGCTCTATATTTTAATCAAATGTAATGAAGAGTACTTACATAACTTCATTTTTTTTTCTGTAGTATTTGTTTAAGCATTTTCCATATTCCATTGTATAATGATAAACCAAAACTATCACTAAAATCATAAATTCAAAAATTGAAAATGGTACTATGTATAATATTATTATAATGTAGTTCACCGTAGTACATTGCTTTGAACTGTAAGATACCTAAAGACTGTCGCATTTATCACTCTTTCACATGAAAAATAAAAATACTAGTAAGTAGTAACTGACATTTTTAGTTTTCAAAAATTATAGCCATAATATATTATGTTCTTAGAAACTTTATCGTCTCATACCCCTTCTCTAGCATATGACTTGAGTCTTTAGTATGAACTGGTAAACCGCTTACGGGTTGGCTAGTATATCAGGCTGAAGGCATATATGTATATATATATATATATATATACATACACGTATATATATACATACACGTATATATATATATATACACGTATATATCACGTTCACGTGATACATATGAAACAAAAATAATTTCTTAGAATTTACGGCTTTTCCAAAAAAAAAATTGTGAAAATAATAAAATGTCTAGACTAAATGTTTTGGGGTGAACTGCGAAATCTAAAGTGTATTTATAGGTTTAATACAAATTGCACTGTGTACATATTTTAATCAAGTTAAATATACTTGCTTTAATGTAAATTAATACAATTTGAAGTAATAATAACAATTAGTTGGTAATTAGTGATAAAAAACCCTCCATTTTTAATTTTGTTAATTTAACATTTTATGTAAAATTAAAATTATTATTTTTAAAGCTTATCGGGCCATTCAAATGACATTAAACTAGATTTCTACTAACTAACTAGTGTTCAGAATTGAAGTCGACGTCAGCCATTTTTGTGGGACTTATGTAAAATAATATACCTATACAAATATCTGTGATTCTGTGATAACAACTTAACTTATAATTGTTATAAACATATTTTCATGTAATAAGGTTCCAATTCCCTCCAAGATAACATGGGAACTTCAATTATCTCTGTTGGCGGCATTTACACTTAGCAATCTAGTTTATTATATATATCTGTTTACTTGATGTTATTTAGTATTTACCCAATATATCAACAAACCAATTATTGAATGTTGTGACGTTCTATTCAAGTAAAGTCACAGATTATTTGAAAATATAGTCATTTAGCAACTATTTTCTATCCGTGCTATTGCCCACTTTTTCGGGTTTTGTTTATTTTTTGCTGAATATTAATAATTAAGATATGAACCAATGTAAACCTATTTTAAGAATCAGCACTTCCCAGTATTTTCTTATCGCACATTATCATCATTCATCATGCAATAAGCATTGAACGTGTCAAACTTATTGGACATTTTTTTTATCTTTGATTCTGTCAAATTTACGGATTGTTTTCAGCACGTTGGTCGTTATTCGGATCGAACCTTCAGGCTTCAAATATTATTGAACATTTTAATTTAATGTTATTTGGATAATGTTACAATTGAATTTCGCAACCACGTTTTTGTGTCGTAATTAATGACGACAACCCTTATTTTTAAAGCGTAAAAATATGTTTACGCACATCGAGTCGGATATTTGATTTTTTATTTTAAAAAATCGAACTAAAACTAATTATTATATTTTCAGTTTGAAAATATATTCATAAAACAAAAAAATTGCACTTTAAAATCATTATCTTGATATTTCCCGATAAAAATTGCAAATAATATGTTACAAGCATTGAAACTGATAAAACTGATCTTAAAAAATTGCTAAATAAAATGTGATACGAAATATCAAAATAAGTTGATACGTTGATTAGTTTTCATGCTTGAACTAAATTTTCCAAGCTTATCAAAGTAAAAAAAATCATAAATATTAAAGATTTTTTATTTGAATAGGGTATTATGGGTTGAAAAGGTAAGCTGTAGAAAAATTGTTTTAAAAATTACAGTGTATTAATTAACTAAACATATTATGTATAATTTCAAGTTGACAACCCGGAGGAATTGACAAATGATGGAGAGGAATGGAGGAGGCTATGTGGAGCAGTGATGGGCCTTAATGACCTATAAAAGCTGAAAGTGAACAATATTTTTAGCTAATATAAAATTAAAATAAACTTACAAATTTGAAATAATAACAATATCGTGGTCCAAAAAGTAAAGACAAACACTAAATTATAGGTAAACATCAATGATCAGAAGATTATTGAAGGCAATATTCCTCTGTAATACAGAGTATACAATTTAGAGTACCCTCGCCCCTTTGTGATATTCTATTACATAAATGCAAGAAAACCAAAGGCCCTGGGCGATCATGCCCATATCTTCGGAGAAAACGATTGTAATAACTCTACTTTATATAATTATGTATTATAACAACGATCAAATAATTTCTTATATTTTACCAAACTTTTTAATAAATGTAAAAATAGTTTGGCCCTCTGATGTATAATAGGGCTAAAGTCTATTTTTTTTTTTAATCAGTTTTTGTCCTTATGGTAAATTTCTATTTCCTACCCATTACCTAAAACTCTTTGGCTGATGATTAATTATTTTTATCAGTTATGACTAATCAATACAGTAATTATTAAAAGGTTTTATCGCCAAATGATCAAAGTGAAATATTTTATATTGATCAATTAAGTATATTATGTGCCAATAATTATAGATTATATTATTGTACTTATGCATGTTTAGCCTATGGGTTGATTTTAGTTTGTTTTTGGAAGCCGGAAGTATTTACTAAAAGTTAAATAAAATACTATTTTCCCAACGTCTATAAAATCATACCCCATTAAACTCGCTCAAATATTCGAAATCATAATTCAAAGTTTTGATATGTAACTGTAAGTGAAGTAAGAAATAAGAATGTGTGTACTGTGTAGTGAGAACTGAGAACCTGAACGTTATGGTAATTTGTGTGGTTAATTTTGTTGATTACGATTTAAAATCATTGATTTGTGATAAGTAACGGACAAAATATATTAAAAAAACGTTATAAAAATCAGTAGTGAGCTGTTATTGTGTTGGCTCTACTGTCATATTGTGTCCGGATCACAACAAGGTACCACTGTTTACGTTGTCGTTTGTTCCATGAACCGATGTTGCGCGTATGGGGCGCGTACTTGCGTTGTCTCGGGCCTGTGCCCTTTCTCTCCGTTTGATCACATCCGAACGCTTGTTCGGCATAAACGTTGCTGATCTTACAGGAAAACCCATACTAATTCCCTATAAGGAAAACCCGGTTGGCGAATTGGGCATCCCACGGGCAATCCGAAACAAGATCCCCAAATCGAAGAGATTTAGCTGGGAAAATCGATCGGGAATCGCAATGGTGCGCGTCACGTGACCGGCACCGGCCAATGGGGACGTTGCATCCTAATACACCGCCCCGTCCCTCCTGCCAGTTGATAGTTTTTCGGGCATTAATAGTCGTGTATATGCGAGTTTCTCTGTTTTTGGTACGAAAAATAATTTACTACCGATGTATCGGATATGCGACGGGCATGTGAATAATGATTGCGTAGTGCCGTACTCGTCGATGGTTTAGGCGTGTGACAAGTGGTGCGAAGAAATTCCCGTGCGCCCTTAGTGTGTATGCGTGTGATCAAAGTACGCGTTTGCCGAGGATGGATGTGTCGGGTTCCCTTGTTGTTAGCGTTGGGAAAACGTTCGTGCACAGCACTTGCCACAGTTACTAGCCATACCGTTTATGTATGTTTCAGTCACAGACCAAAGGTACGTGTTAACTTTGATCGGCGGCCGCCGGTTGACGAAATCGGCGTACACCGCCAATGTGTATATATGTGTGTGTGAGTGTGTGTTATTATTTACAAACGTCGTCCCCCGAGCGGGGGCATCCCGCCATGTTGATCAGTAAGCGCCAAAAACGTTAACGGTATTAAGTACACGTACATGTCCGCTGAAATTTGTTGGTCCGTCGGGTATATACTAATAAGTGAAAAAACGCTAACGTCGGGCCAAACGAAATCGACCGTGGCCGTCGTTTGACAGTTTCCGCGGTCGTTCCATCAAACAGGTAGCCTAATCTAGGATGTAACGCGGGCGCGTTACAAAAATTAGGCACGACAATAGATTCCGCTTTGGCGCCTTTCTTGTTCGCGCTCAATTTCCATCAGTGTAAATTGCAATTATTAAAATTTGTTTGTTTTATCACTCATGCTTCATCAATTAACATATATAGGTTACTTGCCATCGTATATTTGGCTCTTTTAACTTATGTACAATATACTAGGTATTGCTATGTACTGCGAGTCTTACAGTACACAGCAATTCGTCGATAACTCCATAAATTGTAGACTTGAACATCATATTTTTATATTCCAGATACTTGTTGATCTTGTAAATATTGGTTTATTTAAAGATATATTACTTGATATTTTGCACTAATATGTTTGATCGTCAAGGACTTGCATCTTAATCCTTTATGATGGATTTTTGTTTAGTTCAAATGCTTCTTGATATGCTAGAACCTAACACGCTTATTGAATATCTGTTGGTTTCTTCTATGAATATTTATTCGAATGTGTTTGTTGTATTACTTGTAATTACTTTTTGTGTTACAGTTTTAAAAGCATTATATAAACATGGTTTTTGTATTGAATTTAATTATTTATTGTCAGTTACTATCAATTTAAATTTCTAAAAGATTTGTGTATCTATAATTGTATAAGTAAACATTAAGTATCTTTACATTAAATATCATTGTAGTTCAATTGGAAGTATGCTTAATCTCAACTTTAAATAAATTAATATTTTTATTACGAATGAACAACCTGCTTGATTTTAAGGTAAATGACAATAAGTCACTAGGTAAATGGTGTCATTAAAATTTGTTAAATCTAAGTTAATTTATTGTTTAAAACCTCTAAATGTCTTTAGTTAGTTCTTAACAGATTTTTAAAAATTTTTTAGTGGGTCCAACATGCAGCAGGTGCCAGTTTCAACTTATAACAGTGGTGTGCCGGCTGTAAGTATATTTTTATCAGTAACATTATTACTATTTATTTATTTATACTATCAAATTGTATAGATAATTTTTCATAAAATCTTAATTTAAAAGTAGAACTTCACTGTACATATTTTATTATTATAGCAATATCTTTATTGGTAATAACTAAATTATGTAATTATCATGGAGTCTTATTTAAAACGTTTTACTTTATTTTAATTTATTATTATATGTATTTTATATAATCCTTACTATTTTGCCTGCTGTGGTCATACAATTTTAATAGTACTTACAAGCAATAGTATATAATATGTTGTCATTTTTTATTTATTTTTTGATATAGTGTATGTTTTCAATTAAGTAATTAAACACAGAAAATAAGCAATTTTAAAATAGTTAATACAGTTAAATTATTAGCAATATTAACAAAACCTGACGACATATTACGTAACAATTATTTTCTATGTGTTAACAAAATTTTAAACGCCCCTTGATTATAGCAAAATAAAAACATTGTAAGGTTTGAGAGTATGCAAGTTTTTATACCCATTTTTATGAGCCTATGGTGTCTTTTCTACTATTAGATTGATTTCATTACATATACTAATAGTAGGTCAGAAATTGTTTACCAAGGAAACATTATAAGGCTGAAAATTGAAAAAGTTACATATTATTTTATAATTTGCCCAGATAAAGGCATGATTAATATAATAACTAATATATTATTATAATAACTAATATGTTTAAACACATATGCTTCATCAAAAAAAATTATCTATCTCGTTGGACGCGTCATAAAATTAATAAATACAAATTGATAACACTTTAGAAGTGCCTTTAAAAATATATATTTTCTGCATTGTACTACATTTCAGAGCTTATTTAATTGAGTAGACGTGATGACAACAATAATCGATAGACGTACTACTATGTCTGTGTCTGTTATAGCTGACTGCGCACCAAATATTCTAATAACACATGAATCTGTAACTGCACTTAAACTGTGAACTATAAACGTTCTTATATATGTAAATAGACAGTTTGCAGGTAAAACGGTGTAAGTCACAAGATAAAACGTTTTAAAAATGAGTTTAAAATTAAATTTTTTTTAAATATAAATAGTATTTAATTACTTGAAAAAATGTATACATAAAAAATTAATTTTTACGTTGGATTCTATCTCTCGATGGCCTCTCTCAGATAATTTCAATGTTGTATATTGTGTTTTTAATTTATAATACAGATTGTTAATTTTCTTCATTTTAATAATTTAACTAGTTAATAGCAGTTTTGAATATTGTGGAACAAAATTTTGTTCTGCTAACCTTATCTAACTTATTTACACTTTTAGAAAAACCATTTAAAATGGCAAATTTAAGGTATTTCTTAATTTTTTTTTTACATTACAAAATTGGGTATATTAAATTTAAGAAAGCAAAGAGATCATTTGAAAAATTTAAATGGCAGTTCTAATAAAATTTGGTTAGGTATAGTCAATATGTTGTATATACTTACTACACATGATAAAAAGTTTGCTTTTATTATAACTAAAAGTTTTTTAGATTCGAGCTCAATAATTTTAGCTAATTGTAACCAGATATTCTCTATAAAAATTACTCATAAAATATTCTGCTTGAACGCAAATTTCTAGATTACTGAGTGTATGTATTGAGGGTTAGTTTTTGTGACTATTTTTTGAAAGGCTGTTATTGAATACAAATTAATTATCATCGTTACTGTTAGATCATAGTTTTCAATCAAAATAAGTTAAGCAGAAAACATTGCTTTATATGTTACAAAAAATATTCTAAATCAAACTTTAATTGACCTGTTAACTTTTTATCAGGTTACATTGCCTATTAACAAATTGCCATGATCAGGTAAAAAGTAGGTGCTTTAGTAAAAGGGGTTTCAAAAAAGGTTAATTCATAAAATATCTAAAAAAAACAAAAATACTACACTTAAATTGGTTACAAGTACTTTATATGAAATTTCACAAAACTTTCTATGATTAATTTTTAAATAACATTTGTTATAGATTTATCATAATAACACATGATAAACCACAGGCATATGAAATATAGAACCTTTTTATATGTGTTACTCTTGTGAACATTTTCCCATCATTATTTGTAAAAACACTTTTTATTATTTTAAAATTTAATCAGCCAGTTTTACCAACTATTATTAAATACACTCTTAGCATGATGTTAGTTAACAATTCATTTAAATTTAACATCTGGTTAAATTAAGTAAGTTGACACATAACATTATTATTAAATTCTATTTGTTAAGTTAACAAAATGTTACTTGGGTTACTAAAGCGGTTACCTTGATTCCAACGTTCTCATTGGTTATCTCGAAATGTGATAACTGATAATATTATAATTTTATATTTAAATTTCAATTGGTAATAAATAATTCGATCTATGCCATTTTAACATTCTAATTAACAAGCTGATTTTGGCTGATAACTTAACAACGTGTTAAGGCTAACAAATCTCTATAAAACCCAATTTTCACTAACTTATTGTTAAATATAATAAACAATAAGTTAAATCCTTAACAAATGTTGGTGAAATCTGCTGAATATGTATTACTGTTAATTGTACTTTCTGCCTTTTGGACATAATTAAAAAAACTAAGAAAAAATCTGTTATGATAACGAAAACGAAGTCGACTAAAAGAACAATATAATATCGACGCCCCGTAAGAAAAGTAGCACTGTTTAAGTTCTAGCGAAAACTAACACCGTTCGAGGCTTCTTACGGAAACTAGCACCGTTGGCATCAATGGGAACAATTGCACGAACGGTGCTAGTCTTCGTAAGAACTCACAAACGGTGCTACTTTTCGTACAGGTCGTTGATATGGTTTATATAGATTAGTGTCCAAAATTAAATTGCCTATAAAGTATATGACGTGCTACATATTATGAGACTGTTTGGAGGCTATTGGCGTTAGTGCTATTTTATAAATTTATTTAAAAATTTTTATGTTTTTACCACTTATGGAAAATGGGAAATCCTTGGTAACTAAATTATATTCTATATATCGTTACCAAGGTCGAATTATTACACCTTTTCTGCAAAAAGTTAATTTTTGTAAAAGGGTTACTTACGCAAATTAGCCTGCAGAGTGAAGACGTGTTATATATTTTTTTTTGTACCTCTATTTCCTTATTATTTGTAAAAACTCGAATGCCAAATTTTATGGAATCAAACTCAAAGCATTCGAATTACCTATTATGGTGCTTTATTAGCTAAATAACAAGTAAATTGAGATTATTAATTTATTGGAACCTAAATAAAAGATTAGGTTAGGTTAGGCTTAAGTAAAAAAATAATTTTGCTAATCTTAACAAAATATAATCTATTTTGATGAAAAAAAATTGAGAAATTATACTTAAAAATGTATATTTTAGCTCAAGTACAGCTATATTGGAATAGTTTAGACTATGTGTTTTGCTAGGACTAAGCATTTTACTAGATTTTGATCTGAATTATAACAGAATGCAATAATGACATTAAAATCCTGTGGAAAACTACTAGAAATTAAAATGGATGGTGAATTTTCTAATGTATTTTGGCCCGATTAAAAACTCTTTAGTTAGAATCACTCAATTTTTACATTGAAATATAGTAGTAATTTAATTATTATAAAAATAATTTGTTTATATTTTTGAGGTTTTTTAATTAAATAAAAAGTAATACGGTTTATAATTATGATATCAGTAATATATATGATTAAATAGTATTAGGATTGAATATTTTGCTTAAAATGCATTTTGTAATTTGTATTTTATGTATGTATTATAGGATACTGCAAATGCCAAGCCTGACAGTCGAGAAATTGCACCACCACCACGTAATGAGCCATACATCGAACCGGTGAACGGCATAGTCCAGCCACCAGTTGTACCTCCCCCCAATCGGCCTGGTAGGCAGACGAATAAACTCCTTTTCCTTCAAAAGACTGTAATGAAGGCAATTTGGAAACATCAGCATGCTTGGCCGTTTCATCAACCTGTTGATGCCATTAACCTTAATTTACCCGTAATAAAATTATTACTTACTTATTTCACTAAAATTTAGTATAAAAATACTAGTATATAAATACTAAAAATATAACTATGTATTTTACAGGACTACCATAAAGTAATCAAAACCCCCATGGATTTGGGTACTATCAAGAAACGTTTAGAAAATAATTACTATTGGTGCGCTGATGAATGTATTCAAGATTTTAATACCTTGTTTACCAATTGTTATAATTATAATAAGCCTGGTGAAGATGTTGTGGTTATGGCACAAACACTGGAAAAAATATTACTTGCTAAGGTAATGATTACAATACAATTATTTAGTTGGTATACAGCAATACAAATTATTAAATTTAAAACAGGTGTTTACTACTCCTATAATATAATATAATATTTATATAATAAAACTTAATAAGTTCACTAATGAGTATTATAAAATGTATTAATAACAGTTAAATCTATTAATAACAGTTTTGCTCAAAAAGATTTTTCAATGTTTACTCAAGATTAAAACAAAATTAATGAGGAAATACAGTTAAGCGAGACATCTGAAATATTAGGCATTCTTTATTTGAATATACTACTATTAGTTGGGTGGGGGGGGGGGAGTTTTTATGTTAATCTAATCTTTACATTTTAAGTAACCTGAAGATGCATTTTGAGCAAAACTATTTTTTAGTTACATTAATACATTTTATAATATTCCCAAAGTACTTATTACATTTATGTTTTATACAGTAAAATATTTAAACTTTTAAATGTAATAATTTTGTAAAAATGTATTTTAATTTTTAGATGGGACAGATGGTTAAAGAAGAAACCGTTTTGCCCCCTCCCAAACCTGCTGTTAAAAATCATTCTATTACACAGAAGCCTCCACCGAGCCAGATACAGCCAATGGCTGTGGCGCCTGGTTCAACAGCTATGGGTACAACTCCTCATTCTCAACATAATTCACTACCACCGCAAGTAGGAAACATTTATTATGCATCTGTATTTAAAGTGTGAAAATATTTATGTTTAATTACATTAACAAGAGGCAAAATTTGAAACTATTGTAGGAGTTTTTGTGTCCATATTCTATACTTGGTATCTCGAATGTATTTAAATTTACATTAAATATTACTTATATACACTAGTATGCTTGTTTGTAACTAGCGTGAACCAAAATAATTTTTTTCATTTCCTTAAGTAAAAAACAATTTTTTTTTAAAAATTTATATTCGTTTAAATTAAGAATGGTCAGATGGCCACATACAACATGGTTTTCAGGTGACCTCCAGGTATTCTAAACTTGGATGGAGTATAGTAGCGCTTTACTGTAAAAGTTCAAATCTTTTAAGTCTTTAATTTTGTTTAGGGATATAAAATACTCTATAGAAAAAATGTGAGATACATATAAAAAAGGAACAAATTTTGACTTTAAGGTTAATTAAGAAAATGAACCTGAGGCTTTGAAAGATAAACATTTTGAAAATACTGATTAAATAACCCCTATTTTCTCTATTTCATTACAATAAAAGAGTACTTTTAAGATAAAAAAATAATTTAACAAAAGAAAAAATATGAATGTATTGAAGCTTTTAGGAATAATATATTACGTTGATGATTTTCAGATAATATATCCATGTCAATAGTTGTTAGCTTATGTTTCGGACTCCGCTAAGGCCTAGTTTTTCAATTAAAAGTTTATTCATTGAATAATTATTTGAAAAATAAAATTATCCAAGGAGATCTGCTCCATTATTATTGGTTGACATTTCTTATCAGTGATAATGACGATATAATTATCAAGTGATAATGAAAGATGTAATTATCACAAACAATTTTTATTTCGTTATTTTACTATTTTATAATGTCAACGAATATACAAAATAAAAGGCCTAGAGCTACTAACTGATTTTGTAATGAATTTCTTTCTATTTCTGTGTCTGTCATTTTTATGAATTTTGGTAGTAATCTTGCTATTGCATAACTGACAATTAATGAAGCTGTAGTTTTACTAACTCAATTTGCAAAATTTACAAAATAACATTTGTAAATTATAAAGAAAACATGACCATTTAAACTCACCTATATCTGATCGTGAAGATATTTGCTCATCTATATGTTCTAAGACTTGAAAGACCACTTCTAACCGATAATCTAAATCTTGCTCTAAAATCTTGGTTATTCCAGAACGTCATATAGTTTGCGTTTTTAATTTTTTACGAAATATTATAAACATTTTTATTGATAGAACAATACATTCTTATGATTTTTACATCTAAAATACTAAAAATTACTAGTAATTAATTAGTTAAACAATTTTTTAAAAATTTGCAATTTAGTTACTGTTAGTCATTTTATTTATTACTATAACACTTACTTTACTATCCATGGCTGGTTCTCATTTTGCACTTGCTATATTTGTATTGATAAATTGAAATATTTATTTGAAGACTTACAGAAAAGGTAATTTAATTTTACATAATTTTTGTTAACTAGATTTTAGCCCCAACAACAGGTGATTATGTTGCACAACCTGTGGGTACTCCTTTAGGAGCAGTCCATTCATTACCTGATGGCAAACTAAAAAAGGGTGTTAAAAGAAAAGCAGACCCTAGTCCCATTAATTCAATAGACTCTATTTACACTGGGCCAATAGCTTCGTCGACACCTGTACAACCTGTACAGCCGACTATTCGAAGAGAATCTGGACGACAAATTAAAAAGCCTCGAGTTCCAGATGAAGGAATTTTGTACTCTCAAAACACCACTTTACCATCTGGATCCGGATCTATATCAGTAATTAAGCAAAAAAAAAAAAAAATGGTAATAAAACATTCTTAAAAATTGAATAATAATTTTTAGGACGGAAAAACCAAAGAAAAATTGACTGAAGCGTTAAAAGCTTGCACTGAAGTGCTTAAAGAACTGTTTACCAAAAAACATGCGGTAATAGCCCATGGCTACTTTATGATAGTTTAAATGAATATTTGTTTGATATCTAATGTGGTTTTAGGCTTATGCATGGCCGTTCTACAAGCCAGTTGATGCTGCTTGGTTGGGCTTACATGATTATCACGATATCATAAAAAAACCCATGGATTTAGGAACAGTTAAGGTATTGTAGTATTGACATTTATTCTATTATAATAATTATTTTTAGGGGCGTGGTATGGCACAGTGGTTACTTCATATGACACTCAGTACTTAAGATTAAGGTGTGTCTGTTGCTGTTGGGTCCTGGATAGGCTACTATCCAATATTTTTAGGGCCAACCCATACCTTACCCTACTATACGTATTCTAATTTACACTAAACAAACTCACAAAGTCATGACTGTCTTTGAAAATTACAATTACTAATCTCATCTTAATAATTTTTTTGTGGGGGGGGGAAGAGGGGGCCTAAACCCTACAGTCAATTACAAATTATCTGCAAAATATAGTTGACTTTTAGGGAATTTTAAGGACTTAGTGCCTCTATGGATCCCTGTAATTGTGCTACAGCATGTCACTATGAATATAATAATATTATATCATAATATAATAATATTACATAAAAATTGTTATTTTAGACAAAGTTAGACAACAGGGAATATAAAAACTCAAAAGAATTTGCAGATGATGTGAATTTGATATTTGCAAATTGTTATAAGTACAACCCTAAAGATCACGATGTTGTAGCAATGGCAAAAAAGCTTCAAGCAGTATTTGAAGGAAAGTGAGTAGATTATTATTTTATAATCCATTTTAAAATAGTGAAATTTTCTTTCTATAGCACTACTTACTATACTTAGTATTGCGGTTATTTATTTAACAATTAGTAGTTTTAATTATTTTTTTATGATTTAAAAATAAATAAAGTTAACATATGCACATTTGTATAAACAGTTAGAATTAGTAACTTTTAACAATTAATGAATAAAACGATTGGTATTGTTAGAATGTCAAAAGTTCCACCAGATCCTCCATTGATGGAAATGAAAATGGAACCTGAGGATGATAGCAGTTCTGAAGGTAGTTCAGGTTCGTCTAGTGATTCAGATGACTCTGAAGACCTAGAAAACACCAGAAAAATTCAAGAATTTCAAAATCAAGTAAGTTTTATCCAGTTTTTTAATATGCACAATAACATGGAGATTTACTTAATTTGCTTTTTATAAGTAAAAAATCATATATAATTGGGGCAATTAATATTTTGATAATGATGAAATATTAATTCATGTGCGTCATTTGATTTTACCAATTACAAATTGATAATTCATGTTTTATGTTTATTGGATTTGTATTTGGTCTGACATAATGATATAAATAATAATTTCTGAATTTATTTAAACTATTAAACTCATTGATTTAAGAATATCTACTGTGTAAAATTACTTTTCTGTTTATATTATAAATAATAAAGCAAAGCTCAGTTCAGTTTAGTTAAGAGTAACTAATAGTCTACAATTTATTTAATTTTAAGCAATCTATACAATTTAAACACGGAAAAATGTGTATTTTATATTTAAACATACATATGTTTCGGAACTACAAATTCATGTTTGTTAGTTTTCTTAATTATTACTTTTTGGTTATCATTAAAAAAAAAAAAGAATGAAATTTTTTAAATTTATTTCTTTTTGCCAATACGTACATAACATTAACACAATACCTGATGAATCTGATATTCATGTGCGTCATTTGATTTATCATTTATAGATTTGGCAATCCATGTTTTATGGTTTTTTAAATTTATATTTGATTTTTTACAATGATATGGAATTTGATATACTGATTTATTTTTATATTATTTAAGTGTCATTCCTGTAGTATTTTCCATAATTATATTATAAAATAAAATAATTTGTATGTCATGGATTTTATAAGATGCAAGTTAGTTTGTATTCATATACAAGTTAGTTTTTGAATTGCTTTTCTAATTTGTGAAGTTTTGGACTTCTTTTTAAAAATAATTATATGAAATCATTTATTTATTTCTGTCAGTATAGAATTTTTAGCAAAATGTGATGAATCTGATATTCATGTGCGTCATTTGATTTATCATTTATAGATTTGGCAATCCATGTTTTATGGTTTTTAAATTTATATTTGATTTTTTACAATGATATGGAATTTGGTATACTGATTTATATTTATACTATTTAAGTGTCATTCCTGTAGTATTTTCCATAATTATATTATAAAATAAAATAATTTGTATGTCATGGATTTTATAAGAAGCAAGTTAGTTTGTATTCATATACAAGTTAGTTTTTGAATTGCTTTTCTAATTTGTGAAGTTTTGGACTTCTTTTCAAAAATAATTATATGAAATTATTTATTTATTTCTGTCAGTATAGAATTTTTAGCAAAATGTGATGAATCTGATATTCATGTGCGTCATTTGATTTATCATTTATAGATTTGGCAATCCATGTTTTATGGTTTTTAAATTTATATTTGATTTTTTACAATGATATGGAATTTGGTATACTGATTTATATTTATATTATTTAAATATCATACCTATAGTATTTTATATAGTTATATTATAAAATAAAATTATTTGTGTGTCATGGATTTTATAAGCTGCAAGTTAGTGTATTAATATACAAGTTAGTTTTTGAATTGCTTTTCTAATTTGTGAAGTTTAGGACATTTTTTTGTGATTATAAACATTTATTTTTGAATTATTTAGATCTTTAGTTTTTTACCTATTTTCCTAACCTGACATAACATTTTTTTTTCACTTCAGAATAGTAGACAGCCCCAAACCCAAACTCGACCTGTAAGTTATTACAAGTGGTCACTAATGAAATTAAAACATTCCCAATACATATTTTAGAAAAACACAATACATCAGCTTGGTTTAACTTCTAATTCTTTGCCTGTATGTTTCTTACCTGGCATCACAGTTGTGATATATATTCCATGAAAATATAGCAATACAATTGTTATGTTGTTGGTGGTACTTCAATGTTTCTGAAAGTATGTTACATATTTTTTCACTGCACTTTTTGGAATATCTACATGTTATTTTTTTCCCTTGATGTTTGATTACATAAGCATATTCTTTCATAATATATTATCACCATTTTTGTTTAAATAAAAACACTTAAATTAAAAATTTATAAAAATGCAATGTTATAACTAAAATAAATTATATATGTGGACTCTAGGAGCCAAGGGGTATAAGTCTATTTATGTGAGAAAACAAGTTATGTTTAACAATAGAGAACTTAAAGTAGCTTCTTACACATTATATCGCCGCCCCGGTAGAACAATGACACAACTGCAAAATTTGGTAAAATGGACTAAATACTTCAATGTGTTAAGATATAGCAAACGCACAAGGTAGAAAAACGACGGAACTGTAGTTGTAATAATTAATTGTGCATTAATTTATATTAACATTTTAGTGAAAAATAATTTGGTTTTTTGGTTCTCCTGTAAAATTTCAATTATTGCAGTTGTGACATTGTTCTACCGGGCGGCGATATAGGTACAAATACTTAAAATTAGTTATATATGTGATGATGATAAGCTATGACATATCATTATAAACATTTTTTTAACTCTTTCCGGAAAATTTGATAAAAGCGCCTTTTTTTGCTTGATTTCTAGGGTTCTTGTATATAGTATATTTATGTGTATAATAGTGAAGTAGGTAATAATGAAAGGATAAGTCAATTGTTATTTACTTACCTTTTATGATTGTTACAGCTGAAAGCACTACAAGATCAAATGAAGCAATTAGTCGAAGAAAGTGCTAGAAAGAAAAAACAGAAAAAGAAAAATAGTATAAACAACTCGAAAAAGAAAAAACATGTATCTAACGACAAAATAGCTACAAATGCTTCTAAACCTTCATTATCCATGTCTTTTAATAGCACACCAATGAACGTTATGACTAATTCTAATATGACTAATGATATTAAAATGCAACCTATTGACCCCTCAATAAATAACAAAATGGGAGCACAACAGTTACGTCCTCCAATGACTAACGCCACAGTAGGTCAAGCTGCCAAAGGAGGCAAAGGTAAAGGCACAGGCGTTAGGGGCCCAGCCAAAACTCCTGCCCAACCTAAGCGTCCTAGAGTTAATTCAAGAACAACTAATCCGAAAAAAAAGAATTCCGTTAGTACTCCAGCATTTGATTCTGAAGATGAAGACAATGCTAAGCCTATGTCATACGATGAAAAACGACAATTAAGCTTAGATATTAACAAGTTACCAGGTATTTTTTTTAAATATTATATTAATATATAGAGAAAAATTTGATAAATTAATTTTTTAGGAGATAAACTTGGACGAGTAGTCCATATAATACAGTCTCGTGAACCATCTTTAAGAGACTCCAATCCAGACGAAATCGAGATTGATTTTGAGACCCTAAAACCTTCAACCCTTAGAGAATTAGAGTCTTATGTGGCTTCATGTCTGAGGAAAAAACCACGTAAGCCATACAGTAAGTTTTGGTTTTGGCCGGGTTCTTCTTTATTCTTTTCTTGTGTTAGATTTTTAATATATATTATATAATATGTATATATTTTTTGAAACATTTTTCTTAATCCCTTACTGAATTGAATAGAAATATTGATCAATGATCTGTCTAGTTTACTTGCTAGACATTGTTAATGTATTATATTGTTATTTAATAATAACTTACTAATTAGTTAGGTTACGTTTTAATAATATCATTCACCATAATAATGCTAAACAATTACAGATAAAAAGGTATCTGGGAAAGCTAAAGAGGAGGTTGGAGAAAAAAAGCATGAAATAGATAAGCGGCTTGATGTAGGTGGCCAGTTGCCTACTAAAAAAGGCAAGAAAGGTAATTTATTTATACTTTTTTATTATAATGTTCAATATTTTTTAATGCTAAAATAGTCACTATTTATTAATATTTGTATTTTGTAACATACAGACGCAAAAGTCACTCCAATGGTAGTCACTGGCGGCGGCGGCGGCGCTGGTGGTGGTGGCCCTTCCCGGTTATCAGCATCTAGTTCTAGTAGTTCCGACTCGGATTCAAGTTCTTCCAGCTATTCTACTTCGTCTAGTGATTCAAGTGACTCTGAACATGGTAAGTACCTGTTTATTGTTATTCCTATAAGTAAAGTTATCCATAATGCGAGTGAAAGATATAACATATTTTCAATGTGTATCATTAAATATGCAAATTTTTGGTTTGGGAAAAAATTGTGTGCTATACTTTTCCTGCTTCAAATTTTGAATACTGTGTATTGATCATGATCATGAACATGATATCTACATTTAAATTACCGTCCTTAGTTACTTATCATTTATAAATACACATGAAGCATTTTCAAAAAAATAAATGCATAATCTGTGGTTCCAATTCTAAAATTATGAATGAGAAGAAAATAATATTTGTATATGGGTTTATTTGCATGTATCTTAGTAATTTTTTTCATTGATTTTTAGTATGAAAAAAACAATATTTATTTGTTTTATAATATCATCAAGTTAACAATGAATGCTAATAGTTGTTGAATTAAGTATATTTTATTTTTTGGATAAATTACTGCATGGACTTGATTTTTAAATACTTTTAGATTGAATATATTTTTGGTATTAGAATTCATACAGTTTTAATTATGCTGGATAATTGTCCATTTCATTTAATTTTCTGTTACTTAATTGTGACAACTTAAAACGTGTTTATATTCATTAATGAACGAATGTAACATACTATGTGTGTAGAAATCAAATTTAGTTTAAAAGTATAATACATTTTTTATACTCAATGCAAGGAATAATTAATTTTATCAGAAAATGGCTTTGCATATTTTCGAGTTGAATTGGTTATGCTCAACAAATGATATATACATATAATAAATTAATATGTAATTGGTCAAGTCGTATATTTAATTTGTTTCAATTTCTAAGTTAATTTGGAAAATAAATAATTGAATCTCAAGCGTTTCGATATTATGATAGTTGTATCTTTGTCAATGCTTAAAACTGCTTATTTAAAAATAATCCAAATGTTTATGCAAATTATTTTAATTGATATTGATATTGACATTTTTATAACATTATTAAAAATTTTTATTTAGTATAAAAGAGTATTAGTGTTATTTTTATAAAATATTAAAAATAAAATGTATCAAAGAATAATGTTTTGCTATTGTTTATGCTATATAAAAAATGAATTTTTGCTTTTAGTTGAATAAAATAAAAATAAAACAAGTATGATTACATATTAAGTAAATGTTATAAAACACTCGTTTTTCTTTCGTTCATTGCTCGCATAAGTTAAGTAATCACGGTCACAAACTGAGTTGTTCTTCTTTTGTACTGTGTAGTGTATGAATGCGAATTTTTAGTGCTGGTTCTACAAATGAACCATAATAATATGTTTTATACAAACATTTTAAAGTAATTAAGTAGATTCATATGAAACCAACAATTTTTGTTTGTCTCTTGTAGGTGATGCAATAACCGATAAAGGGTTGAAAAAACCAGAAGGCTAGATTTTTGGAGATCTGTTAAAAATAAAATTATTCGGGGAATAGGCTAGAGTGCAGAACATGTGAGCATTTATTTTGTATTTATTTATTTTTATAATAAAAAAGTCGTTTTTAATGATATTTTTAGTACCATGTCAATTTTCTAGTGGTTCCCCTGATTGATTGCAAACAATGCACATTCTCAAGGGTTTGAGATTATTTAAAAAATATTGTAAATTTTTTTTATATTGTTTGCACTCTCAGCCTTCGTCCCGAACCCATAAAGGCAACTGTCATTTTTATATATTTTTCAAGACAATTATTTTGTAAGTTGATTTTATTGAAAACCCGTCCATATGTTTTTCTTTTGTACTTTTTTTTAAAAAATGTTTTTATTGTATTTACGATGCCATATTAGTTTTATATCATTATAAGTAATGCATTACTTAACTTTCTTACATATTAGTTACAACTACTAACTCTCTACCTTAATGTGTTCAAATCTACCCCCAAAATTTTATCTTTTTACTTTTTTTTGTATAAAAAAAATTGACATGCAAAATTATTTAATCTTTATGTAAACTTGTGAAATATTAATTTTGTATACTTAATACAAAACAAACATGAACATAATAAAATGTATATATTTTTTAATTAACTTGTTAGTTCTTCATTTTTGCTCACATTTATTTGCACTCTGGTTTATTATCTGGTAATGATAAATATATTTGGGTGATAAGTATTTAATAATAATATTTGAATAACTTGGGTAATACTTTTTAATGGCCGGTTCAGTTATTACTAAAAGATTAGTGTATGACTAGAAAATGACATCATAATATTATTTTTACAAACAACTGTTTTAAATGTTGGAAAATTAATTTTAGTGAGTATTAATAACTCAAAAATTAATTTCAATAATAGTTTTTTTTTTTATTAATAAAATAGTTAAAATTAGGATGTTTGAAAGTTCTTTACAGACATACAATCTTCGTATCTTTGTTTAGTATGTGTGTTATGTTTATGTAAAACATTTATTAAATAGAATAATAAATAAACATTTTTCAGTGCATCGTTGTTGTGACTGTATACAATTAATTTTAAAGTTTTTAGTAAAAATATAATAATACATATGCGAAAAAAATGTGTTTAAGATTATGTTAATTTAATGTAATAATAACAATTGTTAAATCTTAATAATTTATTAAGAAGTTATTACTTGTTTTTATAAAAATTTTAAGTTATTGTTTTTTTTATGATTTCTTATACAGTAAATAATTTTAATACCAACATGTTATTTTAAATGCTATTTATTATCAAGTAGATAGTTTAAATCTGCATTTTTTAAATAAAAAATCATTTAATACCTTGGTTAATATGCCAAACTTCAGTATTGGCACTTTTATAATGAACCATAAATTATATGGCAAGAAAAATATCGAGTATTTTCGTTTTTTAAGGTGGCACAAAGCAAAAAAAGAAGAAACGTTTGTCCGACGACGTGTCGATAAACGTGAGTATTATGTTCTTCTTAACATTTAACATAATTAAACGTAAATAGATAGACCACGTTGTATGCTCTTTTGGGACCTAACACTATTTTAAACGTCCATTTATAGCCAGTTTGCTATTAAAGCCAATGACGGGGTCTATATATGTATGTTTAATCAATGCAACAAATAACATTTTTTTCTTGAACCGTCGATTTTTGGTCTGTTGTAGAAATCAGCTGACAGCCAAAAATCGACTAATGTTATGAAACAAACGGAGTCAACAGCAGTGCCTGTCAATTCTATCAACAAACCTGCCGTCAATACTCAGACGAGTCAGTATTTTTTTAGTGTTAAAAGTTAATACTAATAATACTAAAAATAAGTTTAAACTTTTTCACCATTCGCGATATGATTTTGGATGCACGCATTTATTTATCCTCTTTTTCCGAAATTTTTTATCACAGGATTTAAATCTCACAAAATAATGCACGCATCACAAGGTTGCACATTTTACAAATTTTAACTGCCTATAACTGGTGATTTTTCATATTATGTGATTAATTTACTATAATTTACATGCTTAGTGCACGCTAATCTAAATTAAATTTAAGCAAAATTAATTAAATTCAATACATATAAGTTCTTAACACTGCACAATTACTAACTTTAGTTGAATAAATAAAATATTTTATGTAATAATACAAATATATAAAACTAAAAACGAATTTATATTTTATTATTCTACATTATAAGTTAGATGTTTAGAATATTCTATTATATGAAAATAACCTTGTAATCATTAGTATTACTCTTTTAAATATAGTCAAGTAGTTTGTTTCTTATATTTTAGTTTCGGTATACAACGGAAAATGGTAGATTATAATGTGGATCTAAAAATTATTAAATAGTTTTTTTTTTATTGATATTTCACATTTTTCACCAACTACAGATTCCTATCAGTTTTTATTGACTGATATTATCACTTTGAATTTTACTCATAGATTATATTATAACCTTGGTACCATTAAGCAAATTAAATTTTAAACTTTAATTTCAAAATAAATAAACATGTTTTTTTCTTATTTCTTAGGGAATAAATATATGGCGTCAATTTCAATTTTTAGTCTAATTCTTTTAAATTGCTTATTGACTGTTCACTAGGTTTCTTTTTAGCTGCTCTGAGAAAATCCATCTTTCTGTGAAATATTTAAAAAGTTATGAAAACATAACCCTACACTGTTTTGGAAAAAACGGAAGTTTATTTTGAAAACCTAATTTGCTGAAAGTTACTAAGTGTACATTTGCCTCATTGTGGTACAGAATGGTTGTTAAAATATAGTGTGATTAGACAATAGACATATATTATTATAGTGCGATATATTTTTTTAAAATTGAATTATAGTTTTTAATTTATTATCAAGTTTGAGTTTGTTACACATATTTATTGGATTAAGTATCAAATTTCATTTTATAAAAAAAAAAATTGTGGATTTGTGTAAAATGAGTGCGTCGTTTACTTTGAATGTTCCAATTATATTATATTGTTGTAAAATTTAATTTTTTCTAATGAAGTGATTAATGAGGGTTATGATGTATATTTAATTTGTTATTTTTGCTACTAGAGTGCTATTGTCCTATTTGTTATAACTTTGTTATCAGACTAAAACAAGTAATATTAGTATAAATAAAAAATATGTATAATTATTATGTACGTTACTGTGATAAATAGAACATTGGAGAATTGATACATGTCTTGTTTATACATTAACTTGTACAAATAACGGCTGTTCTTGGGTAAACGGAACATTATTGTTTGTAATGTCATTTCAATTTTAGGAATATAAAAAAAATTACTTGCTTTAAATTGTTTAACTATAAATAAATGTAAATGTTAGTCGTATATTAATACATTAATTAGACAAAATATTAAAAATAAAAATAAAAATTATTATTTCGATTGTAGTTGTTTATCGCCAAAAAAAGTGATTACGATATTTAAACGCTGGTGCATGGGTTATTATTTTTATTTTGAGTGTATAACATGTAATATTATGGTTTATTTTTGACAACTCAAAATATCTGTACAGCAATAATAAAAATAATGTAAATTTAAAATTAAAACATAAGTTATAGTATTGATAATAACCTTTGAGAATTACTAATTTAAACAAAATCGTCTCGCTATGCATTTATAATTGAACTCTTATCTTTTGGTTTTGCATGTACTGTACGGTATTAAAAGCTTCTAGTCATTCATTAACTAAAGATCCATAGCTTATAATTACTCGTACAGATCACAGTTATAATATTGTATTGATTTTTTTGATCTTGTGTTTAGATGTTCCATCAAAAAAACCGCCTGGTGTAAATCCTCCTACAATATCTGTTAACACTACCAAGACGAATACATCTATTCCTTCTAAACCAACGCCGGCTGTTTCCACAGCTCCAAGTCAACCTACTACAAATGGAAATATTTCTAGTAATTCCATATAATATATATATACCAATAACATTAAAACTTACAAACATATTTTATAACTAAATAAATTTAATTATACTTAGATGGGGTCTCGACTAACTCAAATATTACGCAAGATATAACTTCCAACGGTGTTGTATCTCAGCCGTTAAAAGTTAAAGCAGAAGTTAAAACAGAGCCTGATCTTCCAGTTAATAATAATTCACAAAATAACGTATCGATGGGAAGCTTGCACAACGAAAATACAGTGCTTTCAACAATGGCTTCAGTATTTGACCCTCTCACACCCCCTACAAGTCAACCTACCAATAATAATTCTTTACGTGTCCCTGACAAGCAGGCCGCACATACTGTTGTGCCTATATCTAATATGCACAGTATAAATTCTGATGGTAAGTTTACACTTACTGTTTTAAACTTTAATGATATATTTTTTTAAAATGGTTAATTAACTAATTTTTGTGATCTTTGGGATTAACAGTTAAATAATATCACTGGAATACATTTTTTTATAATAAACAGAAAAACCATAAATTAAAATTTCGGGTGAATCATAAAAATTAACTTTTGGAGGAATTTAAAAACTTTGTATTTGTTTTTTTAATTTAAATTTGGAATCCAAACCCTGGATTTTTGGATCTATGACTAGATATTGTAATATATTACTATAGATTTTTCAAGAATATCACTGAATAAGGAAAAGATGATTATAACCTTTCCTTATGTACCAACATTTTGATTGTAATTGGTTTTTTACAGGAACAGCTCAGCAAGTCGACATACCACCGGTTGTTATTAATTCTACTGCCACTGTTCATCCCTCATCATCCTTAATGCTTCGTCCGCCAATCGATAATAAAGCACAAATACCACCAGTTATGCCAGTTATACAAACTACAAATCAAGTAAGTTTTGAGGGGAGGGGAAGTATTTTGTCTAAACCAAAGATGCACTTTATGGGTTATTGTACTGGTTTTTTTTATTGACACACTTGACTAAATTATAATTATTCTTTACAAGTCCTAGTTTTTCCTTTTTGATTTTCATGTATAAAATAATAAAATGTTATATTTTTTTAAAATAATATTAAAAAAAAAAGTACTGAAACTAGAGCTTATTTTTTGAATAATTATGTTTTTATTAATGTGGTCTTATATGTTGATATTTAAATTGCCATTTAATTAAAAGATTAATTTAAGTATTTTGTTATGTTCTCAATCACACATTGCCAATAATAATATTATTTAATTGTCATCGTTCTTGTTACTGTTTAATTTCTATGGTGTTAACTTGTATTTCTTAGAACAAAAATACCATTTTTTTTTTATGTTAGAAACTGAGATGTAAACTTATAAAATAATTATTGCCCTTTATTAGTAAAATTAAAACACAGGCAGTGTGAGATTGGGTACTAAAATCAGAATACTCCTTTATATTTATTAAAATGAATACTAAATATGTTTAACTAACACTATTTTGGGGTTCAGGTGTTTCCACAGTTCAGTTTAGACTCTTCCCCCCAGGTTCCAGATTCATTTATGGGACCAATACGCCACCACCACCATCTACACTCTTTCCCTGCCCCATGGGACCCTAATATTGGGCCTTCTTATGAAACAGCTGATGTAATTATCACATTTTATGCTTGATATAAATTAATTAGTTTTGAATATTGTGCTGAAAATTCAAGTAAATTGTGCAGTTGTATTTAGTATTTAAAATAAAACTTATATTTTGACAAGTAATTATTCAACTAGTTATATTTTGTTTTAATTTTAAACTCAATCGTGCTAGTAAGCTCTTTTTGCATAAGCAAATTTCAAATGAGAAACGAAATTTAGATGCTTATATTATAAAATAGTTATTGACTTTAGTTCCAACCCCTGATAAAATAATATTATGCATTACATTATTGGCTTAAATGTTCATTAAAAATGTGTGCTTTTTTATAAAATTTATAATATAATATCATGCGTGTGGTATAACAACAGGCCAAAATTATTTTGTTGGGATATTAAGTCATCGCAATACAAATTTTATATAATCAGCTAACGTTGCATGCTATTTTATATAACATTAGTAATATTCAAATACAAGTAGAGTAAGGCAATGCATGTTGGAGAATTCAATTTTTTGTTTAATTAACTATTAAAAATGTAATAACTCTTTCACTACTACACCTACAAATACATGGGAAATGAAAAAGTGTATAATTTGCTTCACCAGCTTAAATGTGTGCGGGCAATTGTGAGGACGTCACAGTTCACATAACCGTTATTTTTTTCATAAAACCCGCCTTGCACGGATTAATTTTACAAAGGCTGTAATCAAAACTAAGAAACCAAATTATCACATAATATAGACAACTACATTGTCTGTGCTCTACCATGGCCCTTTTTTAAATATTTCAACCAGTTAATGAATAATTAATTAATTAAGAAAGGACTTTTTTAAAAATTATATAGCGCCGGTTGTATTAGGTACATTGAAAAAATACGGATGCTGGAGCACGGATAATTTTGTCATATATAATATGTACAAATTTCTTTTCTTAACTATATATCGACGTGTCTTACGAAAAGTAGCACCGTTCAAGTTCTTACAAAAACTAACACAGTTCAAGTTCTTACGAAGACTAGCACCGTTCATCACTTGGTGTCAACGGTGCTAGTCTTCGTAAGAACTTGAACGGTGCTACTTTTCGTAAGAATCTGTGAACGACACTAGTCTTTGTAAAAAGTCACGGGTGGTACTACTATTCGTATGACGCGTCAATATATGAAGCCTGAAAAAAATTAATCCGCATAAAACTTAACAGAAATTTTTTTAATACGCTGTCATCGATGCTGTGATAGTCCGAAAAATAATGAACTAATAATTACACATTACAGTTTAACCTTTAAGTTAAGATTTTGTAAAAAATTGCCACTACTTTACTCCTTTTAAATGGGCAGTGTGGCGTCCTCTTAAGTATAATATAAAAGGGAAAAAACTGATAAAAAAACTTTGTTTTGTTTATAAACCTTATTAATATTATAATAGTTTGAGCATGCATGTAGTTCTGCAGACCGATATGAGAGTTAGTATAAAATCTGTGCCCTGGTTTTGTTGCTATCTTCTTATCATACTGAAATCAATGGTGTTTACAGAATTTGTGTATCATCAAAATATTCATGGAGATATAACAATTTATACAAGACATTTTCATACCCTGCACATTTGCGAGTGTAACAGTGAAAGGGAGGGTTTGTGGTTGTTGGTTTCTGTATAAAAAATATTTTGTCTTTAAAGTTGACCTCAAAAGAATAAAATTGTGTTTTAAAAATAATATATATTTGTGTTTTTACATTAGCTAACTGATCAAAGAGCATTAAATTCCACAAGTGTTTGGAGCTCGTTAGCTCAGCAAGTTACTACAGAAGCAAATATTCCAGCTGCTGCAGCCACAATTAAGCCATCCACAGCAGATTCTTTTCAGCAGTTCAAAAAACAAGCAAAAGAAAATGCTAAAAAAGTAATTTGATTAATTTTTAGCAATGATTTTTCTAGTATGTTAATGTTTTTATGTAATAAATAAATGTAAACAAAACGTACTTTCTTTTTAGCAACGAGCTTTAATTGAACAACAAGAAATGAGACGTCATCAGAAAGAACAGGCAGAAAAAGAACGTATACGTATTGAGAATGAGAAGAGAAGAGAAAAGGAAGAAGAAGAAGCTCTGGAGAAAGCTAGGTAAAATTGATATTGTTAAAAACTTATAGGTTGTACTTACGCATTCAGAATATCAATTGTTGTTACTGTTTATGTAGAAAAATTGTTGCTGAACAACAGTCGTCTCGTTTGGATGAAGTAAAAGCATCAAGCAACACAGACGATAGTTCGAGTCCCAGTCAAGACCGAGGAGCTGAGGGCCGTGAAAGGCAAAGGTTAAAGGAACAAGAAAGAAGACGTAGAGAAGCTGTAAGTTTTATTTAAAATTTAATTAAGCAGCTAATTGTCATATAAAGTCTAGTATTGTATTTAAATTGTTTTATTTTTTAAATATTTTTCATTTTAGATGGTAAATCAAATTGACATGAATCGTCAAAGTGATTTAATGGCTGCATTTGAACAAACGTTGGCACCTTAATGTTTTTTGCTGAGCTACCTTCAAACTGGAAACCGTTCTCTTCAGACTATCTGTCCGTTCATCCTATGTATCTTATATATGTATATTTGTGTAAATAGAGAAAAAGTGTGCCTTTTGTGTATATAATAATTTGTCCGTATGAATTTCACTTTTGAAATGATGTTAACAGTTTTTTTTTTTGTTAAGACATTTAAGTTTTTTTTTTACTCTAATTAACTTTTGTTTTCTAGATATAATAACTCAAATATTTTTTTCTCTATCTTAAAAATAATAATGTAGGATGATTAAAGAAAACATGGACTAGGTAAGTATTTAGTCATAATTGACATAAATTGATTTTTTGTTTTGTGTGTATTAAATATGTACTAAATACAACACAATAAGTTATAAACGCTCAAAAAGAAAGAAAAATACATACCTATATATATATGTATATATATAAATGTATGTATTCGTGTTGAGAATAATACTAAGAATAATTAGGGATATAATTTTTTTTTGCATATTATATTATTTTTGTTTTGTACATGTATTTCAGCGATCACTTTGCTACCAAATTACTATATTTTTTGATCATGTAAATAAATATTAACCTAAGTACCTAATCAAATTGTACATAAATCAATGGCTAATTTTGTATAAAACTTTGTATAGTACTGAAAATAGTTTTATGTTTACAAAAAAAAAAGATATATATAATATAAATTATACATAATAAATGATTAATAGTAGTCTTACAAATAAAAAAATAGTAGTATAAATAAAATATTATAATTTGGAAAATTCTTTATCAATGACTAATTATATTTTTATTATTGGGTTTATTTTTTTTCTTCGACAAATTAGAATGCAGTATTACTTAAATTTAGTTATATCCATCTATATCATTTGCATAATTTATAATAGATATTATATGTGTATATATACTACATAAATATACATGTATATATATATATATATATATATATATATATATATATATATATATCATTACTATATTTCAAAAACCAATAATTTATTTATGTGTGTATTTATGATTATAATATACACATATTTATAATATATTTAAAATCTAAACATAGTAATTTAGTTTTAATGTATAATTATGCAACATTTTATGTTTTAAGGTTGTTAAACATATTTAAAATAACAGAATAATCTTATAACAATGAATGTTTCGACCTTAATTTTTTTTTATCATTGTAATCATAAATGTATTTATTGTTTTAAACAATTATCACAAGCGGTCTTTGTTAGTGTATACAAATTTTGGCCAATTTTTTTTTAGTGTAATAGATAATAATTTGGAACTTAATTATAATTTGTTATGATACATGAGAATAATTATATATAATACAGGTGTTTTACATTCTGCATAATAACGAGTGGTTTATCTTTTTTGCACTCTCAGCCATATACCTCCTTTAGGAGTTGACAAAAATGACGCGGGTTCAAACTCTATATGTTCATTAGACTTGTCACAAAGCTTTATCGAATAGTCCTGTAGAAACTGAGCTAGAGCGAGTTTCATTTCTATCATGGCAAAACGCATACCTAAGTGTTGTGTAAAAGTTTGGTTATTTTTAATTAAATAAGTAGTCTAAAATATACTCAAACAAGTATAAGTGTTAACGGAAATCGTCTCTTGACCTGGGCTTACCGATACATATGCGAGGACCATCGCCAAAAGGCAAGTAACTGCTGGCTGGTCTGTTGGCGATTTCCTCTTTGGTGAATCTATTTGGATTGAATATTTCGGGTTTCGGATAATACTTAGGGTCGTGATGTATACCATACACCGGTATTAGTACCGCAGTACCCTCGTCGATGATGACATCAGAATTTGGTAGTCGAAATTGTTTCGTACACTTTCGCACCAGTGCCTGTACCGGAGGATACTTCCTCATAGTTTCTAAAACATGTAAGTCAGATCGTACACTTAATATTTTCCTCTGACTTACTGGGTACTACTGTTTTTTTTAAACAAACTCTTGATGTGAAATACTAAGTACTTGAAAAAATCATATAACCATAGGCTTAGGCGGGGACCCATGCAAATTCATCAATTTTCTACGTTTGTAATGGAAAGTATAAAAGGTGTTTTTTTCAATTTTTTTGACAAAAATACTTCGTAATAACACTAAGCTTTGATGATAAAAATTAACAATCCTCAAAATTATCTTTGCCGGAAACATTGATAAGTTAACGTAACAGTGCTACCGTTCATTTGAAAGAGCCGGATATGTCCACGTCACAAGTTATATGCCGATGAAATGATATATCAATCCACGAAAGCTTTCACGCATTCATAGTGCTAACTGCTACCGTTGTTTTTCATAAGAAAATATTTGACTGAAAATGTTTTTATTTCAAAGAATATTATGTGGTGTGTGAATAACATTATAATTTGGTGACAATAAACATATTTATTACTCGGTGTTTTTAAAGCGACTGAAAAAGGCTTGTGTTATGTGTGCTAAATTGTTTAATAAAAGAATAGGGGTTAGACGAGGTTTTTGGGAAACGTCGAGACCATAGGCACAACTAAGGGGGTGCTAAGGGGACTTAAGTACCCCCGACTCAAAAATATCACACCAAAAATTCAAGCCCCAATCTTTGATTTGTACGCATACAATTTTAATGATGTTTATACTCTGTTGAAATTTGTTATTTTAGAATATTTTTTTTCTCAAATATTTTATATTATATCTAATAGTTTGAAAATTGAAGGTAATAATTATGATTAATCAGGCATACATAGTTTTAGCAGCCCCTAAAAGTTGGTCTAGTTGATCCTATGGACTCGAGACGATACCAATAAAAAATAATATTATTTTGGCATTTACAATTATGAACGATTGTCAAATACCTATAGTACGGCCAACGAAAAGCGAGTCAACTAGCGGCCGTCTTTTGATAGGGTTTCTCCGCCAATTTTCCGCGTAAAATAATTTGAAAACATCTATTTTATATTATTTTTTTTTTTATATTAAAATAGTTTATACTAAAAAACGTGTATGGTATTTGTAAAAAAATATATAAAATGTACGAAAATAAATCTAATTAAATTGATAAAAAATATGATTTTTCGTTTTAATACCGATATAAATATTATCCTTAATTTACTTATAATTCTAAAAAAGTTCATCACCCTCACCATCTTCATCACTAGAACTCTCTTCGGTATTTATTGTAATTACTAAAAATAATTATATTATTAAAAAAAGTAACTGGTCAATACTATGCCATGAGTAACATATTAAGTTAATGTTAATTAATGTTGAAGTTTAGGAGGGAAATGTAGTATTATTTTTATCTACTCGACCACATTATACCTCCCATCTTTAATGTTTATGAAAATAGTTTTTCAAAACAAGTTATCGACCAGTCAAATTTTTCAGATAATTATTCTTATTTTAAAAACTTAGTTAAATATATACGTCATTATTTTAATTTCAAAATTACTTTTTATTTCAAAAAGATACTTAAACTTGCGTGTATAAAACATACTATAACATGTAACATATTATATAACATTTATAGTTGCGTGACGATCGCGGTTCACTTTTCAGTTTTCGTTGGCCGGACTATAGTCTATGTAATGTATGTACACAATTGTATGTATATAATTTATTTGTGGTGTATAGCTTAAATTCACGTGGCTTATAGAATATAGATGCATACAAAAATATTAGGAAGAGGGTGGATAGGTTTGAACACGGGCCAGATGTGAAAGAATTCTTAACATAAAACTTCTTTATAAAACAAATGTACAATTATTTTTTGACGAAAAATCAACTTTAGTGCAATTAATGTGGATTTGGAAAAAAACTATCAAAAACATGTACAGGTAATACTAATATAATAACTACGTCTTAGTAGCTATATAAAATAGTATAAATAGTAATTTATTTATTATAAATAGTAGTTTATATAAAATTACGATAAAATGTTTGAATTTGTATATACCTTTTTTACACATTCAGTAGGTTTTAATTCAATTTTCAGGTCTTAAATTCAAGAGCAATTTCCAAAAATATATTTAAAAAATTCACCAAGAAAACTCTAAAATAAAAAGGTTTTATGTTATATTCAGTAGAAGTTTGTGAAAAATATATTTAAAACTATATATTCGTCGAAAAATTTATGATAGTAAGAAGGTGTAAAGTACTTTTTTTTGAGTGGATGAGAAGGATTTAAATGTAGACCAACTACTTTACAGCTTTTATATTAAGTATTTAAAGTTGAAGTTCATTATTTACCTACAATGTTTATAAGGGTTTATGCAAGATTTTCAATTTTTAATAAAGATAGCTTCTCAGTTATATATTAAAGCTCCTTTTATTTTTAATTTGAAAAATGTTCACTAAGTACACAAAAAATGTATCTCATGTGCAAATATTCTAGTACAACTTGATTTAATACTAGAAAAACTAAATGTATTACTAGTATTGCACGTGTAAGTACTTATTGTTAATAGTATGATACTGAATTACATAACTTATGCATTGTTATGCGCCAACACGTCTGAATCTTTGGCAAGTCTGGCAACCCCCCCCCCCCTCCTTGATGGTATTGTTCGAGGTATCCTTTGCTACGGGATATTACGTTGGACGGTGTGTTATATCTATAGGGTGTTCTAGAAAGCAGCCACATTTCGAAAATTCTATAACTTTTTTAATATTCGTCCAAAAAAAAACACAAACCATTGTGTTCAGGAGGTCCTGAAGTTTATGTGTGGAACATAACATCGGGCATATGACCGCCCCTGCTCGCCCTACATTCCATTAATTCAACGTCCATGAAATTTCGGATGACGCATTGGCAGATTTCGACGTCTAGATCACCTATCACTCGCCTGATTTCCGCGGCCACCACGGTCTTGTGACCTTACAACCTGCGAATTTTTCTTATGGGGGTACGTTAAGTCAAGAATCATGGACGTTGAATAAAGTGGCGTGGCGTGAGTATTAAAAGGATGTAAGCAGTGGTATTTTTTTCAAAAGTCATTGGTAGAGCTCAGATTTTAACGACCATAATGTGTTCAAATATGTATTTCTAAATATCAAAATATGCAATAATATGCCTTTATTGAGTTCGACTAAAAACATGTAACAGACTTAAATACATAAATAACATTTAGCATAGGTTAATTATTTAAAAAGGCATTATACGTATCAGAATAACATTAAGTTACTATTATTTTGGTATTTTTTCAAATTTAAAAGAAAAATGGTATTATTTTATAAATTTTGGTTAAAATTTATAACCAGAATTTTTGTTTAATATTTTTCTCATATTATGTATAATTTTCTTAACCTGTTACTCAAAAACACAATTAAAGATAATAATAAAATGGCAAATTTTTGATATTTATACTTATAACTAATATGTCACTAAATCTAGAAATAATCGTTACAGGCAAATATGTGCAATATAAGTTTGCTGATTTGAAATCTAGTCTTCATAAATCGAATTTATTTCGTATTTTAGTATAATTGTGATTTTACTAAAAACATATACAAAATCATAAACATCCGAGCTTTAGTCATTAGAACACTAATTATAAATGTTGTAAAAAATAAATGTCGTCCTTTTTATTATTTTTAATAATTATAACAACATTATAACATTTGTAATACACGTTATAAATATAAATTATATTTAATTATAATTATAATATTATGTATAATGAAATTGTATTTAATAAAATAAATAAAGAGAACGGGGAACCTATGTGGCGAATGGCAGTGTAGATGGGACAACAATAATCAAATATGAAATGTCACGAACGTCGAAAAGAGAACTAAATTATAATGGTTATTGTACCGTCGGCGCTGGTCGCTACCGCGTAAGCAGTATCAAATGTGCTTACAAACGCTAGCTTAACACGGGACCCCCTCCATGACACTAGCCCATACAGAAACAAAATAAATCGTCACACGATGGAAAATAATGGCAGGTAGGTAATCAGCGGGTAGCGAGGCGACACCAACAAAAAGATAGTTAAAGAAATCCATTACGACTTCAAATAATTAATAAATAAAAATAAATTTCAAATCATTTATAATGTATTAATCTTGAATGATCGATTTTCTTTTTTCCTTTAATTTATAGTGTAAGCAGTGCTTACAGTGCTTACATGCACACTACGCCCCTGGACACACTTGAATCGATGGCACGTAGGGCGAGCAGGGGCGGTCATATGCTCAATGTTATGTTCCACGCATAAACATCAGGACCTCCTGAACACAATAGTATGTGTTTTTTGTTTTTCGGACGAATATTAAAAAAGTTATAGAATTGTCAAAATGTGGTTGCTCTCTGGAACACTATATTACCGACAGTTAATACTTTCATACTTGCCTTTAAGGCAACATTCCAAGTAGTCCATAGATTTGATGGCATCATAAGTAAATGGTAGTCCGTGCTTTTCAACTACTGCGTCCAATTCCTCCTGTATTTTAGTCTGTATATTGGGATTAAGCGCCAACTCGTGCAAACAAAAACTCAGTGTGGTGGAAGACGTCTCAAAACCGGCCAAAAAGAACACGAACACCTTAATAAGTTTGTAAGCGGATTAGTAATTTATATGGAGAATAAATAGAGTGTTAACGACTCTACCTAAAAATGATAGGAGCTATTGATTTACGTTTAAGTTCAAATATGACATTTTAAAGTAGAATTAGGTAAGTTTTCTAAATTAACTGTGGACGCTTAATTATCCAACTTTTGTCGTAAATTAAACATTATACAAATAATAATACTCAGAAAGTATTAAAAAAAAGTAGGCATCCTTATGTCATTTATGGTATATTATAACTAAAAGGCTAACTTTAAAAAACTAGGAGAAACGATGGTCAAATCCAGGGCCGTATTTAGGATATATTAGCTCCTAGGCTAGCCTATAGTACGCTGTGCGAGCCCGGGGCCTTACCGTGGATACAGGAATATATAGCGGCCGGTTGCCTCTTATTTTTGCACCCCCTTTCTATCCAGGAGCGGCTCCAGAAATAAATTTCTTAAATTAAAAATAATTAATTATAATTAATTCATAATCAAAAAGGTTTAGATGATTTAATAAGACTTTTTTTTTTATGTTGTTTTTATACAATTTCATCTCAATTTTTCACAATTTTTTTTTATCCCCCCCCCCAATTTAGTTTTTTTTATACCAATTTTTGAAACTTAAATGGTAACGTACATACTTCAATAACTTTTAAAATTTAGAATAATGTACTAAACATTTTGGCTGATTGATAACTAGTTTTGGGCAACCATTTTTAAAGTTTAAAGAGTTTAAAAGTTAGGATGGGAGGGGAAGTGCGTGCAGATAAAAATAATACTACACTACACCATTCCACCTTCCACCATCTTCAATAACATCAAAATTAGTGTTACTGTGTGGTGATAATAGCTATACAACATCAATGTTATTATTATTGTCAACTTATATTAATTAAGAAAACTATTAAAGTTCATAAAAAATTCAAAAAACATTTCTTTTTGTATAGCATAGAGCACAAATATTTTAATTTATACTAAAAAAAAATTGTTTTTGCTGCGGGCCCTTCTGTGGTGCGGGCCCCTAGGCTGCAGCCTATGAAATTGCACTTAAATACGGCCCTGGTCAACTCTTACAAGTCTGTCAAAACTTAAAATATTAAACAAATAATTGGTATTTATTAGGTATCTTATAAGTTATAGTTGGCAAATAAATGTATTTTTGGAAGTTTCGTTTTTAAGCCATTGTACCGATTTACTTGTAATTCATAATTTGTATTAAAAAGTAAAAAAATGTTGATAGCGTTCAGTATAATTAGACCTGATTAGACAAGTTTAAATTGTCATGTTTTTTGGGATCGGAAACAGCCTAAAAAGCAGCGCAGGAGCATCAGTGCCCACTCCTTAGGGAGAAGGGGGGGAAGTTTCCTGGCGGATTCTCGCTATCGGGGACTGGCTGTTGTCAATCGAATCCGTTCATCGGAGTGGGGGAATTTGGGTGGCTTTTTTTTTTTACCAGACGATGTCTCGTCTGGCAAACGGAACAGTCAGCAGTGACAGTCTCTGACAGTGAGCGTCAAATATACTGACGCCTGCCTCACCTGCCCGGTCACTGGCCAAGTTAATATTTCTCTTATAATTTATAATACATAATAATATTAATTGTAGATCATTAATCAATTATTTACAAAAAAATGTAAAGTATAGTCGTTTATTATAGGCTTAATATATTTTTGAATGAATTATATAGGGAAATATTTCAACTTAAGCTATAACTCTAATATTGCCGCTTTTTCAATTAACAATTTGTACAATTATTTAATTTGTAAAACAAATTGTCACCTTATGGGTAATTACTTCTATTGCCTATACCTTACGCCGGTCCTGCATATACTGGCTACAACAAGTTTTACTACTATCTACCTATATAATCAATAGAAAACCAGTACAAATTATGTATATTATGTATGCCTAGATAATATGTTATAGTTATGGGAATCATTCAAATAAACAATAATCGGTTATAGTAATTTCTTAATTATTAGTACGTTGTCAAACAATTAGGCGAACGATTAAACATATTTGTTTTATCGATAATATTTGACGCAAATGAAATAATTAAACGAATACAACTTTCTTCGGTAATTTAATTAATTACACTAGTTGTACCTAATTCACATAAGGTAAGTCGAGCAATTAGCGCTTAGCATAGGTAGTTAAACAAAAAAATGTATACCTGAGCGGCAATCAACTCTTCGGTTAGCTTGACGGTAGTTTCTTGTTTGAGTTCGTTTTGTTGTTCGTCCCGGATTTCGAGCAACAGTTGAATGAAGTCGTTGCGGCGCACCGCATTGGTTTGTCGGTGATCGATGGTCTGCTTGACTATGGCCAAGAAGAAATTTTGTACTTCCAACGGGAAAGTGCGCATGTTGAACACGTTGAACACTTTAGGAAAGAACACCCTGAACACTTTGGCTATGGCCAGCGGTATGGACGAATTGAGCACAGCGGTTCCCATTCTCCTGAACTCGGAGTCCGTGTCTGTTAGCGAGTTGCAGTTTAAACCAAAGGCGCAAGTTCCTATAACGTCAGTCGTGTATTTTGCAGTCAGGTCACGCATGTCGTATTCGGTAATGCCGGACTCGATGCCTCTCTGTGGATATTAAGCATACCTATAATTTAGTTTGTACCCAGGAGTCCGTTCTACTCAAAAAGGTAAACAAAACAAATATTCCTAAGACAAAGTTCACTCTATTTTATTTTTATCCCTTACCACGTGTCCGGGTTTATCGTCGGTCATTTAAAGTGCGCGTATGTTGACAATATTTAAAATAAGTATAAATGTCGTTGATGGTTGCGCCGATCAAAATGACCATAAATAAAACTGTTATTTGTAACAATACTATACCGGTACAGGCGTACAGCCTGTTATGGAACAAAACTACGGTACCGGGCACCCTTTTTTTTCCGATTTTTATTTTTAATCGATAGCACTTTTAATGTCGATTACGAATATGTAAAAATGTTGCTCCGCTCGCATCTAGTTTGGAAGTTACAGACTTTTAAAGTTCGCCGATATCGACATACGCGCGCGCCCCGTCATTTTGTTCGGTACACTATGTGGTCTTTGGTTCCACAACAAACACAATCCGACAGAATAAGCAGTCGCGCCAGTAAAGGAAAAATTTTGGGCTTTAACTTAAACGAACGGTAACTTCGCGTATTTCCTTTATGACTCTATTGTCGGTCGGTACAATTATGTACATCCCGTGTTACTTACTTCTATGTGTTCTAAAAGTTGTTCGCCACATCCCGTGAGCATTTCGATCATGTTTTTGATCTTGCCGGAACTGAACGTCGGGGTCAACTTCTGTCGGAGAATTCTCCACGCGTCCCCTTCCATGTTGACTAGATGATTGGTCAATGGCTCCCTGTGACCGTCATAGCAGAACCCTCTGTCGGCGAAATGAACGAAATTTTTCACCGTAAACACCCTAATAATCTCGGGGTCTCTTAATAGTAGTGTCGGTTTTTGTAGCTGAAACATGCCCACATATTTCTCTTGAGGGAAATCGCTGATAAAACAAAAAAAAGTTAAAGATATTAATTAAACTCTGTAATATTTTAATACTTGACTGGATTATAGAGTTATCTTACTTGTAAATATTTTGCAAACATTCACCTTGAGTCATTTTGAATGTTACAGAATCTTTGATGTTACCAAACAACGGCAACGGCTTGGCAAACGGTACCGATTTCCTTTTCCAATAGCTGTACGTGTAAGTCATCTTCTTGTACAGGAACAGTACGGTCAGCGTGCAAAACACTACTATTAACAAGACGGCCGGGAACATTTTTAAGTCTAGACAAAAATAAATATAGATACTAAATAAGAATTTTAACACTTTTTTTGACGATAGGCTGTCGAAAGTGCAGAGAAGATTAATAATGTTAGTGATATGGATGAAACAGTGTATGATCAAGAACTACATTTTATAAATGAAAATGGGAAGTAATCGGATCCGATCTGTTTTATTTATTAATCAATAGCACCTTTAGATATACTATACAGACGTACTGAGCACATGAATGAATGCCTGACTTAAAAAGTTATTCTCGTTTAAACGCAACGGGATTGCATTGGAAACTGTTTGCGCATCATAATTTAAATGAGGCGCTAGTAATAATTAAATAAGTATAATATTGTAGTTGCATGGGTTTGTAACGTATTTATTCTCAGGTAGGTATATATCGCATACAAACGTGTTCCTGTGACGGTTCATTGTACTGATTGAAGCCGGCCTTGAACCAGTTATTACATTTATACAATTGGCCAAGATTTTAATTTGCTCTTACACACTTATAATAGGCTAAAATGATAATGTTACAATTCCCATACACTTGTACTATTATTTATAATTATTGTGTCCCGACAAGTGTATCGTTGAAAGTATACCAAATTAACTTTTTTGGATATCCACTGGAAGATATCGCAACCGAATTACTTTCCACCGTCGCAGACTTGTACGTTACGACACAAGTGCGTTCGGATAGCAGAGACGTTTTATAAGAATATTCAATTGAAATCATAGATCCTTGGCCTAGAAATAATTATTATTATTGCAGCAATATTTTTATTTCAAACGAATTCTGACAAAATAAATGGTTTCTCGGCTATACCAGCTTGAAGCTACATCATTTGGTGTTGTTATGATTTTTCGACCACATTAGTACATGGTAAAAGTATTGGTTATGTTAGGTTTGTTAAATATAATGATTTCGTACTTAAATTATCATTATACTTTCCGTTTGTTTAACTGAGTATCGCGGTCTAAACGACGCAGTCATGCCATTCCCAAGGAATTTCTAGAAAAAGTTGCTGATTGCTTTATTAAACGTATCACGAGACTTTGGTAGAGATGTCGCAAACATTGAGAGCATACCACTTGTAGGTGTCACGTGTCAGGATTCTGCTCGAACATACTCAACGAGAACAAGAGCGAAAAACGAAAGGGAGATAGCAGATTTATTTTATTAATCCGCAATTAAAAAATTGGGCTACCAAATGGTTTTGATATTCCTGAGGGCGTTTTTACCGATTTGTACGGCAATATTTAGTTCTGGACGTACATTCTATAATATGCCTAGTAGAGTTTCGTCAAGAGAACTGAATCGTGTTACGCTGCACCCAATGTTTTGATTTTTCAAAACCATTCATTATCAAGTAGCTTAACAGACCTTGAGGCTTAAAGTGAGATGGTTTTCTTATTGAATTTGCTTTCGGGACAGACTATCAGCTTGTCGCCGCGGTAGCTGTAATCATCAGCTATAGTCATTTGTTACAATAAAAAATATTGTAATTAATATTTGCGAGTTATATTATTATTGTAACATTTGGTCGCTTTGGCCTCAGGTAGTGTGCTACTGAACTTACATTGCAATAAAGACCGTACTATATCTGCAACCGCATAATAGAGAAAATGAAAGTATATCTTGTATTTTTACATAATGTCGTTGTCCCAAACATTTCTTCTCCCGTTGCAGTGGGAGTCAATCTCAATACACGAAAAATCAAATTAAATATGTATTTGTTGAAGCACTTTTATGACGATTAGGATTCGTTTTAGGTCAGACGTCATATTTATAACGCTGTACGTTGTCGATAACTTAGGCGTGGATAGAAATTTCAATTGGTTTTATTACGGTATCAGCAATCGGGTCAATCAAATCACCACTGCGGTCACATCTATCGACAATGATATTTTTACTAATGTGTTAGCTTTATGAAATCTACATTTAATCATTTGCAATAACGCGTTTTATAAATCAATAGGTTTGCTACGTACAACTATCATATCTTTAGAAGGTTTTATATATAAACAGCCTAGTATTTAGTTTATCTGGTCTAAGGAATTACTATTTTGTTTCTGAAAGTCTGAGCACAATTTAAGTGCGATTTAGTCAGAGAAGTATTAAAACAGTCTTGGAAACCAATTTAATTAATTCCGTAATTTGTTGTATAACTGTTATTTACACGACGTTAAGCACGCGGTATTTCTTGCGTCGAAATATAAACACCAAATGTGTAAAAAATATTATTCTTGATTTCATCCTGATTATTTGATAATTGCTATAATGGTTTCCAGATATTCATATATTCCATATTCAGAGCTTAAATATTAATTTAAGTATTAAATTTAATTTATAAGTTTAAAATAATTTATTGAAAATGTTGACTGGTTGAATATTTATTTTTAAAGTTATTTAAGTTTAAAATGAAAAACAGGAGATGGAGTGCGGTTGAGTAATGCACACAGATTTAAATAACTTTACACTCAACCCTTCCTCCCGTCCTAAATGTTAAACTTAAATTATTTGAAAAATAATTATTCAAAACTGGTTATCGATCAGTCAAATTTTTAGCAAATTGTTCTTAATTTAAAAAGTTAATAAAATATGTACGTTACCGTTTATGTTTCAAAGGTGGATAAAGGCTAAAGCTTTAGAAAATACTAAAAAAGATAAAATGTTGAATATTGTCTTATATTGTAATATAGCATTAACAGAAATATTTAAAAAAAGAAAAACTACAAAATATTAATTATTTTATGAGAATATTGGTGTTCGGCGTTCAAAGGATCACACGATATATGACAGGCCAACATAAAATTAGTTTACCCATAAAACGAAACTATCATGTGGTTGATAGATTAAAAAACAATTTTCATCACTTTACGGCCTTGCTGAAGTATTTATAACCTATTTAGTTGATTCGAACGAGCTAATAATGTTTGTAAATCAATTTATAGTTGAAAACCTAACAATCTGGTTTTAGTAATTCTACAAAACTAAACTTCACTTCGATCTCAATTAAGTATGACTATTGACATCAATCGTATCATCAATATGTTAAATTAAAGTTTAAATAAAATTGTCACTAGTTACTATATGAAAAAAATACTTAAAAATAAAAACAAAACTAGTTGAGAGTTAAAGGTTGTTGTGAGGTTTAATTTAACGGGCGTCTAATAAAATTCACTCACAATTTTTTTTGCAAAATGTTTTTGTTGAACGTTTAATATTATTGAAAATATTAATTATTACTTTTAAAGTGCCTTGGTATAATATAGTACCTTGGAAATAGCTCAACATCGTTAATTGTTTGAATTATAGCTAACAATAAATCAATTTGTACTTGCATACGAATACATTAAAAAGCTATGGAATAAAACATCATAATATATTATATTACCCTTTAAAAAATGTACACATTTTTAGCTTTTTTTGTAAAAATTAGGAGATATTATTTAATGTGTTTCGATAGGATACTTAAAATTGGATGTTGGATCTATTATTGTTTTCTAAAAATTTGTATTACATATTAGCTTATACTATTTTATTATTTACCTTTATAATTGTCCTTTGGTCTCCTTTTTATTTAGCTCTTACTGTAGCAGTGTTAACGGCTCTCCGATATGTTTGTACACTGATTTTGGACAGCATTTAACGATTTATTGTTTACACGGACTACCGAATACGCTGAACCGACTAGACAGCAGCTGAAATCGTGTATGCACATCACACATACTTATTTGCTGGCCAAGTAACCACTGCAGCTGCGGTATAGATCCGGAAAGCAGGTCGAGGTGAGTATCGCGGTGTTGTGTAAAATTCGGTTCTTCTAGTTGGCCTTCGTGCCAAAATCTTAATTCGTACCTACCCTTCCCGCGTTTTCGGGAAATCGTATGTAATGCCCGCATACTTACACCTAAAAAGCCTTCTTTTTAGTTCCCGAGCTCTTTGCAAATGCCAAATCTTAAAAAAAAATCCATTATTTTTCTTAAGATAAAATAACCATAATCAAAATAATGAAACTCGTAGGTTATTATGATAAAACTTTTATGCGCGATTTATTTGTTTTGTGAAAAACATAATTTTTTCATCAGTACATCCTTACCTATAGTTTAGTAGGATCTGGATAAGCAAGCTTGAAGTGTATTTCCAACCAAACTTCGATGTCCATTTTAAATTCAACAATTCATTCACTCGAGTCAAAGGGAACAAGTATATAATAACATCAAATAGTGTACAAATACAAAATACCGTCATTACCCCTTCAAATAAATTGATTAGAAAACACGCGTATACAGGATACATTTGTTTTTTATTAATTATATGACTTAATTAAAATTATTATAACTTAAAAATGTCAATATAATATATACATAAACGATCTAGATAATATTATTATGTAATATGGTAACAATATAGTGTTGACTGTTGAGCTGATTAGATAATTTTGAAAGGCTTATTATACAAAGCCACTATTATATTGTAAATTTAATCATCTATGAAGGTTTGTGTTCACTAAGTAATACAACAATACATTTAAACCAAGTGGCAACCATTTCTTTTTTTATGCGTGCAGCGAAAAATAATTTATTTTCTTATTTATACCCTCTCTCCTTTCCGTGTCGATTTTTACATTTTTTTTTACATAACATTACCTCCATAAATTTACAGATATTATATTGACTATTTCAGACAATGCTAATAATTTCATTCATAGTATATTTCACTATATTATTTGTTTCCAACTTGTATACGCAGTTGTTTTGTTGTTATTGGAGAAAAAAAGCGAAAAACTTGTATCAGGAAATGCTCTTTACTGGAAAATGAACAGTTTTAGCATAAAAAGTACACTCAATCAAAATTAAATATTAATCTTAACATGGAAGATAAATGAATTTAAAAGTCATTGAGTCTTACAATAAAGTATAAACTACTTAATTCTTTAGAAGAGTGTAGCTCCTTAGATGAAATATGTGTTACAGTAAAAAAACTTAAGTGAATAAAAAAATTAGTTGAATAGTAAATAAAATATAAAGAATCTAATATGAAATATTACAGCGCTGGAAAATACGGTTTTATCTAGGCATTGCCGTATTTTAAGAGAGTGTCGAGTGTAGTATCGTGGCATCATTCGGGATTGAGTATTTGTTATTGTTTTCTTAAGCGTATTTTTGAGTAAATATATATTATTTAGATGGATCATTAATAATATTTTATTTCCTCATGGTTTTACCGAATTTTAATTTTCGCTATAATGTGGTGTTGAGTGGTTAGCCTGGCGCGGCCGTACTTACTTACTACCATATAATATAATATCCTGAAAGTCACATTCATCAAGGTCGGAGAACGAGAGAAGTAGAATAAGCTTTGTATATTTTATGTACTGGGAAGATGACAGTAGGTGGGGTTCCCTAACCCCACCTACTCTCCCTAGGGCGTTAGAAATAAAAATAAACGTTTATTTTATTAAGTATGGGGTTTTAGGTTTGGCAATATATAATTATTATGGATACTACTATTAGTTTGTAATAAACATTTTTTAACTTGACTGTTCACATTTTTTTTAGCTTTTTATTATGTTTATATTATCAATTAAATGATATATTCTTCTTCGCTTAATTGGCTTTATGCGATACAAATGGGATCTGCCAGCCAAGTGTACTTACAAATTAAATGTTTTATTATAAAAGTTTTGTTATATAAGTTGTTCTATTTTCGATTACAATACATACTCCGACCGAGTATGGTATTACTCCTGTGCCGATATTAGAAAAAAAAATGTCTAGGGAACCGTAGTTTCTCTTTTGAGAAAGTAAAATATATAAGAACTGTTTGTTTTTGTCTAAATATCAATTATCAAAGCTAAAATTGAAGGTATGTATAACATACAAACATAGGTAGCGAGTATAATTATTAATGAACTAAAGATGTGTGATGTACTTGTTTAAAAGTAAGATTTCCCACAGATTCAAGATATAACAAGTTATAACTAGGACTCGGAAGTATATGCTTTAAAAACCACTAAAATATGCATACATTTATGCGCTAAAAATTACCTAAATACATTATTAAAATCCTCAGTGCGCACAAACAAATGTTATTCATTTTATTTTTCAATATTATTTGTTAAATTTTATTACGGACTAATTGTAAACACAAAGTCTACACAAAAAAATACAAAGAACAATATTTATTTAATTATAAATGATAAAAATTAAATTAAACCTTTTTTCATAAAAAACCAATGAACCAAATTTAGAAAACAAAATAATTGTTTTTTTCCTTTTCATCTAATATTATTAATTTCTTTTATACTAAAATGTTTTATTCTTCTAAAGAAATTCTCTTACACTCTCATTATTTTATCGGTATTTTCAGGTAAAAAAAAAAATAATAATAAAATATACTGCAAACATTGAAAGTATTAAAAAATATGCAATTAATATATTTAATTTGTCTAGTTTTTTTTTTGGACAATTCAGTAAAAACGTGCAAATGCATTAACTTCGGGGCCCAAGTTATAATAAACGACAGAATGTATTCTGCAGTTAGCGTATTAAACGAAAAGTTGAAATAAAAGTTATAAGACAAAGTTCTAAGATTTATTTTTATGAAGAATATGATAATTGTTAAATTCAAGCGCAGTAAATAAATAAATAAGGTGTATGAACGAAGATTAAGTTAATAAAGCTGTTATACTTTGTATAAGCGAATCTATGACATTTATGTGCAGAAGTTCGAACATTTTTTTGCGTTCACTTCGAGGTAACGTTTTTTGAACTTATTAACATATAATGTTATACGTGTAAAAACTTAATGAATGTACCATGTATATCGCTCGTGACTTTTAATGTTCGCGAACAAATTTATAAACTTTACATAAATATACGGTTAACGGAACCTCTGTCCTCAGTAAGTCTATCATTAATAGGAAAATTATGCGATAATAATTAATATTTAAAATTATGCTTTGTGAATTGTCAACCATGTGAATTTTTAGCAGTTTGCAGGAAGGAGTCCTTTTTTCTTCTTCTAATAGCCAATAGATAGCAGCACATATTTCATTCCTACGCATAAATTGATAATAGCAGCATGATTCCCGTGAATTATCGTAGACAGAACTAACAAAAAAACGTCAATATTAATTGACGTCTTTATTTGTCAAAGAGTTAAATTAGGATTTGTTATAAGGATTTTTTTGGATTGAATATTCACAAATCTAAAATAAAAATCAGTGCAAACTAATCACAAAAGCAATGGATGGATACTAATTTCATTTAAAAAAAACGCTTCGATGTAATATTGCCGCCGACACTACATTTTGTGTAGTATAAATATATATAGGTATTGATAAAAGCACTGCAAATACAATAATGTACTTAAAATTATCCTATAATTATTGCATACAATTAGTACCAATCATGACGCGTCATAAGCCCTTGTACAAGACTACCACAACTCAAAAAATATATTTTTGAGGACATTTTATTTAAAGATTAAACCTGCTCCCAAATGGTTAATTTTAACTTTTAAAGTATTTTAATAATTTGCAATTATTTTTGTCACCTAAAGATTGTTATTTTAATTATCTTAAATCTCAACCAGATACCAGAGTTTTAGGTGATGATTATTTAGCATTAGGGTTTTGAAAAACCAAACTGCCACATTTGATTTTTGTGGTAGTTTACAATTTCAAACAAAACATTTTACGGTTAGGTGCAAAGGTATTTCAGAAACTATTATTCAAAAGGTAATCAGATTTGTCACCAGATATATTAATATATTATTGTTTAGTTCAAACATTAATGGCTATACTAAATGGATCCAATGTCTTACCTTTGAGGAAATAGTGGTAGATATTTTTGTCTGTGTTATGCTTTTAAATGTATCTTATATCATTTCGATATTTTAAGTTATCAGAATAAATACACAGACATTGTTTAAAGTAACCGGAAAAAATCCACCTCGATATTATTATAGGGCCTCTACATCTGTGTAAACCTAACGTAACCGTTGAAGTTGTATGTACGTTTAAATTTTTTTCATGAAAACTCGACGTAGGTCGAGTTATACATAAATATTATTATTTATTATTTACTATTTTATTTATATACATAAGTATTGTTTTAAAATGGGAGGGTTCTTATCACGATCAACTAGAAAAATATGTGTAATATTAAGTGAAATAAAAGAGAAAATATCACATTAAAACAAAACATAATATATTGTGAATCTATAAAATGTAAGAGGCACGTCCAGAAAGTAAGGTATCCTAACCTACAGGCGCAAGAAAGAAATTGTAAAAACAATTTTGGTACCACTGTGTGATAGAAGTTTTTGTAACGAAGAGAATGAGAGGTCATTCACCTCAGTACGTACCAAATTGCGAACACAGTAACTTTTTAAACATGAGTACGTCTACCTCGCATAGGCGCAACTAGACCTACATTTTAGGGGGTGCTAAAACTATGTACACCTGACTAATCATAATTCTTACCTTTAATTTCAAACTATTAGTTATAATATAAAACATTTGAAAACAAAAATATTCTAAAATAACAAATTTCAACAGAGCATGAATATTATTAAAATTGTATGCGTCCAAATCAAGGATTGCGGCTTGAATTTTTGGGAGTGATAATTTTGAGTCTGGGAGTGCTAAAATCCCTTTAGCACCCCCCTAGTTGCACCTATGCCGGTTTTCCAGTATCAAGAATAATATATATATTATTAAGTGAAATAATAGAGAAAACATTAAAACAAAACAAAACATAATATCGCCGCCCTGGTAGAACAATGACGCAACTACAAAATTTGGTAAAATGGACTAAATGCTTCAATGTGTTTAGATATAGCGATCGCATAAAGTAGAAAAACGATGTAACTGTAGTTGTGTTCTGGCCGATCCCCAATTTCATAATTAATTGTGCATTCATGAATTATTAACATTTTAGTGAAAATGATTTGGTTTTTGGTTCTCCTGTAAAATTTCAATTATTACAGCTGTGTCATTTTTCTACCGGGGCGGCGATATGAGAGACTATAATATGTATATTGCTATAGCAATCGGACACATTCTTCGTCTGTATTATCGTTTCTTAAAAATATTTTTTATTTTAATTAAAAAAAAAAAAAGCCAGTACAGTGGAGGCGGGGCATAGTGGGGACGGAGCATAGAATTTTTATATTTACTATACCATGAACATTCGGTTAAAAAAAATAGACTCGTGTCGATAACAAGTTTTGAACAAATATTTTTGGAGCCATTGGCATTTTGAGAAATAGGCTGAAGAAAAGCTATAAAATTGTTAGCACAGGTAAAACAAACAACTACTTTGAAAAACATTGTATGTGTATTGTGTACGATCAATATACACCATTCATCCGATCGTCATGAAACTTTGGGAAGTTATTGAGTACATTCCCGCAAAGGTTTCTGGCATAGTAATTTTTTAAAATTTGAGATTACACGAATTTTGTACTTTTAATATTTCGATATTTTTAGTTGCTAGCCCAAAATAAACACTTTGTTTGTAACCATGGTAACCACGGTACTCGAGCGAATGGTAGGTGATGATTAAAGGAACAGGCCGATTCTATGTACCACGATTCTGGGGACGCTATTAAACATTTTCACGATTGGAGCTGGATCTGGGACTGGGGCCCTTGAGTACGAGGGGGACATAATCAATATATTGTAATGCATACTATGTAGATTCAAAAAAAATTCCGAGACGGGGCTAAAGGTTTACAATATACAGCTTGGAGTACTGACTTTTTTTTAATCTTATTTGTAATTATTTTACTCAGCCCTGGCAAACTAAATCAAAAGAATTTTTATTTTTGCAATATAAATACAATATTTCAATAATTTTTCCTTAAAAATTAGTAACGCTATAAAGTCGGTTTGTATAACCTGTAAGTATTAATAATTGTTAATTTTTGTAATATATGTGAATTACGGATTACAGTCACTTAATTTTTAAATATTTATCCTATCTTTTTAAATAACAATTCTTAAATTGAAAATAAGAAGTTAATTTGTTTACATATATAATTGAAACACTATGCTTATTTTACTAGGTAAAACCAAATTAAAACATAAAACAATAGCCGTCAAGTATAAATCACAGTAAATTACATTGTGCGCCCAGCTTTGTTGTTAGGCAGGTAGGATTCATACTTCTGTAAGAGGTAACTTTCATTAATACTGAGATGCCGGTAAGTATTTTTTGAGTGTCACGTTCTATCCAAATCGATTGAAGTTGTCTGGAGTCCTTGAGTAACTATAAATATGTATAAAAAACATCGCGTGTAAAAATGTTGCGTACGATAAACATTACAATTTACATTTAACTTAAAAGTTGCTTCATTTTTTCACTAATTTGTACTTTTTAACCATTTGAATGATCAGTTGCACAAATAAGGGGTTGTAAAAGTATTGTTTGCAACGTCGAAAATATTGAACTATTAAATGTAAAGGATAGAGGAAAAAAAGATAATTCACTTTCTTTAAGGTATTTTTAGAAAAAGCATTCATTTTATACATCTTTAAATAAAATTAATAATACGTTAACGCTTTAAACATACAATAATAAATTGGGATTTTAAAATTAAATTCAATTTTTGTCTCAAAATAATTTTTTAGGAATACTTCTCAATTGCGTTAATAATAAACTAATATTTTTATATTATTTAAGTTCCAATAAATTTGTTTGTAATAACTTTTGGTAAATATATTTTTTTATATGATGACTGTAAAATTAAGTTCTTGCCTATTAAAATACCCATATCTTATTTTCCATGAGTATTCGTATGTTAATATACGAGTATAATAATGTTAACTAAAAATAAATTTCTTCTATTTTATACTTTAAACTAAATGTGGCGTAGCGTTCTTTTAAACAATACCATTATGCCTGTAAAATAAAACCTTCACCCATTGAAGGAATAACGTTTTAGTTTTTCTTGATTTTAGGCAATTAACTGTCCTGCCATAGACGAATTCTTATAGAACGAAACACCGACGTTTAGAGATTATCATCCAATACTCAAAGCATTAGTATTTCAAAGTAAAAATTAGGTGATGGGACTGCCATTTTAATGACTTCGGATTCAACGGATTTCCGGATTTAACTGTTTGTTTGTTTTTTTTTAATTTAAGTAAAACAATACCATTTTTGTTATATAACGTAAATGGAACTATGTTTACCTCTTCACATAAACAAATAATATTTATTTATGTATTTATAGTATGAGTGGTAAAATATATTTCTATTTACTACCGGTCGTAATTTTTTTGAATTATCAAGTTTGTAAAATTTTCTAACCAAGATGTTACGTTTTCACGTATATCACAAGCGCCAATAACTTCATTGTATCCTAATCCATTGCCGCAGTTGTATAATCTTGGTCTTCCGCTGACGCACAGGTAAAATTTCTGACAATCATTCGGATTCGGGTATAGTTTATGACCTTCCAATGGGTTCTCTTGGAGTGGGCACTTGAATCCTAGAAAAGCTGAAAATGATAACGTGTACAGTATTTTAATATACATATTTTACTACTATAAACTGTATTTATTAAAATCATATTAGAATAACTATTGTACCCAACTCATTATGTTCAAATATTTAAAAGTACATACTACCTATTTAGCCGGAAAAAAATAATCTGATGGAAGTATATAGTATGTTTAAGAATCATTTAGAATCGTTAGTTTATACTCAAATAAAATATTATATTGTTACTATTAAAATCGTTTTTTTTAAAGCACAGCAATATTAAGTTTTATGAATAAAATGTATAAATCAATGGTGTTTATCGACGTCGTTAGCTGGACATAAGTAATTGTGTGACCACTTACAACTGTCGGATAAAACAGAAATTGAGTCGTTTTTGAAAAAAAAAATCAAAAACCTAAAAATTAAGATTATATAGCTAAGTAGTCTATGATTATTATATGATTATAAATCATACCTAATAAAATAAAACATTTTGTTTGTATTTACGTATTATAAGTCTTTTCATTACTTTGTGCCAAGTTCATCATGAAAGTTGTGCAAATGAGTAAGAATAGAACGTTGTAGGCACTTACATCTGTTATGCTCGAGCACGATAGACGATATTGTTTCATAACGATCGTATACTGTACCTATTGTTATGTAATGACTCTACGTCGGTACTAAAAGTGATTGAATTTATGAATTTTAAAATTTCGTAACGAATAATTCATTATATAGATTGTGTGATGTTATGATATGAGTTTTGTGTTTTATTTTACAGATTAAAAATTTACTTAATTAAATAGCTGTTTTTAAGGAAAAAAAGCGAGCATTATTGAATATGGACGACAAGTACCTAAATAATATTATATATCCATATAAATATGTTATATATTTGATTCAAATAATTCATAATGCTATCACAATATAATACGTGTTCTAATTTTTAGTTAATATTTCGTTTTAAAAAATCTCTCGCTTAATTTTTGTACAACATGAATTTTTAGATTTGCCATTATCTCTACCAACAAATAATATTTTTAATTTTGATATAATCTGTTATTATGTTCCTTATCATGCGTCCCACTTATAATTCGTTTTTACAAAGTTTTGAAAAAACGTGCAATAATTACCTTCGGCGTCACACGTGTCAACCTGATCAGGCCAGTCGCATCTAAATGTCAATTCGTTAAACGCTAATCCTTCGGGGCAATCGAACTTGTAACCAATGCCGTTTACACAATTTAGAAACTGGCCACATTTGGTTTCGTCGCCAAGACGGAAGTACCCGAACTGCCTCGAACAATCTTTTGTAGGCTGAGGTGGTTCTAAAAATATCACTTTCATTAAATTCGTTTTATTGACATAATATACGAGAGCCAAAATAAGGTTTGTATGACCGTTTAAAGGGTATGAAGATAAGTTAAAATTTGTTTTGATAATTATCCAAATGATACAATTTTATTAACAGCTAGAACGTGTTGTTAGAGATATAATATCTCGTTAACGCGTACAATAGAAATCAAATTTATTTAGACTTCAGAGCTATTACTCATAACAGAATTTCTTGTTTGCGGAAGCTACTATTTAATAGCTCCCTATATTATTTTTCATTTCTGCTTTACTATACCTCTCTAACCGATTGATTTGAAATAGGTTTAAACATTTTATTTGTATCTTAAACTTTATTAATTTATTCGTAAATTAATTTTTAAGGAAATGTTAACGTATCTGATATATAGTTATAGTTATTATAACTAATATAAAGGAATACTGATTCGTTTTTGTTAATAAAAAATTAAAGCCAAGTTAATCACTTATGTCTTATGTTAGCATAAACTATAAAATATGAGGAGGAAAATCTTTGCAAGAGTTTGAAACTAAATTAGGTACCTAATAATTAATGTGCGTTAATAAATGGGTTTTATTTTGTAGACTTACGCAGTTGGGTTCTTCCTTCACAGTCTACTTCAGGTGGGTACTGGCACGGGTACGAAAATATCGAGGATTTGGCATTGAAAAATAGTCCGTCTGGACACAATTTTTCCGATGGTGTTCCATTTTCGCATTGCAAATACCTAATGGTAAAAAATAAACCAAGTAATCACAATTATCTATATTAGGTATATTGTTTTTAATTTATTCGGTTTACTAAATATAATAATTTAATAAGGTGCTGCCTATTATACAATAAACACAAATACAAAGTGTATTTTAATATTATTACATAGCTACCGGTCTATAGTACTTGTGACGTATGGATTCTTGGTAAAAACATCACTAGACTACTTCATATCAATTTATATTATTCGCCGTATTTTGAAGGAATATCTAACGCTTTAGTTGTATTCAAATGTGGTAAAACAACTGATGTTGGAATAATTAGTAGGAGCAGCAAATATAAGCAGATATAATTAAGTAAAAACCAGAGTAACTGTGAAAAGTCATATTATATACATGCCACTTTGAAACTCACTTATCGCATTGATTGCCTAACGGGAATCGACCGTTTCTTTCGGGACAAACGGCACCTGAACATGTCAAAAACAGTAATAAGTTTGACATAGAAAAATGATTACCATCAATGTGTGCAATAAAATCGGGTACGCACCTGTTTCCTGAGGATTGTACCTGAGAGGCAAAAATTGCCGCTGTCTCCTTAGGCGCATCACTCCATCTGGAAAATATGATTACAATAAATAATTATCGAGTTGACAAAACTATTACCACACAAAAAAATTGCTGGAGATCAAGAATAATTTTTACTAAATACCAAATGATGACGTTTATTTAATTCAATTTATAATTTAAAAATAATTTGCTAAATATGTTGATTGGTCGGTAACTAGTTTCGGATAAATCATTTTTAAGTTATTAAAGCTTAAAATGTATGATGCGAGGAACGATGAAGTGTAGTATATTTTTTTATATCTCTATCTGACGTCTTAGATTTTAAACTTAGTAACTTTATAAATAATTATTTAAAACTGGTTATCGACCAGTCAAAATGTTCAGTAAATTATTCTTAACTTAAAATTTCAATTAAATGTATATGTCACTATTTAAGTTTTAAAAGTTTTAATATTGTCTTATATTGTAAAATAACATAAACTTAAGTACCTTTTTAAAAAAAATGCAAATATTATGTCCGTATGTATGTATGTATGTATGTATGTATGTATTATTATATACCAGGAAGACATTAGAACATTTCAAAGCACGATTTATAAAAAGTCAAGGTTAAGTTATTAAAATTTAAATAGGTACACAAGTCGTGAAATGTTAATTTAGAATACCCGAAAATATATTTATGTATTTGTGTAGGTACTTGTAACTAGTTTACCATTATAGCAAGAAATTTGATTTTCAAGCTTGTCTTTTTTTATTTAACAGTAAAATATATATTAGCTACATTCATCAGTGTATCTGTGCTAAATTTGATTGCGCAAAAAATAATTCAGCTGCTTAGTAAGCATAGTCTCGAAGAGACATAAAAAACATAATTGAAATTGTTACTTTATTATAATGTCATCAACCACGAAATAACAAATTGACGGTTTGGATTTTGTAAGGCTCAATAGTTTTGGCTTTTGCCGTTCTTAAGAAAAAAAATCCTAATAAATAAATATATTTAAACGTTAGTTTTAAGATTATTTGAAAGCCAAAAGTTACAAAAATAATATTTATATTATTATATTGTAATAGGCGGCGATTGTAAACCGCGCCCAAGGCACAGGTAAACACAAAATCATATATGTAAACTGCGCCCGAGTTCTTATCAAGTGGAAAAAGGTGATATGTAAACTGCAATGAAAACTTTGTAATTTTTCATGTTCTTGTTTTTTGGTTTAGAACTTTAACATTTAAAAGGTTCATTTAAATTATTAAATTTAATGAATGTTTCTATTTGAATTTCTTTTAACTTTTCTATAAGCATAAAATTATTTGGATTAGTTGTATAAAAGCTAGAATTAAAGTGGGGATGGAATGACTCACATGCATTGGTGGTTTAAGTTGGCTCTGCTGATGCTTGATCCCATATTTTAGGCGGATACTGAACTCTTCACTTATACATACATCTACTAAATAATCCGCAAATCGTGTCACTCTTTATCGCCGGGCTTAGATTTCATTAAATAATTTACAAAATACTCAGATAAACTTTCTGGGCTTAAAAATGGTTCACTGTTCATATTTTTATAGTCAATACTTAAGCCATTTTGCTGGATATTTCTATTCCACGATTGTGTTAAACGAAAGCGACATCCGTGTATCTTTGTCTGAGGCCCAACAGCATAGACATTGGTAATTTATGCAATTTAGCAACCCTAAAATATTAATATTTCTGTGATTTTATTGATTCGGCCGCTGTTTGAATTTCATACCGACGATAAGAAACTGGGCGCAGGTTACATATAACCTTTTTGAACCAAATTATAATCGGGGCGCAGTTTACGTATGCCCGTAATAGGTATTTTCCAATTTCCATAAAGAACGGCAATTTAATTACTTCGTATATCTGAGGTAGGCGACAATGTAAGGTTAAAATAATATGGTAACAGGTTATACTCTAGAAAATCGATGCGGTACCGTTTACGAAATTGCATAATACCCGACGCCGACGAAACAGACCCATTAAGATCACGAGCACGAGTGTGGTCGGGTCGGCAGGTAATCGCGCCTCAGGTAATCACGAAGATCACATCGTTGGTGATGTCGGGTGCGGAGGCCAATATTGAGGAGAGAGATGCGCTTGTCTTACTACGATCTCCGTCGTCAGCAGTTGTGGTGGTCATTGGCTTATGCAAAAAAAACAGTCACTTCGCCTCCTTTGATGGTGATCCACACGATTCAATTATTGCCTTCCCAAATGGGAAAGTTCGTTTATAAAACATATATTTTTGGGGTATAGTATTATTATTATCATACGCCGTGTTCTAGAATAATAATTTATGTTTTCCGTTTTAACCATAGTTCACGGACTTTTTATTATAAGGTCTACAACAATCACGCGGTTGTGCATATTATTGTGAATAATAAAACACCCTAAAAACACATAAAACAAATATTAACCAAGAATACAGTAAAATGTACTTTTAGCCCGAGACTTCGCCCTTCATTGATCTTCCCCCGTACCCAACCGTTTAATTTATACGTTATATTAATCTGATACTGAGCTTGGACTTAAAACATATTTGTAAGTCACAAACCTTAGAACGAGAAAAAATGGAAATGATAAAACTGGGTGTAAAACCTTTTATACACCTCATACTTTTTCTTGACTTATTTAAGTACTTTGCATTTTGTATGAGTTGTGATCACTTATAACTTACTAATATATATTTTAATGCTTAGTATTAACGAAGGCTTATAAACGCTAATGCTTAGTCTTTAATAATTTTAAACATATTATGGTTTTGTTGTTCATAATGTACTTTCATAAAATGTATAATTACCTTATATTTTAATAAACTACGAATACATTTAGCAATTCATCTCACTTAAAAATTCAAAAATAATAATAGGTATTTAAAAATTACACATTAATACAGTTTTTAATTTAGGTTTTATAAGAAACGTCAAATAGGTATAACGATTTGTGTTATTATGGTTATATAACTCGACAATTTTATGAACAATTAAATGCAGTAGAATTGTTTTAAGACATTTTGGTAACCCGGTTAATTTTTAAACCGTGATTTTGGAGAGGTCAGATGAGTGGATGAAACCACGATGAAATACCGACCTTAAACTTTAAATTATAAAAATAATTTACCTACATTAAATAAATATATAAATTAAATAAGTTGTCAAGTACTCGTATTTGTTTGGTTCTTAATTACAAAAAATCAGTTTTATGAAAGAATCAAGTTGAAAAGTGTTATGATTGATTTATAATACTAATACGTCATTGTTGTGACATTTAACTGTATCTTTTTCAAATTTTAATGAGTTTCTGTTTCGAAAGGGTAATAAAAACCAAGTTGTGGCAGAATATTACACAAATTAAAAAAAAAAAAATGTATTTTAAATGTTAAGGTTTTATTATTGCATGCTCATCGCTGATTATCTATCTCGAAGTACATGGTTTTGGCAAATAGCCGATAGTTCATAAGTGATTATATTTTACAACGTCCTTGGTCAATAAATGGTTGACAGTGTGAATTATTAGTTTCACTTTATGATACTTCGGGATCAGTGTAATGTGTTTTATTTTGTACTTAAATTAAAATGTAGTCTGTTTAGTAACCATTTATATTATAATTTGAAAAATATATTAAATAATGTAATCGATTTAATATATTAATACCAACCTCAGTCCTCACAAATAAAAAGTAGGGTTTCCGATGGATCAAATTAGTCAATATGCTCTATAAGTATTTATTTGTCATTGAATTCGAATCCGAGGTCAGAATTCTGAAAAAAGTTTTTTTATAACCGCAAAATACCAGAGCTAACAAAGCTAGCTCTTGGGTTTGGATTCTGCGACTCAAAATACGTAAGAATTAACTAATCCGGTCAGTTGAAAAACCTAATTTTGTTTGTGAGGCTCTAGGTATTAAAGAAATTATTTGTTAGTAATCTTATTCAAGGGACCGATCAACACAATCATTTCCGTCAATTTATCCTTATCTATAAACTGATTTTATTGTGTTAAAGGCTAAAGCATCGTGTTTCTATAGGGCGAATACGAATTGCCTCCGAGAAACTACGAATTGTTTCCCAAGTCCAAACGGTCTTTAAGCCTGGTAAACAGTATACATTGGCGTAACTATAAAAAAATATATTAAAAATTTTAGTTTTTAAAATAACTAAATCACCCAGGAGAAAGACATTTTTTTTGCACCCTATATTACATGTTAACAAAAAACGCCCTAAAATAGAATGCCCCATAATATAAGCTATAATATTTTGTTTATAGTTTTATACATACACGGTTGCAATGTGCATACTACCAAATCGTACTTTATTTAAAAATAATAAATCATGTTGTGTATTTTGCACGGCGTGTGCAAGATATAACTGATAGTAGTAATATTGTGTATATTAAAAAAAAAAAAATATATCCATCAATAGATGCTATACCGCATAGCATCTAATATAAACAGTAAATACATTGTATAATGTGTAACAAAATACCTTTTTCACTTAGCATTTCTCAAACTGCTACTTCCATCACAAAAATTGCACGGATTAAATACAAATTAAAACAATTCACCACACAATCGCCGCTGAGTAAACACCGCGGACCACCTCTTAGTTTATTTAATCTTAGGACATTTTCGTTTTTAAAAATGATTTACAATATGTTTCTTGGATGTATGCCTCACAAGTTATAAACTCATAATTGTTTCGTTGTTGACTTATAGACATCAACCCAAGTTTTATTTTTGAGTTATTAGTTCTACAGGCGTATGTACGTATTATAATCTACACTGACCTGCATTGATGAGTGACAAGGCTGCAATAGCAGTGGTGACTATTAATAGAACGCGGATCATCAGATGAGATTTTGTTTGAAATCGGTTTGAGCAACAAAAACGCACTGATGGTCGTCGTTTTTACCGGTTACTGCTATCGGGTGGCGGGTAAGAAGCAACATTATCAATAGTCGTTGGACGTTGCATAACCGTGACGCTGCTGCTGCTGCCGTGGCGGCGGCGGTGCTTTGGACCAAACGACAACATTCTTCTTTTATGTCGTGGGGATAGGATGAGCAACACGTCGTATTACATTATGGCCACTTTTTTTCTCGATTTAAACGCACACATAATGAATGTTAAAAATGGTGATTCCCTCCGACAAATACTGGATTTTGCTCGACGATTTCGCTGGAATAGTAGGACCCGCCAAGGCAAGGTCAGCTATAGCCGTGTGTAGTTTGCCGGCCAAAGAAGCGCCGGTTAATATCAATAATTATGACAGTGGGTCGGATGCTACTCGACCAGTCTTTCGGAAGTTTCGACATAGCCCATAGGTCGTCGTATTCTTCTTGTTTTTTTTTTTTAATTGACCGGCCGATGGTAAAAAATTGCACACACACACATACACATTAGTAAACGTGTGAAAACATTCCAAAGTGGAATATTTTTAAAAAATAACATAACATAGGTAAATCAGTATATTATACGGTAAATAACCATAAGCGTTGTGTAACTACCATGCTGGAGACGTATATATTATTTATAGTTTAACAAAGTTATTTAATAATAAAAAAAAAATCTCTGTTTCAGAGTTTGCTAAATTAAATGGTAGGTAGTGTTTATATTATAAGACGAATGAACGGGGAAAAAAAATTAGTAAAATGTATTCAATATTATATTGTACAAATGGGTCACAGAGATCATTACTTTCGACTCTGTACTGTAGAAAAATAAGTACATAAATGCCGTTATTTCGTAATATATATTTTATATAATTTACACAAGTCTTTTTGGTTTTGTTTTCATGAGATTGTATGGTATTATAGTGATCTGAAATATTGTACCGTTCGAATATTGGACGTTGCTTAGGTTTCCCGTTCGGCTCGAGATGATATCGTGAGTGGAACCACCCACTGCATTAGAAATGGCTCGCGTATACCTACTTAATTTATAATGAATTTCCTCAATTAATACTTATGGCCGTTTGCGTTAACTTTATTTATAATTTCAAAGTTACAATACTGGAAGTATTGGTTTAAAAGTTTAAACTATACTTCAATTTTAAGTATAAATGAATCAAACAACCATGAATCTACCAAGTTAAGCAAAGATTATTCTCTTAAAATTTGAACAAATTAACCATAAACGCACGTGTTTCACATCCACACAAACCCTAAATCAAACAAAAAAAAAACCAACAAATCAATCAACAGCTAATGGCCAAAGTTGCCAAAGATTAGAAAATAAAAGTTACCTACACAAGGCTTAATAAAACGAATTTCGAGCGTACTAATTATTATTAATGTGTTTTGCTGTGGACAGCTTGACAAATAGGTGAATATATCATTACCCTATCACTAGTTGTTGTGTTACAGTAATGACAGATCATAGTAATAATAATAATAAACGTTAGAAAGGGTCAAGAGTGTGAGAACGATGGATGCGATGGCCCGACCGTAAACGAAACGACTTACATTTAATCTCGTCATTAGCCTAGCGCCTAAAAGTGCTTAAACATTTTTACGGAGCGAAGAACAAATCACGGATTTGAGTTATGGAAAAATGGGCCATGAGAAGACCGAATGTTTTTTTTTACTATATTGACCATTGACAGATGGAAATTAAAATGGCGTAATCGACACATCATGAATAAACATTCACCATTTAATTTGCACAAAATATTTGTAACCTCTCACCCGAGTTTTAGAAGGCTTGAGTAGTATAATTAAACATAATATAAATTTAATATTTGAAGTTCAGATGTCAATGTATCCAAAAAGCATGCATAACCTTTACTCTTAGGTTTAAATACAGTGCAGCGTAGTTCTCAACCTCCTTAAACGATATTGTTTGCTTCCTCTCTTTTAAACTGTATGTGATTGTTTACGTTTTGCGAGTAAAAAAATAATAGTTACCGTGAGTGTGGGAGATGTCCTGACAGAACTGACTTTCACTATCGTTAAGGCTATTAAGTCATTTTGAGGTGAGCATCACACAGCTAGCCGATTGATAGTTATATTTACATATTGCAACCTTACATTCATTTTTTTATAGGTTTTAACCTTAAACTGTTACATGGAAATAGTTTAAAAGAAATAACGAACGAGTGATTTTTATTCATATATGCAATTAACCCTTCACTGCACAATGTTCCATTTATGGAACGATTGTATTTATTGTTTATATCTTCTCATGCTATACATCTTTGTATGCACAATGTTCCATAATGTTCCAAATTCTTTAATTAGCGTTTTCCATGAAACCAAAATTAAAAAAAAAATTATTTTTATTTTTTTAAGTAGTATTAAGTACATTTATAGCATATGGTTAAAAAAAAAATTCATGCAGTGAAGGGTTAAATGAAAATCAAACGTCGTGTATCTGTAGTCTATATAATGAATCACATGAAATGTACCAAAGTAAATTGTTTAGATCAATAATATTATGTATCGTTTAGGGTTTTTATTTTATACTACGCGATGTCATTGGTTATAGTTTTTTTTAAAAAAACTACAGTTTGTAAATAGTTGTAGAAGCTGAGAGGTAGTAAATGTATGGTGGTAGCGTATGTGCAAGTAGAAAATCACAACATTAAATTAAATTAAAAAAAGTATTTTGTTGTATTCTAAAGGAACAAGAATAAACAATTTTTTAAACGATTTAAAATGTAATATATATATATATATATATATATTAGGGTGGTCCTTAAAAAGTAGATTTACGAATTTTAACCTCGACGCCTCCTAAAAAGTTTCTAAATCTTCTTCTTCTCAGGCTTAAAACAGACCATTAAGGTCTAATGCCGCTTCTAAAATTCCTCTCCATTGATTTCTATCTGATGCCAAATTAATGCTATAAGTAGGGTCTATTCGTGTTAGGTCTCTTTTTACCGTATCCAGCCATCTTTGACGCGGCCTCCCTATGGGTCTTTTTCCGCTCGGATTTCCAGTGAGAACTTTCCTTATAATACATCCTTCTGCACGCCACTCGTGTCCAGCCCATTCTAGTCTTTTGCTACTAAGAACTTTGCAAATGTTGGATTTATTATACAGTCTTTGTAAATCATCATTTTTCTTCTTTCGAAAACTCCTAAATTTACATTAAACACGGTCCATAAATTCTCCTCAGTATTTTTCTTTCAAAAATGGCTAGCTTTTCTTCATCACCCTTTGTGCTAGCCCACGTCTCACGTGCGTACATCACTATGGCACGCAAATAAGTTTTGTATAACCTCTCCTTTGTTCGTCGAGACAGCAACTTCGATAAGAACATCTCTTTCATTGCATAATAGCTTTTATTAGCTGCACTCAATCTGAGCTTAATCTCATCGTGCATGTTATTTTCCGCATTAATATTCAGTCCTAGATATTTAAACTCTTTTAATTGTTCGAAAGAGTATCCGTATACCTTGAGATTGTTCTTTGGGGTTACTTGTCTTGACATAACCATGTATTTTGTCTTAGCCTCGTTAACTATTAAACCCATGTTTTGACTTGCTTTGAATGTGTTTTCTTAGATTTTTAAAAATTGTTTTCCTTGTTTGACTGCATATTTTTGAAAAATTACAGTCATATACTAGTAATACCTTTGTTATACATTTTAGAATTTAAATCTAAATAAATACTACACAAGTACAAACATGTACTCTAACATCTTTATTAATAATGTATACTATTAAAATGTATTATTAGTAAAATTAATTATTTTGTTTTGGTTTATGCCTGCAGATTACAATACGCATTATATTATTTACAAAATATTCTAAATAAATTTGGAATTCTTTAAATTATTTTTGCAAAATGATATAGCATGCAATATTTTAAATAAAAAATAATATCAGTATTTTAATTTATTCTGGTGAGGATGGTCGTAAACAGAAATAGGCAATAACTATCAGCCCAGTCAGCAGTTGTCCTTCGGCCACTCGACATATCTAGTACATTTACGGTAAAATAATGGTATGGTTTACAAGATGAAATTTTAACGGTACAAATTTGCGAAAAAGTAAAAAAAAACTTTTAAAACATAGTTCTGAACTAAATTTTTACAGAAATCGAAAAATCCACTTAGCACATCGATTTTTTTTAACGCTCTATTCAGATATGTATGAAAAAACTGTATGTGTGAGGAGGCAGACAAACAGGGTTTTTATAGTGTGCCGGAATAGAACCACATAACTCTATAGTAAAGGATCCATAACGACCTAGGCCTCTGCGCAGTTTTAGATTAATAATTCTTCAAAATTAGATGGTACAAACCTAATTATTTAAATAGAGTAAATTATATTATGTAGTATGTACTACCTATTTGTCAGTAGTCAGTATACCTAATATAAAATAGGTTTCCAATTTATCTTTTATTTAAGAAATACTAATGAATTTTTTATCGTTAGGTGTTACATATTAATAAATATTATAACGGATAACTCGACCTCGTGTAATTTATTCAAAATGTATAAAGTATATTATACACACGGCATTGCCGTGATTTTGTGTAAGAATTTACAATTTGAACGTAGGCCACACAGTATACGCGACTGTATGAACATGCATATTAAATGCTAAGAGGGCGCATGACGAATTTCAGCAATAATGCTACCCTTAGCTTAAATCATCAAAATTATAATAACCACATGTTTGAAAATTAACATTTAAACGTAACGCTGCTTACGTTTTTGGTTAACCTAAAAATCACGGTAAAAATCAGCACAATATAATCCAATTTATTCAGGGCTTGAACTTTAAGATCAATTCTAACCGTAACCCGAATTAATCTTTATAAACTCCAAGAAAAACCTAAATAACTATTGCCCGAATGCTATTGTTTTATCAAATGTTGTTACTTTAAAAATCTAATTTTAAAATTTGTAATCTATTGTAACCTTGATTTTGATTATAACTACATAGTTAAAAGTTTACACGTAAATGTTTTATTTTTGTATATTCAAAATTAAAATATGCTAAAGCCAAAGTCGAATATAATTTATATATTTTTTAAATTTGATAATTTCACTGGTAAATATACTTGCTAAATTGACTGCAAAACATAAATTTCTTATCATGGAAAAAAATTGTAAAAGGCACATCGAGTACAAACATTATGATATATATGAAATTCCATTGGCGGCTCGTGGTGATTTGACACAGGAGTGCGATAAAAAATTAGAAAATCATAACCTAAAATGATAAATAATCTATTTCAGGAAAATACATATAAATATGAAATAAAAACAAAATATGAAATATATAAAAAAAAAATAGTAACATTGCAAACATTTTCTTTTATTTGTAGCATTTAATTTATGTATACATTTTATACTGAAAACCAAGTATTCTTTCTTTAATTACACAAAAGTTGTCAATTACTTCCTTATTAAAATCAATAATAGCTTCATTAATCAGACGGTTCTCTACACTTAATATTGTTAACGCATTAAGTCTGTCTTTACTTATTGTACTCCTTAACCAAGTCTTAATCCTCTAACGTGTTGAAAAACTTCTCTCAGCTTCTGAAGATGCCATCGGTGTTACTACTAAAACTTTAAGCAATTTAAAAACTTCTTTAAATGTATCTTTCATATTCATATGTATAATATAATTTATTATAGAAATGACACCTTTTATACTTCGAAAATCTTCACGCGAGTAAATTACTTTTAACTCGGTATTTAAACGTCTTCGAACAAAAATGGATAGCATTCAACAGTAGTATTCAAAGTAGTGGATGGATAGTTGTTATTATATATCACATATTTCTCATTTTGGAAAAGTTGAGCATCTGTTAAATGTTTAGTAAAATCAAAAGGTCTCTGAGCTTGAATAGATATTAAGTCACACACTTCTAACGCAGCTGATTTTTTACATCCAACAGTATTTTCTGTTCGTTGTCTTCTAGAAGAACTTTCAAAAGTCAGCTCTTCTACAAAAATTGCCATATTATCATCGCGAATTTTTTTTATTTCTATTTTAAATTTTGTTACTGAGTTTTGTATTTGTACTGAATCAGTATTTTTTGATTGGACAGCATTATAATTTATAAAGACAATCAACATAATTTTGTGGCACTCGTGACTGCAGCTGTTTTAAAATGAATTTCAGAAATTAATTTTAAAACAAAGATAACAGAAGAAAATATCTTATTCCATACAAACCAAGAAATTTGTAGAGAATGGGGAATCGAGACAAAGAAGTTAATTTTTATTACTTAGATCTAAGTATCGTTTAAAATCTTAATCAAACCGAGTTTTCAAGAAATATTGTAAAAAAAGTGTAATTAAAATTTTTTTTTAAGAAATATAAAGTATCAAGTATTGAGTCACAAGTATAGATTGTTCATTTTAGTTAAAATTTATGGATTTAGAATTAAAACTAATATTAGTTATGCATATTTATTTTCTAATGCATCTAAATGCAATTTTAGTAAATTAAGAGCTTACCAACGGTTTTATATACATTGGTTTTTTTGTAATTTAATTTAGCTCCAAGTTCTGAAGGGGGTTGAGGTAAAATTATAATAATACTCAAAGTTGACTAAGGAACGACACACAACTGACAACACGAATTTTATTGTTAACTTACTAAGGCAACTTGTGCTATTTTTATTTTAACTAATATTTTCTTAGCAGAATGGAAATTTTTCCAGGTTTTGCAAATCGCATAACACGTCATATTTAATCTCGGTGGTTATTATATATAAAATCACAACGCCATTAAATTGCTTGTATATCTTACAATAAAATTCGATATAAATGCCGATTTCGCAAAAGATAGCAATAACATGTTTTGTAGTAAAACTCTTCCAATTGAAATTGTAAAGTAAAAATTTAAGTCAATTTTATGCAAAAAAGGGTTTACTGTATAATCTGAACAAAAACCGAATCTTTTTTTTTCTGCAAAACATGGTAAATACATTAGTCTATATTTCAACTGCTAGAAGGGGTGAAAATATGCGATAAATATTGAAAACAAATACAAATGTAAAACTTTAAAATACTCTCCTATAAAATCATTATTTTGCACTTCACATTTTTTAATTGATTATATTTTGATATTATAAGTTTAAACTACCAATTGTTGTACCTTTTTTATATTATATATTATGTAAATTGCAAAGCAAACTACAATGTAAATTTTGAAAAAGTTATGATGGAGTTAAAAAAATACAAAATGAAATATACATGCATAGTAGCTTTATTAACTTTTAAAATAAAAGTATACTATAGTAATATAAATTTATATATATTGGTCAATATTGGCAATTATTCTGTACAACAAGCTATATTTTTGACTGAAGTAATAAACTGACGTACATTGTATTTGTAAAAAAATATTATGCATATACGACATAAAAAAAGAATACATAATTGGCTTTTAATGTACAATATACATTACAGATATATAACTCAGAAGAAATCTAAAAAATATTAATTAAATGTCTTAAATTATTGATATTGAAGTCGTCGACTAGGTCTATACAACATAATATACAATACAATCCAAATTATATGAGATACAGAGAGATCATATAATACACATTTTTGTCTGTATTGTTTTCATGTTTTTTTCCTTTAAAATCTACGTAACTACATAATTCCTAAATTTAATAATTAAATTTAAAATTTGATCTGGCATTAACAATAATTATAATAATAATAAAATAACTAGAAAATAATAATAATAGTAATATAATGACTCTTTTTTTTTTCTTTTTTTTCATTGTTTTGCGCGGTATTATTATTTATTATACACAAGTTGTATTTGTTCGTACGATTTTCTCGTATTTATACACTAATTTAAGGTAATAAATAATAATAAGTATTATTTATCGGATTGCACCAAATGTCGGGCTTGCCTACTTACATAAGTATAATGTTAATCATTATGATAACTATCGATCGGCGATCGGTTGGCAAATCGTAATTTAAAATATACATATTATAATATAATGGCATAAATATTACATCACAAACTAGCTAAATAATTGTGATAATTGTGTACACGGAGAGGACTTAATTAAACTATAATAAAATAATAAATGTTTTGATCGCATCGAATAGCATTAACGTTGTACACAAAAATATGACTTGGATATGAGTATTTCAACGTATACTAATACATACAACATTAATGGAGTATAAACAGACACAATAACGTTCGATAGATAGTCAATCAATAGAAAGTTTAACAAAAGAATAACGTTTGTATGTAGAGGCGATCTATTTTGTCCCTTTGAAAATTACCCCAACCACCGAAAGAAGATACAAGAAAAGAAGAACGTAGAAGACAAGTAATAGAAAAGAATACCGGAATAAACATTTAAGGAACATTTGAAGAATGCAGGACAAGGATAAATAGATGAGGAAATTAAATAATACGGTATACAATATATAAGTAGACGCGATTGACACAATTGATACATAGTCTTAATTTCGGTGTGGCAAAAAATGGTTCAGGATACATATAATATAAATTATTTGATTTTAGAAGTTAACGTAAAGTAGAATATAAAATATAAATTGGCATCCAAAAATAGACATTAACAAAAAAATTAATAAAATACAACATTTGGAATTTTCAACACTATTACCGTCAGCCTAAAGACAATATACTATAAAATTATCATGGTGCAAATTAAGTATGGGCAACAAAATTACAAAACACAAATGTTAACATAACATAAACATATTATGTTAAAAACTGACGTTGTTTGGTGACGGTGATTGTTGTTTGTGACATCGGGAATGACGTCACGTCGGGCATGGATTGCTTGACATAATATATAATATTTTTTTGGCCAAAATCTGGACGTGAAGAAAGAAAAAACGTGATTATTGTATATGTACGTGTATACATATGCATAAAAATACACTCATATAACCTATCAGTCAATGGGTCTATCTGAAAAAAAAGAAACTGTATCGTTAAAAACACATTGTGATGTAACAAATAAATTTTCTATAGATAATAAAATAATTATTTCTATTATTTTTGCATAATATCAGAAAAGCACATGAATTATGTGAAGTCCATCTAATCAATTTTATTGGTGCACAGTGCAAGTTATAAGTAGAAAGTAGAAATCGGTTGTAAAAATAACTGAGGGAGAAAACAAATATGTGTGTTATAAGGGATGTTTGGCAATTTCCAGTGTATTGAAAACGGAATAAGGCAATTTAATTTAAAGTGAATACATGTTTATTCGAATTATAATTTTTTTTTCATTCGTATTATGTCCTACTCTGATTTCGCACAACCTGTAATTAATATATTATTCACGTATTAGGTGCCACCGACAAAACCGATCTCAAGTGATTTGATGGACTATATAAAAAATATATATATGATTGAGCCTCACCTTGTCCCTAAAAAGCGACAGAACGAGTCTTAAACGGCGCAACCTTTGCGCACGCCGTACAAGACTTTGAGCTCGGGCAGAATTACTTTCTTGATCAGACTATACGTCTTTCCGGCCAATACCTGCCGGGCCGGATCCTTCTTCAGAGTTTTGATTCCCGGTTTGTGCACCAGGAACGCGTTGTCCAAAATGTGGAACTCGTAGTCCATCACGCACAACGTGTAGCCCTGTGGACAGAGACAAAGTCATTCTTTAGCTAAATATATTGTATTATTGTTGTTCAAAATATGTCGAAAACGCTTTTCAAACTATTATCTTATTCATACAATTTTTTAGTAAGTCATACCAGTAAAAGTACTGGGAAAATGGTACTCGGTGTTTATGTTTCACGTGTACAAAATACATATAACTATGTCCTGTATCGATTAAGTATGATTTATCTATGTTTAAACTTTAAATCTATACGCGATCTAGGATGACGGGTTGTTCTGCATAACGTCGTATAGTCTGCATAGTTTTTTAGTCTATTATAGTACAACTGTTTTGGGTTACAGTTTTGCTTTCGTTACGTCTAGCCGAGCTGCTCGTCGAAAGCGAGATGACGAATTTACGATATTGTTGTGGTGTCAAACGTTTTTTTTATGACCTCTTTAAAAGGGTTAACGGATTTTATTGACGTTATATTAGTGGTCGGCTTTTTAATCGCTCGTTAAATTTTAAAGTCACCATGAGATATTGTAATAACTATACTATAAATATGAAAGTAAATGTCGAATATTATTATTCTAGAAAACAAAAATCGTATTGTACTTGAGTCATTTTATCCATTTTCCCTTCCCAGCTCAGTCTCTCGTCGTACAACGGATCGTTGTGGGTGCCAATGAATATCGGTTCCCAGTGCAAGTGATAGCCGGTCCGTTTGCCCGTGTGGAACACGCTGATGCCCGACTTGGGTTTGGCGCTGGCCCATTCCTTAAACTTGGGCACCGTATGACAGTCCGGGCACACTTTCTTGTGGAATGTGATGGCCGAACCGTTTTTCAGCATGGACACCTGCGCAACAATAACAATTTTATAAACTATTAATTCTATTATTCTGTTGTATTATAATACTATAGATACACACATAAACACATCATTATATTAACATTGCGTTATTACACCGAATGATTCCAAATGTAACTTGAAAACGATCTACATAGCGAATACAACATTATACGGACAAGGCGGCACCTGAGGTATCATTTTTTGTTTCATTAGTGATATCCAGTCCGTGTTTACATGTATATGATTTTCAACTCACGTAACATTTAAAAAAAATATATATTTTTTCTGGTTTTAGTATAAAATATTTAAAGCTGGTTTAATAAAAATAACGATCCTTTTTTGCCTACGAAAATCGCTATAGGATAATATTGTATATTATGGTTATTATATACACCGGTTATACACGTATTGTGTTCTATTTGACGGTTTACCCTCGAAAATGGTTACTAACGTAACACCGGAATTTATTCGGGATCAAACAATTCCTTCGTTTAGGATTATGTAATAAACATGTTTTTTTATTGTGCGCTTACGATTTAACTATTTTTACAACGTGACTATTGTAGTACACTATTTTTTTAAAAGAAGAGAAAATACTATATAGTGTACCTATACACATTTTGTAAATAAATATGTTATAACGATGCATTTCCGACAAAATAAACACCACACAACCCATTTTGAGTAGGGTGTAAAAACTAAGACATAGACAATACTTGGAAAAAGTCGTTCTATGACAGATTCATTTTGCTTTTGAACAGAACACTACGGTGAAATTATTTATATTAATTTTTCCGTTAGAACACATATAAATTGAGTATTAACATTATTACAATAGTTTTTGAGCTTCTGAGGTATACATACGCTGTATATAGTTTTCCGTTGAGTGGCTAGCAATGAAAATATCTACAGTGTTGTTATGATATTTTTGTGGCTTTCATTTATCGCAAACTTGACGTTTCACTGAGTAGTGTATAGGTTTTTAGCACCAATCTAGTGCCGACCGTACAGTACAGTAACATAGTATGCAGTAGGGCATAAGTCGAATGAATAATTGATAATCGTTGTTTCGCATTATGCGTCCGTCGCGTTATCTAACAACGTTGTTAACTACCGAATATGATCACGAAAGTATTAAAAACTCGTTAACTTCAACAGTCCCGATTGTTTTGGGTTCGACGGTCGTCAGTCAGCCTCAATAAACTGACATTACATGTATTATATACATACATAATAACTGCCGCAATTGTTTTGGCGAGAAAGCACTACCCCGTCGGCCAATTACCTCACTAACGTCATATTAAACCATTAACGTCGTTGTTACCGCTGTAATAAAACACACGGTTCAATTGAACAGTAAACCCCATTCTGTAAAATAATCGTAAAAAGCCAACAGCCAAAACGGTATGTTTCAATGGTTATTAAAAAAAAGAAAGTGTATTTGAAATCTAAAACAAGCAAGAAACATTTAAACTAGCAGCCTGAGAACTCGAAGCCTTTATATATTAGCAAAAGTAAGAAAAATACATCCGTACAAATTATTTTGAACGTAATTCAACTGCTTGGCATTTTATTTGTTTTTAAGTGACACATGTGACATGTGTCACAAGGAATTAACCATTAAAAATCAGTATTAATTCCTTTTTGCTATATTCAACATGATCATTTTGGTTTAATATCATCCCATACAGGAAAATCGCTTATACTTTTCAGTGTAATAAAATACGTAGACGGTAGAAAGCTTTGACGGCGTCCTCTTAAACGTTTTCGTTTAGCGAGCGGAAGAGACAGAGCAACTTTGGGCAAAATAATAAGATTGAAACACAAGCCCAACTTAGCTCCGTTCCTGTCACACATATTTTATTATCTTGCGGTAACATAATTCGATTTCAATGCGAGGTCCATTTAATAAAATGTCTTATGGTCCTAAGCCAATAGTCATCAAATTAGCTTGCAAGTTGCAAGTATATTATATTATCTTTTGTGCCCTCTTCTTTTCGACCAAAAATTAATCGGCCGCCAAGTGCGCGAAGATATCTCATTGAAGCCGTCGCGTCGGGCAGCGTGGTCAAAATAGTACTTATCTTTGTTTTATTTACGTGTAACGTGCATTTTCCACGGTTTGCAGTGGACACTATGGCCAAATGATTTATGCCCGTCAGACTGAGAGTTAACGCGACTGGCCATAACGAATATCTCACCACAGATTCGGTAGAACCTATGTATATACTATGCACGTGACGATAGTCCCGCTGAAGAGCACCGAGACGAATCTCAAGGTGACCGATTTTGAGATCATTAGTCATGGTTAAGATAAATATGATATACTTGCGCTTGTACGTATTATTATTGAAAAATAATAATATCCACTTTTAAACATCGGTAGTAATCGAAACTCCAATTTATTAGTCCGGTTACTGTCCGGAAATATATTTGGTTTTTCCCAAAAGCAAAAACCTACGAGCTACGGCCGATTTGTGTGATCTGTGGCCACGAGAAAAATTCGACACCGCCTCGAATCGATCCGTTTTCCTGTAGCGGAAGAATCAATAAAAAAGTCGCTTAGATAAAACTAAATGGAAAGGCCAAAAAGCACAACATGTACATTTACGATTCGACTTGGTGCTATTATTTCGACTACACTTTTTGTTTTAAACATACACTGATGTTAATGGGTTGTAGATTATCTATCTGAAATTAAAACGCGGACATTTGCCAAGCATCGGTCTGATGATAGGTTTACGTTATTATCAGCTTATTTTGAACTCGATCTTACGTATAGAAGAAGAAGCGTATTAAGTCAAACAAGTAGGTACTTATCAAATACAGTCGAAAACCAAAACGCACCCATCTCGCTAATTATCGGATAGTAAAACTAAAATCAGTTTTCTATCATTAAAATTATTTTTCAAATAGATGCAAGATCACTTTACTGATTCACTTTATTCTCTCGAGAATTTTTAATTATACTAGTCGCGGCTTTTACTTTTTATTTTTATGGAGAAAACACAACCAAATGGCTACTAAGTTATATGCATTGGAATTTGTTAGACTTTGCAAAAGATAACCATTTGTACATTTGCAAAAATAAACCATTAAAGAAACGTATAACAAACTATCATGAACAATAAACGTTTACAAAGTCATTAATTTTTGGCAACAACAATGAAGTATGACGCGTTTTATTTGAAAAAAAAAAATCTTGTATAATAATTTATTATTACTGTTGGCTCACATCAGTATAATATATTGATAGATTTACGTACACACGAGTATGTAATGTGTTACGTCTTGTCTTTCAAGTTTCATATACAGTCGATATTTTCATTTTAAACATTTGTATAAACTATCATAAAAACATTTTATACGACCAAAATTACATTTTTCATTAGAATCAACTACACTTGGTATTTTACTAAGAAAAAAGAAAATGGTTATATCTATAAAAAAACAAAGATTACATTTTCATAAATGAGCTTATTTAATACTTCTTAATTGTTGATAGCTTGTTTATAGGCGTTACCTTTTTTTGTTTATTAATAATTGTAGACTAAACATTTCGTTACCATGGATAAATAAACAGAAAATAAGTCAGTTTACCTATGTTTTGTCGGTAAGAGAAAAAAATTCTTTGTTGCGCGAAGTATTACAATTTGCATTACACAACAATTTTGAACTAGACGTGTGCATAAACACGTTTATTCTACATGTAATCCACGTTTCCAAATCTATACATTCTCTTATGGATAAAAATTGTAAAATCTGGTACTTAATAGTGATCATTTTCAACGTGTATTCCTCATTCTAAAATATGTATATCTATTCGTTGTCGATTCTTAATGTATAAAATAATGTACAAAAAATTCGCTTATTATCCACTGTTGACTTAATGTTTATTTAGAATATCCACGTATCGTGAACATCGGGGTTTGTAGCTTACATAAATAAAAATAAATATGTCAAAAAAAACAAAAGTGTGTAGTGTATAAAAATGTACACGAAATTCCATTAGGTATGCATACGATGTTGTTGTTGCATAACGCTCATCAAGAATTTTTATATATTTTTTTCTCGTATTCGACAATCAAGAAAGAGTTAAGTGGCGCTTACCAGTTCTTTTTTATCAGCCGGCAGTTTCATGTTAGACGCCAGCTCGAATATTGGTAACGGGAACACCATAGGTTTGGGACGCCGAAGGGGCGGGTCTTGTCGGCGGACCATCTCCATGAAACCTTCGATGACGCCCGGACTCGGGTACAGCTCGATGTCGGACGGCAGCACGTAGTGCGTGGTGGCCGATTCTCGGGCGACGTTTCGGCCCACGTTAACCGGGTACAAGAGTTTTCTCTGTCCTTTGTACAGCGAACCGGCCGTGATGTTGGACCACGGCGGCGGTACCGAACAGTTGACGGTGGCGTCGATGTCGCGGTCGGCGTGCGGCACCGACTTGGGCACGTGACCCGACGCGAAGTACAGGTGGAACGTGACGAGTTCGGCCACCAGTGGCGATCGGCACTGCCGCAAGTAACGGATGGCCGATAGGGTGGGCATAAAGTCCGCGCCCGGCGTGTACAGCGCTATCGATATCGGACCTCGCCACCTGCAAACAAAAGCCAAAATCGTTAAATCACAAACTCTAATGGCATCCAATCGTCGAGCCGTCGCACCTGTCCAAAAGCGGTTCCAAGTTATCCAGGAACGTATAGTCGGCGTGCGTGGTGTACGTGATGGACTCGTCGCACTTGAACCACCGCCTGGCCGGCACGTAGTTGTACAGTACCCAGTAGTCGCCCCGTTGGGCTATCCTCCGGCGATTCGACTTGTCGCTACATCCCAGCAGGTCGCGAAGTGGCCGTAGTGGCGTTACGGCTACCGCAGCGGCCACGGCCGACGTGCTGGACGCCGTGGTCGTAGTGGACGTCTGCTGTTGCGTAGGACCCGCGTCTTTCTTTTCAGGCGTCCAAGACTCGGCGGCCGCCGAACCCACGGACGTGTCGGCAGCAACGTCAGACGAATCAGCCACGACCTGCGTTTTTGGTTTGATTTTCATCACATGGCCTTCCTCTCGTAACGTTGTCCCTGGAAGAAAAAGTCACAAACAAACTGTTAAAAATAAATGTTTTTAGCTCGGTAATAGATGTTAAAATGCTTAACGCATAGTCGGGTTAAAGGTAGAGTTGGCCATGTTAAAAAATTGTTTAATACTTTTATGAGTTTAAAGCGCCAACTATGGATATTGATTCACCTAACGCTTAATTGGTTAATACAATAATAAGTTATACAAATTGAATTAGTTATCTCGTAATTAACTTATGCCATATTTACTAATATTATATTACAGATTACTTATAAAGTGTATATAAGTACCAGGAAGGATACATTTTGTTTACAAAATTAGAATTCGAATTTGTGTTTTAGAATTATTTAATAGTGAACCAATATGGTTCTTGATACATACACGTGTCCGTGCCAAAAAAATAATATCAATCCCTCCCCCCCCCACTTCTGGTCATAAAAAGCAAAACGTAATGCAGATTGAAAGTATTTTATTATTTGTAATTATGCCATTATTTAGTTCTTTAGTAGCCGTTAGCTCTGAACGTTTTAAACTAAAGAGAATCTCGCTACGAGTTACGGTAGGTAGACGATTCCAACGACAATTTATTTTGTTATAATCGCTAAGAATCACTGAAGATTTTCGGCATTTCAGAGCGTGGATAATCGTAATTAACTTACCAACGTGGTATAACGCCGTTAAAATATTATCGTTATTTAGTCATCGCGGCTGTTATACAAGGTTACTATTATAGATGTATTTATTATTATCTATAGGCTATGGACCGTGGACGGACGTTGTACATAACCAAGTCTTCTCTATCGCAGTACGCAGCACGTGCTACGTCGTTTGCATATTATACGAAAACTATAATAATGTACCATCAGTATTAGGATGTAAAACGTTATGAGTTTTATTAATTACCATAACTCACCGGGCTGGAACTATTGAAAGACAATACTATATTATGATTATGCATACAACGCAAGAACGGTTATAGCACGCCGATGGCTGAAAATTACAAATTAGCTGTCATCAATTGCGTTGGGGGGGAGGGTTGTGCGTTTTTATGGTAGATATAAGTTCGTCGAGAGCATGCATACATAATATGAAAATAATAATAAATTAAAACGCAATAGGTCAAACTGTCTAGTAGGATATTCGTGTAATTTAACATCGCGTTAGACGTTACCTAGATACTTAAAAACTTGACTTCACCGAGGCCACGAGGCACGGAAAAAAATTTATTTTTAAACTGAAATTATCGAGAAGATGATGCTAACCGAGGCCGGTATGGTTTTGAAAATTTGGCCGTTCCGAGTGAACCGTCTCGTCACTTGCCGTTTGGTAAATATTTTATACGTTTTTGCCATATAACTAAATTCGTTGATCGAGTATCGTGTTTTTATAGGTAAGATAATTTAAATTATTTAACAGGTTTTTTAAGGCCTAAAGAGCTTGATGATCAGTTTACGTTACTTGGCAGGTCCTCAGTAAAGGGTCTGTAAACGTCACAGTGTAATATACACATAGATAAGTATAGATGTACTATACTTGTAGTACTACTGAGTTGATTATAAAGATTAAAACATTAATAGCATATGTAATGTGTTACTTTTTTACTACATAAACATTTTAGAAAATAAGGTAATTAAAGAACACCAATTTAATTCGTAGATAAAGACTACAATTAAAAATTATTGTTTATGACTTGACAAATTATAATACAATACTAACAACAACCCTAAATTATACATTTTCAAAGGACTAATCAAAAAGATGTTTTAGAAGATTAAAAATAACAAATCATCTTCTTTGTCTCTCTTTAAATTAGTTTATGGTTTACGCATTCAGTGATAGTGGTTGCCTTCAAATACACATTTTTTTAAAAATATTATTAAATTCGTTACTATTGTTGTGCAAATGTGTATTTTTTTTAGTAAATTATACCACACTAGAAAATTAATTATTTATTCAATATTAGGTTATTGATCATTATTATTAAATATTATGTATAATGAATATGTTATATTTAACTAGTTTAAGCATTCACGTATATTACAACAGAAAATTATAAATCGAATACGCTTAAACTACTTTGAGATTATATAATTAATCTCAAGGAAAACTGTTTCTTACTTAATTTACTTTTACATTTTAAACTGTAAATATTGATAAAAAAAATACAATTAAATAAATATTTTTGTACAATTAATGTATCAGTGAAAAAACTTGAAATCATAAACAATTTTGTATTATATCATCAGCTTACGAGCGAAACAAACTAAATAACTTAATTAGCTTTTAGAATTAAAAATTTAAGAGTTAATCAATTTTTTTTTGATTAATTTGTTTGTGTTAAAATACTGTTTGGTCAATAACATGTTTTTTTTTGGTATGACTCATTTCACCTCATATCCGAAGCTTGATACTTTTATTTCATTATTATTATTATTATTTTTATTTTATTCATATATAATATTATAGGACGATGAATTACTGATCATCAAGAAACACGGATTAGTAAATATGTCTTAAGTTAAATTGATTACTATCTGTAATACTCAAATTTTTTTTTAAATCAACAATACTGTTGATATTGATATTAACCGATGAAATCACCATTTGGAAAATTTTAAAGCTGTTAGCCATGTATTTATTTTTAAATAGGGTCTTTTATGAAAAGCATGAGCTTATAAAATTTCAATGATTTGTTTCCACGTGATGTCATCTCCGACAACCTTGCCAACACTTCAAAAACAGAATTCGATAAACGCGTTAGAAAAGAAATCCGCAAATATTGCCTTGATAATGGTTGAAATGTTTAGCTAGCACAAGCACTGCGCGTATTGTTAGTTCATCCAACGTGTTTCTACGAAGGCTAACTCCTGCAATGAACAGCCTGTTTAGTAATAATTCAAGTTTTAAACGACATGAACAACTTTGACAAAGATAATAATAGTGCTATGATACGTTGATCAGAAGTTTTTACTATTTTTTTTTATGTATAACCTATACAAAAAAAAAAAGCCAGTACAATGGGAACGGATCATGTTGGTACACTCCAAAGCTAGGATTTCATCTTTATTATAAAATCATAATCAAATCTTTATCTAATGTTCGTTTTTTCGAAAAATTTCAAAAATTGGCTGGTTTTCAAAAAAGATGCCTCAGTTGTGTTAAAAACTATTATTACTATTGAATTTCCTGCTGAAGTATGATTTTAAAATATTTGTATAATATTAACACCGTCGTAACAGGTTTTTGACAAGGTTGGTTTTTATTATGTTTTGTTTACTATAATTTCCTACTTTACTATTTGGCATATATTTATGCATAATAGGAGATGGTATATACATATAATATTGGCATTTGGCATACAGTTATGTATAATAGGAGGATATTATACATATAATAAAGGAAGGTGGCTGACTTAGAATAATTTATTTCAGGTTATATAAAAATAAACTATTTAATAACCATATTTCAGATTGAACGATAATTTACATTTGTGTTCAATAATAGATATGACGTATTCGGTATTTAGTGAAGTGTATGATGTTAAAATATCTTATATCAAATAGCATCATATTAAGTCTCTATTTTTTTACCATAAACGTATTAGAACATACACACAGATCTAATTTATGCGTAGAGCGTGGATTATTTTTTCTGAATTCTCTGACCAAAACTGAACACCGGTGTTAAAAACATATACATATATAATAATATATTAAAGCGTGCGTGGACAAACTTATATTTATGAAACAGAATTATGTGACACAACGAAACCGTATGTGCATTTATTGTTTGCAAGGAATCTCGGCGACAATACGGCGTGTGGACTGTGGAGTAAGGTCGTGCAAACGACTTGATAGCCTTATTTTGTGTATTAACGCAATAGAAAGTATAATAAATGCGTTTCGTAAAGTCTTGACCATGTATTCAGCATTCTATTATAGTAGTGACATTAAAAATAATAATATTCGGCAAAAGTCATTCGGTAGACATCGGCGCTAGCTATTGCGAGAAATGAAAAGTGAAAGAAATGTATGAATTTTCCTAATATGTTATTGGCATTATATTATTATGTTAATATACAAGAGTCTTGCGGTGACCGGTGTCCCATCAAATCTACATTTAACATTTAGATGTAAATACTTTAATCATTCGAACTATAGAGGCCAGTGGTCATTGGATACACGTTTTATGTATAATATAAAAACAACAGACACTCCTAATTTAGTGTCAACTACTAAACATTTTTAATGTAATGGTTTATATTGTAGTGGGTTAATTGTTTATGGAAGTAATAGTTGACAAACTATAATATTACGAAACCACGTAATAGTCATTACAAACCTTGGACAGGCGTTTGGACGGACGAACCCTGCTGTTGCCCGGCGATAGGCTGTATGCTAGCCAATAGAGCTAGCTCGGGGTAGTTAGCGGAGCCGCCAGACGCGCTCTGATAGTAGAACGCCTCTTTGTCGGCCGCTTGGGATAAGTCCAAGGAGGCCAAGTTCCTTCCGGATAACTGCATCTCCTCCACAATTTCCGGATTGCCATTTCTGTAAATACACACCGCCGACGGAAATTAATAATAGTATATAATTATATTATATCATAACTGTAAGATATTTGACGATATAGCGCCAAATTAATAATCGGACAGAAGGGTCGTCGGTAGGCTTGACACCAAACTATTATTTTGATCATCATTACTGTTATAAGTTCGTACCTGACGGTTAGAATGGAACCGAAATAGAAAATTACGGCTACGTTCAACACGACGCTCAGTCGTAGTAGCCAGTTGCGTCTTGTCAGCATAGTCTAAACTGCTCTCTAACCACGTCTTGTACACCATTACCGAACCTGCAACGAAAATAAAATATATAATACGCATTAAGATGAAGCGCCGCCTATCAGATGGGCGACACGCAAACGGGTGAAAAATGAAGTAATTTGTTGGTACAGATGTCGGACGAGTTGTGGCTTCCGTTATAATAGGTCGCCGCGAGCGGACATTTGGTCCGACAATCGCTAACAACTATTATTATTTTAATAATAGAAAAATCGTCTGAACAATGGGGACGTAGTACGGTAAGGTCAGGGCGGTCACTAGTTTGTAGAAAGTATTAGAACTGAAAGTGATCTGATTGTGTGTCGGGGGTCTTGCAAGAAAACGCCTTGATTCCAATGTATATATTGCAAAATAAAATATTTATGTTTTTTTTTTCTCAATATTATACTAAAATTGTTATTAAAACGTTTTAACATCAGTTTTTATAGATTTTATGCTGAATAAATAAAAAATTGTAAATCGATTTTAGACCTTTTTATGCGTGTTAGGTACCAGTGCATTTTATTACCTTAGTTTCGATTCGGAACTGAGAAGGTATTTTCAGTCCAGTCTAAACTAAATTACCTAATAAATATGTCTAAAATGACATAAAAACACTTATTTCTTCTACATGGAAAAAGAAAGTTTACTAAATTGTCCGGAAAGAATCGAAGTGTTTTTTTCTGCTATGAATTTTTTGTCTGATTATCTGAATCCTTGGATCCGGGTGCCGAATTCGGGGGTTTCCCTCTACTCATTTTGGAGTTCACAGGGTAAGAATTTTAAACGCCCAGAAGCCCCGGATATTAGTTAGGGTCTGGGCTCCATTTTCAATTAATTAGGCCCTAGGTAAACACATATGGACTGTATTTATGAAAAAAATCGGCGGTTAAAAATAACTATCAAAGAAACATGATAAAACAATATTGACTTAAAATCATGCCACAAATAAAACACGCACGTCATAAAAAACCTTCTAAACTCCGTAATAATACAACTAAATCTATAAGAGTGGCATTAAAATGTTACCCGACCGTATGCCGTTTGGCACTATAAAATCAAAGTATTGCCAACTGCAAGATTACACTTGTAGATATATTCTGAACGAGTTAAACATTTCATCGACTAAACTATTAGTTTGACCATTTCAATCGGATCTATCAATGTTGTCATTAGTTAACTGACGTTTCGGACCCATTGCTAGTTTGGCTTATTTAAAGAAATGTTAGAAAATAAAATAATCATAAACCTAAGTTCATGAGTAAATTTGGTTTAAGCGACGTGTTCGGCTCTCCGAAGATCGGCGAGGACTGATGAAATGCTCTTCCTATATAAAACCAGTTATTTCTGTCTAGTCGTATCAGAATTAACTGTTTTAGCAGCATTAACCGCAAAATATTATGCTCGACCTATTAACGTTTTACAATGTAGCCTGTTCAGTCATATTATTATACTCATATTATGTACGCCTTTTGGCTTCCTATCTTGTCATTTACATTGAATTGCATTGTACCGGCTATAGACTATGAGTCTGACCGTTTCGTTTGGAAGGCTTAAGTAATTTCTTGTAATATCAATCGTCAATCTGTAATGTTATCCGGTAGACTCTACAGTTTTATAAGGTCAGCGGGGTAAAGATTCCGTCTTCGAACTGGCGTGTCCGGAAACGTATAATTTTGAACCAACCGTTTTTAGAATGAATGCAAAATACATCACCTATAATGCAACGGACCAATTCAGACAAAATAATCAAAGGACATATTATAAATATATTTAAAAAATAGTTAGATTCTAAAAATTCAATCGCTAATAAAAAACGACCACAACATTTTAAGTCACACTCTTTCTTCACTATTGCTACGTGACATTTTTCCTTTTCTATAATATTATAAAAGTACATTATAAAGTGAAGTTTATCAATTACTAATATTTTAAATTTATTTTTGGCTAACGTAATTTCATTCGAAAATAAATATTTCACGTCACGGTCATGGAAACACGAATACACATGTACAAGTCATGAAGTACTTGGTAAAAAATACATGAGTTATTATTTGACCAGATAGCAAACACCGGTTAACGAATGCCATGACTTCTGCCGGTGCGTTTTAGTTTTTACAATTTATTGTCTGATATAATATATAAGCCACTTGGATATCGTGTACCGTTAAAGCTGGAATACCCGTTTAGCACGATTACGATGTCAAAATACACTATTATAATATTATACTCGCACTGTTAAAACGCACCGGACACTCGTTAGTCACGACGACGTGGTCCCGCCACTGATTTATTGTTACAATCAGATGATCGTCAAGTCACAAGTGTTTAAGTTATGAAGGGAAAGGGTAAATTTGATCAGTTGTCTGGTCTGAAGAGCGGCGAATTCGTTGAATTTTCTATGGTTATAAAAGTGACGTACTTATAAAAAATATGTAATACAATAAAATTAAAAATCATTATACGAGTGTTACTATTAAACATAACAGTTGTGCAACTAAGAGATTTGGAGATTAAAGTTTGCATAGATCCTGAATATTTACTTTGGATTGGATCTATGTTTTTTAAACAAAATTGCCAATTTATTTTTATGTATCACATTTTATAGTTGTAATAATAAAAATAGACACTATTGTCACTCCAACGACAAACAATTTTGTTTTAGATGTTTTTTGTTTGACTTATAACAAACCATTGGCATTAATTCATCTTCAAACGCTTAGCACCCGTATACATAATTTATGCATCACAATCATTACCCACAATGATAGCATATGAACAAATTTTAAGATACTGGTATAACTGCATTTGCTTAGAAGTGATGTTACCAACTCTGGAACTTAAACGGACCACTGATCAGCACTTAGGAGGTCTATTTTATTTTTATAAGGCTTCAGCTTTGATTAATTTATTTTAAGGGACTTAGTCCACCCACGAAATAATTACCTATAGGGTTAACAAGGAAACCCGCGAGTCCGATGGCAGTTAAAGCCTTAAGGAGTCTGTCGACCATTTTATCTAGACGTCGAGACAGGCTATATATATATATAATATATCCGCCATCCGATGAGAACCGCATTTGTGTGGATTTGTGTTTTTCTACTCGACAATCGATTGTGGTCAAAACATTCGTACCGTCTAGGTCATTGTACAATTATTCCGTTAATTCGAAATCTCCAAAGCCGCCGGTCGGACACGGTGAATCAGCGCAATAATCGTTGTGCCAAAAGTCGAAGGAAATAGTGTACCTGTAGACGCGTTATTCGCGTTAGTCACCCCTTATAATTCTGGGTTATGCCCAAGGGCGATCTGATTACTGGTTCTCCGGTAATTTCGTTAGTCTGTAGTACAAAAACCGAATTCAAAGTGGATCAGTTGACCAAAACAATGTCAAATCGCTTGCATACATTTTTCGACCGGAACAAAATATACTCGATGTCTTTGTGTGAATCCGACACGCATCTATTGTCGGTTGTTTTTTTTTAAAAATATTTTTTGTCACGTTTAAATAAAACTCACACTGACACATTATATTCGCGATAGTAAATATTTTGTGGATGACAATAGCAAGTGTAATTCGGTGAATATAGTTTCGTCGATCCGATCGAAGCGAATTTTATAACTAATTAAACTGCAGATATTATATATTTATGTAAATGTACTTAATCAAATATTAATTTATTACAGAATTAATTGGCGTTTAAGTTGTGCCTGTAAACACATGTTTGCGGCTTGTCCTACTTTTGTTATAAAATCGGTAAATTAATATTTAAACTGCATTGTCCTCGGTTAAAAATCTACAAGTCCCTCAGAAGAAGTCCCTCGGAAGTACCCTCAGAGAAATGAATGATTTTTGTTGGAGTACGCCTAAACACAGGAAATCTTTTTAAGTATAGTGTCAACATTTTTACAAGTTATATTAATAAAGTATGCCATGGATTATGCAACTAACACAGGTTGGTATTGACGTTTTGATAAAGAGTCAAGTCAAAATAATTATAATTTATAGATCTTTATGTACGTTTTTCTAGACTTTCCCTTTACTGCTAATAAAATTCGTGTTGAGCAATGTGTTAAATTCGCCCCCCCCCCCTATTAATAGTTTAATAATTAACAATTATCAAGGTAACCGTATTGATGTTTTCACCGTTGCTCGACCAGTATGGCGAAAAAAAGAAAGAAATACGAAACTGTATGGATTTTTATTATGAACAACGTTCATAATAGTATGCGTTATGCAAAACTCTAGAGAAAACTGGAATGCAGCTTAACAGGAACGCAAAATCGAACATCTTTACTGCGTCGCTAATGTCGTTAGCCAACAGTCAAGGTACAACAAAACCGCTGTATTTCCCGCATTATGACCGCCGTTGCTGCAGTCTAGGCCGGCGACGTGCCTCTTCCCCTTTCCTTTTTATACGGCGTCAGTCAGTATGATAAATGTTAACACTTTTTATTTTTCAAAATAATAATAGTTTTTGCAAAGTTCAAATTATCTAAATTCATCTTAACAAGAACCCCATTAGATACAAGTGAGATCCATATAATTGGTGCGTTTGACTTCAAGAAAATTAAATTACGTGGTCTGAACGCTGAGAAAATAATATTGTATTAAATGTTTTACAAAAAAAAAGCATCTTAAAATATAGCTTTTTGTAATCATAAAATAAAACCGAATACATAATATGATTATTGGCTAATGCTATTTTAGTAATCAACTAGTGTGAAATATAAAATACATTTTAGTTCTAACTGTTTAAATTGCTATTCAAACTAGTTGCTTAACGAAAAATTGTAGTTTAATGACCGAATTATAGGCTATACTATACTTAAATAAAAAACCAAATCGGTGAGAACGGTAATTAGTAGTTTTTTTTATAAAAATTAATTTATTCATCAATAATTTAATTTTAAAAAATGTAAAAAAAAACTTTGTTTAAAAAATACTATGATTGAACTATAAGTGAAAATTTAAACGACGTAAATTGAGCTAAATCACACTGCTGTTTAAATTATTTTGCTACAATCAACAATGTTATAATGTCACTTTTAAATTAATTAGTAGTTGCTTCCAAACCGCAGTCTCTCCCGACTCTCTGGTCCTCTCGCGCCGCTATCTGTGGCGTTTTTCTTTTGTTTTTTTCTCACTAATTAAACTACGGATCTTCACAGCCTAAGGCCGTTAAGCACACACGTTTACACCGTACCGGTTGTCGTTAAACGTTTACGGCAAATAACTGGGCACCATGTATAAATATAAACATAACATAAAAACTCCGGTCTCACGTAAATCGTTTAAAGTGTGATATTGTTTAAGGAACGAGAATAGCCAACATCCTATATTAATTTCCATGCGGGTTAACGCGTGCACACGTATTAGACGTAAAAACAGTACTCTAGTCGAAGCGTTCAACATTATCTAAATTGCATGCGGCACTCCATCGGATATTAAAATTACAACCGCTTGGACAGCTAGCAACTATTTATCCCCAGCCGCAGCAATAATGTCTGAAAGTTATGTTCGTTGTCTCGGTCACCGATCAGCGAAAAAAGAACATTTTTTGAAGGCTATAACACGAGAGTTATAAAATAAGTATTAACGGACATACTGCCGTAATAATAATGTAATTATTTTTCTAGTTGCTTTTTTTCAGTCTAGAGGCAGACCTGAGAAGGTATTGGCATTATTACAGTAATACAGTGTTTTATCAATGTTTGGTTCGCGTGCACGATACCTCCGGTAACTAGTGAACCTAACCAATTTAAAGTATTAAAGAAAAAAATTACAAGATCTGTAATGAATCAAGCGATTTATAATAATATTTAATTGTTCACAACAAATAAATTGTTAAAAAATACAGTCTTTAAATTGTTTATAACAATTACCAATAGGTAATAAAATAAGTAATTAAAAAATATTAAATATTTTCGAACATTTTTTTTTTTTAACGATTTATGTAAACCCGTATTGTTTATAAAAAGCATTTGTAAAAACTTTAAAGGTAACTTATCTGCAGTCGGTCTATAATTGCTATTGGAATGTATGCCAATAAGGTCACCAGACTCTGAAGATATACTTCAGAAAATTCAATAGGAGTAAAGAAAATATATTAAGACAGCGCCTTCCCGTCCTTCATTCGCCTGTATGACTATAAGATAAACTAAGTGGTTTTTGGCAACAGTTTGCGGTTTATAGGCAATTTATAGCATTTCCGAATACTAACAATTTAAATTCACCACCGACCATATTACAATATACACACAGCCTTCAGACGCATATTGAAAAAACTTTTTTTGTTTTACAAGTTTTCAAAAACACAATAATTTAATTTTCATTTTTTATCTGTTATTGCGGTTTTACACTAAATCTCTATCATCTTTTTTTCTATAGGATGTTAATACAATAACTACTTTATTACAACTTAACTCATTTAACCTTAATTATTTGTTTTTTTTTAAATTTAGACTCATGTTTATAGTATTCTATCGTGTGGATGACAACCGTTATTAAATCCCCTTTTCATACCAGAATTTGATAGTCTCTTTTCTTAGTTTTAACTTTTATGTGACCCAGCAACTCCTTACGGTCCACGATTCTATGTGGAGCCCTACGGCACTGCATATTAACTCTTTAATAACGTAATAAATATAATTCCATATTTTTTACGCACTTTTATTTTTATAAGTCTTGAATACATAAAAATTGTATTGTCTATGCCGTGTGATTAAAACAATTACCTTTAAATGCGTTTTAAAAAAGTAAAAACGCGAGAATTGAAATTTGCGAGAACGGAAACCATTCAGCAGTTTTAATAATTAGGTTGCATAAAACAATTTATCGTCAATAATTAAAATATGTCCTAGGCGATAATTGCTAAACATTATTCAGGGTCGAAAAAATATGTAAATTCATAGATCTTTATGCATATGGTTAAACATATCATATTATGATACATATAATACACGTATGATGTAATATACATGTGATGTATATTACAGGTTATGCTATATCACTATTTATGCGTTAAATGGATATTGTAATTACCTATGTGGTTTTTGATATTATACAGCTGAGAATACCGAGGCCAATAGAAAACGCGCCGGTGGCGTAGTGAAAAGAACGTTCACGATGAAGGTCTCGGTCGAGTTTTCTCTAATATTATTACTGCCGCGGTGTGCCGTTCAAAAATGTTTAAAATATTGACCGTGTAAATTTAAAAATTATTATTATTAATTATATATTTCCGCTAGCATTTTATAAAAAAAAATCCATATCCCAACAGAATTGATAAGCTATATTTAAATTCATCTGCCCACATTTTGGCTATCGCCGTTTGCAAATTACACAAAAAAATTATATTACTACGCACATTTTTCGCACGTTGCTATTCCCACAACGGTCGTCTGTTTTTGTTTAACAATCAACAATTTTTACTGACACCCTCTGGGCAATTATCAGCAAATAAAAATTTGATTCAAGTTTCAAGTAAATGTTTCGGAGCGATTATATTATATCTAATAGTAACGTTACGATTTTGGAAATGAACTATAATTTTTTCTATGATCTTTGAAATTTGATCATTTATATACATATACTATGGCACGAATGTTTTCAAGTACTGTCCTACGTTTATCTAATTTCGAAGACAGTAGCTGTTGTAGTTATTTAACGAATTTGCTTGATGTTGTCTGTACAACATACACAGTGTAATATCGAGAAAAATTTTAAGAAAAAAAAACGATAATTATTGTTGGATAATCCATGTCTTTGGTTTGATATAGGCCTTTTTATTTTAACACTATTCAATGTACTAATACGATATCAACACCGAACAGGCGAATATTATAGAATCCAAACCTGTTTGGAATCGATAGCCTTTTAAATGAAGCTCGGCATTATTATTGTTATTTGTTTTATGTATTTCTCAAAGAACAGGGTGTCACCACGTTTATACCTACGCACTGGATAACGAGATGACATTGACAACGGCAACGTCTGTTGAATATCAAAACGGTATATTTCCGTTGCGCATGCGATATTAGATATTGACACCCAACCACTAACGTGTACATACGTTTACACATGGCTAATTGAGAACGGTCGGCTGTAGCTGTGGTCGCGTCTCGTTGTTTGCATACGCTTTCGGTCAAGCACCTCCGTCCTTCGGAGGACAAAAAGAATAATGATAATAAAAAAAAAATATATGTTTATACACCTGTATAATATTACATTATGTATATACATAATATATTTATATTTTATAGATGTGCGTTATATTTACAACCTCTAGGTTATACATAACGACCAAACAAGGCGTTAAAAGAAAAGTACACGGAAAATTCGTTTCGTTTAACTATGTTTAAGGTCAGCCGTGACGTCACGGTGATTTGGTCAAACGCATTTTCATTCGACCAAAAATCACATTATTTTTTTCTTCTAATATGAATATTTTCTTAAAAACTTGATTATAAACTCAATATTTCGGTATACGATCTGTCCCGAAGTACTAGGGTGTTGTTTGAACGGGGTAAGAAAAAACAAAGATCTGTTGCAAAACCGTTTCAGACTGGCTGAACAATACCTAATAGCTGACGTGCTTTTCAACCCAAGCCAGTCCAGTGTGTGCTTGCGTGGATTTTATTATTCAAAGAGTATAGTACCGAGATTGTGGTAATAACTTACTTCATTGATCATTAACTTAGATATCTTGTCCACCGTCTGAAACAGAACAAAAATAACGTACGTTAAAATCGTCTAAAGTTAAACTGTAATATGTATTATGTTCTGTAAACAAATAAAATATAATATTTTTTAAAAAGTAAAAATCTAAAAGCAATTTAATTGCAGTTCTTCATCACATATATCAAAGGCAAATTAAATATATTGTGTACGATATACTTTAACTATGAATGTGGCGTGATGCAATTTTTTGTGTTACAAGCCCTATTATTACCTAGCCCAATCTCAACCTATTGCTTTAGCCACAATTTGATAAATATCGACAGCAGCTGCATAATGTTGCGGTACGTTCAATACCTGACGTGATTTACCTACTACATTTTAGGAAACAATAAAATTCAATCGTGTACACTATATATTATTATAACATACAGTGTCAATATTTTGTCAGTCTTCATTAACTATTGCTGATTGTTTCGGGAATCAATATTATGTATTGGAATGCTGTGTTCCAATAAAATAGTTGCAATATCATAAAATTAATAATACACGACAGTGATATTTTGATGTCGATTCTATCTCGTGGTGGACACTGAACATTTTCGAAGAATAGCTGTTTAAACGGGTTATCAAATGGTTCTATTTAGTCAACATGAATTTTTCAAATCGACCGAGATATAGATAATACCCGGAGCTTAAGCATCCGGTAACATTGCGAGACCGCCGAAGGACGCACGCCTTCACTCGACAGGCTATTGGCATCGACACGACGGACGTCCCTCTCCGGTAGACCGAATAGAATAATGCAATCTCCATAAAATCCGTGAAATCATATTATAGCTCATCCCTGGCTGCAATTCTTTTAAACAATTGAGCTATTTGGAAAATAGAAATAAACCTAACCTAACTTCGTACAACTGGACAATACATAATATTCCAAAATCCATTGTTTTCACCCAAGTCAGAGAAAAGAGTGAACGTTAAGAATTTACGTTTAACCACAATAGAAAATCTATTACATGTATCGCGTCGGTTTTGGCGTGTCGTTGGCGCCGTTTCCGTGCATATTATGATGTAACGATCATCCATATTTCCATTTTATTAAAATTGTGTCATTATAAAATATTACTTGTTCGGCGTGTTTAGACGTAACGGCCTAGAAAGAACTCATTGGCCATTAAGCATTTTTATTATACACGGTTAATCCGTATATTATAATATTTTGTTACATACAATAGGCGTCGCGCGTCATGGGTCAGAGGGACAATGAGCACAATATTATATTTAAATTTGTAATCGTTTCGCGTGGACCGATAAACCGGTAACACAATATTATAACAATAATGTACGAGTCTTAATAAGGCTGTCGGGATGGTTTGGTGGAATGAATAATATAATACAACATTACTCAGACTACAAACGCCCGAGTACCATTCGAAAACATGCACAACTTACAATTTACGTATGCGATGCAATATCCTATCTGTAGGTGTATCGGAAGAAAGGTCGATTGCGGTTTGATGTGTGTATATGATCGACACAATTATAGAGCATTGCCATTACACCTCAGAGGGGACTTATCTATTCATCGTTGGCGGCGAAGGAAGCGCGTCGAATCGATGGCGAGAAGAGCACAACGAAAATATACCGAGAGATTCGCAAGCGCCAACACACAACTGTGATCAGATTGTGTGGAGGATAATGATGAAATTATATTACATTTTCTACGAAAATCGAAAATAAATAGGATTCATTTAGTCTTAGATAATACTTTAATGATTTATGATGTACATAAATGTTTTAAAAATGTTTTATATAACTATCTACGTATAATGAAACTTATTAAACGTTTTAACAATGAGTCGGAAAAACCAAAATCGATCTAGTTATTTTCATTTAAGTCCATAAAATATTTTACATTTATCCAAAGATATGGGCTCAATTAAGTTTACGCATACTTAAGAATTAGTAAATGCCTTGGGCTTTAAAAAAAATCCGGGTTATCGACAACTCGGCATCAATCATCATGACAAATAATATGGTTTTTAGCACATAGCAAAATAATGTATAATCAACCTTTTTTAAATGTAATAAATATTTTTTTTTTTAATTCTAAGTCTTTTTAACGTCAAAATTATAATTTTTATTTGGAAGAATAATTTGCATTTTTAAGAGTAAGTATTTTATCCATTTTTGGCATTCTCGCGGTAGTGTAAGTACACACAGAAATGCTCAGTCGTCGAAACTCACTCCCCCCGAAATCGACCTTTTGCTGAAGCGATTAATTTATAATTAACATAATTGTCATTGAAACATGTCCGGGGTTATACTATATCGGACGGGTAGCGGTATTATTTTTCACCAGCCCTTTGCGAACTATAATAGTTCAAATCGCTTTTGGTTTTAATACAACCGTAGCAGGCGTACAAGTCTCCAAGTCGTGATAACCATTTGCTCATTTTGTTAGTGTCGACGTCGCAAAACAGAGATACGACGTGTTTCACTGTATTTTTTACCGTGCATGTGTTCAAAACGAGCAAAAAGCATGATCTTTCTCGCGTGTGTTTCAGTCATTCAACTGATTATAATACTATAGTGATTCTGGAGAACTCTTGATCGTACATCAAACTGCCGTCAAAAGCTACACTATCGACTAATATATAATATTGGCAATACAGCTGATATCATTGTACATATGATAAGCAATTATTACAGGTTACAGACCCCTGGCCGTGGAAATTATACACAGCGTATTCCAACAAACAAATCGGTCCGGTAACTATACCCGGCCCGGGAACACTATGAGAACGACGATTGTCAGGATATGATATTGATGTAGACACTATGGCTGTACATAACGGTATGACCGGACCACGGACCGGAACGAAGCGTGTATTTTCTAAAAGTTTTCCACGGCTCCACCGATAACCGCAAATTGCTTTGATTGTGTATTCGTACACGAATAATATTATGAAGAACACGGTTCGTTTAATTAAAAACATAATACTATTACGTATATTGACGACAATCGAACTCGTTCTACATTATTTTTCGCGCATGCCGTATACAATGTGCGGTTTTTACACAAATGGTGCGCTGGTGGTTTACTCGAACTGGACGCTTTTTATGTTAATACGAAAAGAGAAAGAACGGCGGGTTAACGTTCATGAAGTAATCGCAGCTTTCAGTTATAGACCTCGCGGGGGCGATCGCAATTCCATGCGTAACGTGTGTGTAAAGTCTCCAGACAGAAGTATCCCCCATAGGCCGTACATAACACTTGAACTGTCCTTGAGACATTCGGTCATGTTCGCTGTCCACCCATTGTATCCGTTTACGCGGGCGGCACTTAACGACAATTAAAAAAAAAAATCTCGTCGTACGTGTACGATTATTATTTTTTTTCGCGTCACACGATTTACACGACAACATAGTCGTGGTAAAAGGAATGTAATTGAATTTAGGATATTATCTCCGTTGTCGCAATCTCCTCGGCAGACATTATCTTCCCCCTCCGCAAAAGAAGCAAAACGCTACTATACCATACGTTTACACCAAAATATTTAAGAACATAATATTCTAGTGTTAACATACAATTATTTGTGTTACATAATAAAATGCGATTTTAGCTCATCAAACACATGACAAATAACATTTTTACATTATTTTGTCATGATCAAGCATTATAGAATATCAAATTAAAAGAATTATGGGGTTTTCGGTTATAAGTTATAATTTTATAAACACTTCTTAAGTAAAAGCGTTTACTAAGTGTAGCTGTTAGTATAATATTTCGGACCGCGAGGATAATGTTCGTTTCGGCATTAAGTAGTTGGGAAGATACTGAATCTGTGACGGTGGAGATAATGTCCGTGTATTGATGTAATTATGTGAAAAACTACTACTTTCTTTCTCGTTATAATGAAATATTAATTGACTACAAATGCCGATAAAACGTATTTCCCCCAAAACAATCGTCCCGAAATTCGAACTCAAACAGGTTGATAATCATTTTCCCCGACTAGGTTTACCAGCGAAACGCTAACCGGTCGTGCGGCTTCAGCCAATATTCGAGATCCGCCGGTTAACTTATAATAATATTGTTACATTATGAAGTTTCACCCGTAAAATTATTATAAAAATAAATAAATTCATATTCACCGAAGATAACCCGTTTGACTTTCATAATAACGCTGATACACACAAGTTGAATCGTAGGTACCTAACGTTTGTCCGAGGCTATGATCAGCGGTGTACGCGTACGCTACGAAGGAGCCGGGGGGGACTTCAATGGAAACTTTATATTATTATTAATAAGGACGGGTGATTGATTATTTTATGATAACAAAGGCTTTCGACGGTGATCGAACAATACGATTCCGCTTAAAATCCAAATCGTGTGACGCCAAAGAATAACCGGCGCACTGCATTAATTAGGCACACACACGCTACACCTAATAAGCATTATGAGCGCGTCTCTGCGGCCAATGTCTTGGCATTACTGCGGCGCCTCGGGTCCGGAAAAAATAATTATTGGGGCTATTTCGAATCTAAGCGCTCAGTGTGAGCGGTCGAATGCACCGATCCCCATATGTACGCCGGTACGTTATAATAATAATAATGATATTATCCTTGGTCCAGATACCACAAACTCCGAACTCGTTAGGTATACGCCACCCACTCGCGCTACCGGTTGAGCTAGGGTAAATAACGACATATTGTGTACTGTATAAAAAAAATACGCTTACGGTTATCTGGGCTTTGGCCTTTGAATGCTGTTGCGACACTAGGATAAACCAGTTAAGCAGTTTTTTTGCAATCATATTATTATAACTATTTTCGCTTTCCGAGATTCGTTTGCGTTGAATATAGGTACTGTTATAATATTTGATGTACCCGCCGCGCCTAACGTGATTCGGGCTTTGAATGCGAGCCGGATTAAGCACAACAGTATGTCGGGTGAGAACTGTAGAAACCTCTCCGTCGCGACGGTATAATATTTTGTTTCTAGATAAAAAAAAAGGTCTATGAAGAAAGAA